CACTCAAAACTACAATAAAAAAAACCCTAAGTAATTTGTCATTTGCTTCAAGAAAATGTTCATAATATCGTATTGTTAGTCCTCAGATGAAAAACATTGAAACTCAGGAAAATGGCTGCTAGTTTGACAAGAGAACAATGAAAAATCCTGGAATCTATACATGGTGCTAATTCCAGAAAGAAAGTCCAGTTTGGAAACTCCATTAAATAAAATATTAATATTATTACAAAACTCTTCATCTGTTTTCAGGATATTAATCAAATTAAATTCTCTTCAACTCCTGACAAGTAAGCACATTCCTATTGGTGACTTTGAAAAGATTTGAAATAAGCAATGAAATAATGAACAATTAAATTCATCTCCACTAGGTGTCAGGCAACCTTCATTGTGCCTCTAGCACTGATAATGACCCTTTTTGACTGGGTGTGTCAAAAATTCAGAAAATGCCTAACTTGATTCTGCTGGCATGTCATTCCCAACTCACTGAACAAAAGAGAAACAATTTTTTACATATTCATTTATTTGAAAAAAATATAGCTTTGTGTTATGTAAAGAAACATCAAATAATTACAAAAATGAAATATGAGTGGAACAAACTCCGAGGCTGCATTAGATCACACCTCACTCTTGTGTCACCTCTGAAAATTGCATGAAAACAGAGTGTGCTTTCGAATAGTTGTTGGTGGATGTTGATGTATCACTCAAAACATGATGTATTGTCTTTGATATGCATGTCACTGCTCTAGGATTTCTTATTAAAGGATTTTTTTATCCTTGATGAACAATTTATGATCTGCTTCTCAAAATATATGTGCAGCAACCCATATGTTCCTTCCTTCCAGACAAATTTTCTGTAGCAGTAAAAACAATGGAAACAATCATGAGAAAAGAAAGCAAAGTTAGCAACAAAGCAACACTGAACTGGAAAAGGACCATTTAAACCAGTGTTTCTTATGGTATGGTCCAAAACCCTTTCATGAGCTCACAAAATCAAAATTATTTGCCAGCCTATGTTGGGGAAAAAAATAGAAAATTAAAATCCCATCAAACAATTCTGAGTGAATGCATCAGCTTTAAATGTATATCTAATTTCAAAAGCATTCAAGCATTCACTCAACCATAAACCCATAAAGGAAACCTTTGTCAATCCTGAACTCTGAGAAGAAAATAGCCCAACCCTGAAACATTAAGACTAACATCCCACACCCAGAAGAACATGAAACTGAAAGTCTCAATCCTTTTATTGTTTCTCTTTAGCAAATCTTGTTATGTTATGAAGGTTAAAATACTGTAAGGAAATCTATAGCATCTCTCCATATTTTTTCACTTTGCAAGTTGTATCCATTGCTTTCTTTGTTCTGGCCCTTTCCTGGCCAGTACCCTTAAACCACTAAGTCTTTTATAGATTTTGTTCAAAATTGTGCACATAGACTAGATTATCTGTATTTTGCCCAGAGAAATTCTTTGCATCACCCACTTTGAAAGTTTCATTTTTCTTTTTACTGTACTATGTCTTAGACACCCACAGAAAAATATTTTCCTTAAAAACACTAAGTAAGCTGAGTTTTAAGGGATGGGCATTCATTTTGCTTTTTTGCCTTAGTATGTGTTGGTGAGTTTCTTCTGCCTATTTATCTATAAAGCATGAATGCTAATTCTGTGGTAATCATTTACCACAGACTGTGAATATGATCAGAAATTTGAACTAATTTCCCAAAATGTTCAAAAATAAGTGCATTGTTGAATAAACCTATTATGCACATGTCACACTTCTGTGAAAAGCTCTCATATTCCAGCATCAGTCCATACACCTATACAAACAGGTATGAAGAGAGTGCCTGCTAATGGGACTTTCCAAATGCATATGGTCTTTCCATAAAAGCTGGTTAAGTTTGGTTAAAAGGATCGTATTATCCCCACATGATTTGATAAACTGTTGCTTAAAGTCAGTGTACATTACTTCAAGATAAATGGGATGAAGATGGGATGAAGAATCTGACCCAGTAGAAGGCAGCTTTGATAATGTTGTCATTATCATTATCATCATCATCATCATCATGCAACAGTAACAATAAGGAGGAGCCGAGGTGGCGCAGTGGTTAGAGTGCAGTACTGCAGCTACTTCAGCTGACTGCTAGTTCAGCAGATCAGCGGATCAAATCTCACCGGCTCAAGGTTGACTCAGCCTTCCAGCCTTCCGAGGTAGGTAAAATGAGGACCCAGATTGTTGGAGGCAATATGCTATTTAGTATACTGTCTTTGGTGTAAGCCGCCCAGCGTCCTCGGAGAGTGGGCGGCATAGAAATATGACTAATAAATAAATAAATAAATAAATTGATTGTTTTTAAAGAATTTTCAGATACAACTACCAGGATGATTAGGGGACTGGAGACAAAAGCATATGAAGAATGATTATAGGAACTAGGCATTGCTAGTCTAGCGAAGAGAAGGACCAGGGAAGACATGATAGCACTGTTCCAATATTTGAGGGGCTGCCACAGAGAGGAAGGGGTCAAGCTATTTTGCAAGGCACCTGAAGGCCAGACAAGGAATAATGGATGGAAATTTTCAAGGAGAGATTCAACCTAGAAATAAGGAGAAATTTTTTGATGGTGAGAACAATCAACCAATGAAACAGCTTGCCCTTGGAAGTTGTGGGAGCTTCATCACTGGAGGCTTTCAAGAAGAGATAGGACTACCATTTGTCAGAAACAGTGTAGGGTCTCCTGCTTGGGCCGGTGTGTGTGTGGACTATATAGCCTACAAGGTCCCTTCCAACTCTGTTAATCTGTAAACTACTTGGGAATTAAAAGAACACAGGAAAACAGAGAACCTAATTTGGAAAGAAAAGAAAAGGGTCACCGTAGGTTTTCCAATTATTTTGTTAACTAGATTTCTCATCTGTGAGAGCCAGCTTGTCAGCTTACTGTCCCTGCCTAATTTTCTAAAACAACAACAACAACAGGGGGAGGTGAATTAAAGCATAAGAACGGGTGCTCAATTACCCCTTCTCCAACTGCCTTTTTCTGGTTGAAACTGCTTTTCTCAAAATGTGCATTTCCCTCCTTATGGTACAGATTAGCTCACTCAAAGAAAAACAGCCAGGAAAGGGGAGAAGAAATTCTGAGGAGGATCAACAGCCCCCCCTCCATCTCTGCATTCTGTGCTTTATATTTATTTTTCCCTCCCTCTGTTTCAGAGGAACCTGGCAGTAACATATGGCTGCTGCCATCACGTCTAGCTTGGCCCTTCTATGCTAGCGGCGGCGGCAGCGTGTGCCTTTTCTTAGCTGCTGATTACTTCAAGATGTTAAACTGTTGCTGGGGCCAAAGGAGAGAAGCAGAAACTCAATACATTGCCAGAAGTACAGTTTAGAATAGATAATGAATTAGAATATATACTGCACATTTTTCAAAATTTTAAAAAAAGGAATGTATTGGTTTCCTGTCCTCATTTTTATTTATTTGCTTTTGACATGCACTTTACAAGGCCCTATGTCTTCGATGTTCTTTAATTTTAGGAGAGAAAGATATGTATAGCAGCAACTATAATAAAAGAGTCTTGGAAACCCTAAAATACTAATACATTTATTACTAAATCAAAGATACCTAATCTAATGCTAATCTAGCAAAATTATAGAAAATCTTTCCCGTCAAAAAGTAAACATTTCAGATCCTATGAAAGTTCAGGTCAGATTTAAATTATATGTACCATTAATAAACATATGATCATGTCTCTCATTTTCTCTCCTCGCCCCTACCACCCCATTCCCCATTTTATGGAAAAATAAACATTGTGGATTGGGTCTTTAATGTGAAAGCTGAGAGAAAGCTTTTAACCATTTACTGCCTGCTGGGTTTTCTTTCCTGATTAGTAATTTAGATTTGAAAAACTCAAATCTTTTTCAGGGGACTTTTTAGAAAGCAGACATAGAGCTCAAGAATTAGATTCAGGACAACATTGATTTGCATAACAAGTCTCACTTGAATTACTTTATAGTTCTCTGGTAAACTTTTTTTTAAGATGGTAGCTAAATTATACATCATTTATAGAGCAAGGTTTATAGCTTGGTGGAGAGGCACATTCTTTTTATATGTGTTAGATTAGGAAGTATTATTTCCAAATTTATCTGGAGTCTTTCAAATCTTTTTGACTGCAAAAGGCCATTGCATGAATTCAGTTCTGCTTCTTTTAAATTTCATAAATGGCATTAAATATTCTGTAGAATTTCACATTAAAGCTCTATAAATTCTAGGGAATTTAAAAAGCCATACAGCTTTTTAGAAAGATAATATTTTAGCAGATGTCAGGTTATGGAGAAATCATTATCCAGTTATCAGAGGAATTGTAGAGGGAATCTAAATAAAGCCTATTAAATCCCACTGGTGACTTAAATCCCATCATTTTACCTCTAAAACTACAAAAAGAATAATCGATATTCAAGAGTTCTTGAATATCACAACACCATAGACTTTCCTCTGATGCTACCATGCAATGCCTGCACATAAACCTTGCATAGAGGAAGGGGATTTTTTTTAAAACTTGGGAAATGCAAGTAACATTTCAGGGTTCATTTCTACAACAAGCTCAAGGGTTGTTATAGAAATGAAGATCCGAAGATTAAAGCTTGACAAGGCAGTATCAGTGGTTTGCATTTCACGAAGGGAACCCCGTCTGCAATCTTCTGCAATCAGAGCCTTCAGAACACCAGGACGCTTATCATCCTTCCCTATCAGTCCCCCTCAGGTAGCTACAATTCTCCAAGGGCGCGCTCCCTCCCTCCCTCCATCTCTCTCCTTCTGAATCCTATTTCTCTACATTGGATCCAATCCCGCTATCCCGATCCAGAATTCCTCCTCCCCCCCCCGCCCCGTCCTCCTCTATTCGCTCTCAGCCGCAGGGCAGGACCGTCCCACCCCCGCGTAACCCACCTCTCCCCACCAGTACCGAGTTGGAGGGCGGGCCTTTCTCCTTGGATCCGCCTCTTCGTGAGTTGCCCGAGAACTTTTGTTTTGGGCCAGCAATCTGGCCGGAGGGAAGTTTTGTGGCGGTAGCTCAGCGCCCGAGGCGACCGCGGGTCGGGGTGATGAGAAAGGGGAGCCCCAGAGCGCCCGGATCGGATTCTGAAAAAGCCTGCCTGGCCGCCATGAAAGGGTCTCGGGGGCTGCCACTGTTGCTGCTGCTGCTGTTGTCCTCCGCCGTGGAAGGTAAGGCGTTCCTCCCGTCTGCTTGGCTCCCACGGGCGGGGCGCGAGCAGTTCTTTGGTTCCCCCCTTATGGAAGTGGCAATGGGGGATTCCTGGGTCCTCCTCTCCGCACAGGTGGCAGAAAGGCGATCCTGAATATCAAGGGGCGCCCCAAGAGACTTCCCAAAGTTGGGGTGGAGGGCTGACGGATCGCAATCTGACACCTGCAATTATATAAAGAGAAAAGGCTCCGCAGAGGCTGGTGGTCACAGTATGCAGGGATTTTAAAAACACCCATAATGAATGTCTATGGAAATGCTCACTCATCCAGGTCATGGTTGTCTCAAAGGTGCTTTTTTCAAAAGGCAGCTGGACTTTCTTTTTCGTGAGAAGTGAAAGGTCTTCAAGAAAAAGCAAAGTCCAGACGCCTTTTGGAAAAACACCTTTGGGACACCCGTAATGAATGCTGATTTCCATTTCCCACATGCCATGACTAGTTTCTAATGCGGAGGCAGACTATGCCAGAACCAGAAAGTGGGTTTTGTCTGAACTCAACGAATTCTCAAATGCTTCCCAATGCCACGGGGGAGCCAAATCCAAATGCAAACCTCAACTGGAGGGGCACAATTGGGGGCGGCGGGGGGAGGGAGAGGAGGAATTCTGGATAGAGATAGGCTTCTGGGGATGCACTGGGTGAAGAAAGTTGCCTGCCTGGCGCCTCTTTTCCTTCCTTGTTTTGGATAAGACTCTAATCATCAGGCTGCACTACTTAGCCAGGCTCTGTAAAGTCCAGCGGGCAGCGGGGAACTTGAATCCTCTGTAAAGTTGTAAAGAGGAAGCTGGCATATCTGCAGAGTAAGCCCCTCTGAAGCCTGTCTGGATGGATGACAAGGCTGAAGCTGGTTACTTAATGCTTCTTCCACTTCTTTATTCTAGTAAATGTTCAAAAAAGGCAGCTTAATGAGTAAAGGACAATGGTAGATGGGCTGTTGAAGAATGCTTTGTTTGTGCCTATTTTGAGTGAGATAAATTTATGCCGCTGTAAGACGAATTCTTTTGTTTAGAGAACCATTTGGTCAGGGTGAGATATGTACAAAGATCATTATTTGTATTATATTAAATTACTTGTCATGAAGGGCAGAGCACCCTAATTAAACAGAGATGATTTAGATTACAATATTTTTTTACTAATGTTAGATCTTACACAAATAAATACATTCTATAAACTGTGCTTGCATTTATTTTACTGCTATCTGTTCTTATAAAAATAAAGAACTAGGAATAATGGATGTGTCCCACAGTAATGTGTTAAAAGGAGTACAATGTAGGAACCCAGGTTCTAAATCTCATAAAATTATCTTCTGATCAGTTTTACCAGGTCATAAAATTATTCTCACAAAACTTTATTCTGCATTTCTTGGATACAAATGTGATGAGCTAGAATGATAAAGCATATAGTACCAAACCTGCATTTAATAATGCATGTATGCAAGAAGGCTGAGATCCGGTACTGTTTTTGGCATGAGTATAGGAAATGCATGCCAGCTGGTAATATGACTCATCCCATATCTGAAGAAAAATATGCCAAAGAAAAATATAGCAGCATTAAAAGGGTAATCTACAGTAATCTATTCTGGGGATAGGAGGGCGCTATTCCCAAAAACCAAAGCGAATTGATTCCTTTGGTGAGTGCCTTGAAAAAGTCCTCTGAAATAACTCTCATCAAATCTGGAGTTTGGAAGTGAGGCTGGAACATGTGCTGCTTCAGCCTTTATTTTTACCCCAAAATCATAGTAATGATTTGTTAAACAAGTCCCTCATGGATTCCTCCCTATAGGCAAAATCCATATTTCTCATGCAGTGAGGTGTCTGCACAAATGGTAGATATGCCAGAGATGCTTTGTCCATTCATGCTCTCTAAAGGCAAAATGCCTGCTAGTTCTCCTCTGAAGACATCTTCAAGCAATCCTATCTCCCTGTAAAGTACAGTGACACAAGCTACATCTTCAGTCACCCCTATTAACCATGCTAGTTAACCTGATTAGAGTGGGGTCCAGGACAATGTGGAGGTTCATGATTTGCCTATTTAACTATTGCTGATATGGTTTCAGAAATGGAGACCAACTCCCCCCTTTTAATTAAAATATCCCATTTACTCTTTCTAAGAAAAACTTTTCAAGATTTTCTGTCTTATTAATTTCTGTTCCATAAGGAAGGTAAAGTATTACTATGGGCAAATCAAGAGCAGTGATAATGCCATTTTATACTGCAATAATAAGGCCACACTTGGAATACTGCGTACAGTTCTGGTCACCAGGATACAAAATGAGATGCCGAGACCTTAGAACAGGAGTCCCCAACCCCCAGTCCATGGACTGGCACCAGTCTGTGGGATGCCAGTAACCAGGTCATGCAAACAACCAAAGCTCCATATGCGGGATGCAGGCAGCACGCAAAAGCTCGCCCTCTCCGATTTGTGGAAAAACTTCTCTCCACAGAACCAGTCCTTAGTGCCCAAAAGTTTGGGGGCCTCTGCCCTAGAAAGTGTGCAGAGAAGAACAACAAAGATGATAAAGGGTTTGGAGCAATGGTGGGTTTCTACCGGTTTGGCCCAGTTCAGGCAAACCGGTAGCGGCAGTGGCGGGAGGCTCCGCCCACTCACTCAGACATCATCATGGATGCTCTGCACATGCGCAGAAGGTTCTGTGCATGTGCAGAAGCTAGTGAAGTGAGCGCGCACGCGCACACAATTCCAAAACTGTAGCGAAGGTAAGTGAAACCCACTACTGGTCTGGAGGTTAAATCATATGATGAACAGTTGAGGGTGGGAGATATGTTTACCTATGAAAGAGAAGAATTAGGGGTGACATGATAACTGTTTTCCAGTATTTGAGGCGCTGCCCAGAGAGAAGAGGGAATGACATTGTCTAAAGCATCAGAGAAAAAAACAAGAAATAATAGGTGGAAGCTTGTTAAAGAGAGATCCAACTTAGAAATAAGGAGAATTTTTCTGACATTAAGAACAATTAATCAGTGGAATAAATAGTCTCCCAGACTTGTGGATGCTTCGTCGCTGAAGGTTTTCAAAAATAAACTGGACAACTAATTGACTGAGATGGTATACGGTTTCCTCTTTTGAGAAGGGTGTTGAGACTAGAAGATCTCTGAGGTCCCTTTCAGCCCTATGATTCTATGTTCTATCTTTTAGTTTTGTTAAGTTTCCCCTTCTTTTTTGTCTGCTGTTGTAGTGGGGCCGTCAGCAATAATATTAAGGGGAAGTTATGCCAGTTTCATTTTTCTTTAAATCAAAAACAGTCAAAATGCAGTAGTGTTGGAAAGAAGCATTTTAAAATTTGAATAAGGTGATGTGATAAGGTTTCCTCTTCAACTGTCCCATACATTTCACCTTTTAAAAAAAAAAACCTCTAAAGCAGCCCCTCCATTTCCAAAAATGAGCTCTCCCAAATCCAGAAGATAGCCTTGCTCCAGAGCAAAATAACTATGGGGATAGGTGAGATTAGTTTTTGTACCATGTAGGCACATATTATTGAATGAGTCACATGTCATATCTCCAAACAAGATGAGATATTAATTATACACTAGGATTCAACTGAAAATACAGTCAAATTTCCTTAAAAAATAAGATACATAGGGGACAAATTCTAGCAAAGCAAACATTCAGAAGTTCATGGATTCTGAAGAATAAGTAAGGAAATGCAATTAATGTGAAAAGAAAGGCAAGTGTGGGCACCTCTTTCTGGCACCTATCTGGCTTCCCTGCATTCTGGCAACATTTAAGGCAGAAATCTGTGACTTTGGAAGGTAGACAAGGGAAAGTGAAGTTAACTTTTTCTATAGATGAAGTATGCAAATATGCAGGGATTAATTAATCACAGTGTTTGTGTTTAAAATAGTGAGTTAATGGTTTCACACATGCACTCCTATAGAAGTCCTATTTTGGGAGCAGGGATGATTTCCAATTTTATGCCCGCTTCTCCTTTGACTTTGTGGGAAGCTGGCAGGGAGCGCTGGAAATCACAATCACATGACCATCGTAGCGTGGCAATGCTGCAGTGGCCACCACTTTGCCAATACAACTGGTGTGAGGAGCCTTAAAATTTCAATTACACAGGAGTGAATGGTCCTGGATTTTATCAGCATTCTTTAAGATAGTGGATTAAGGTCCTTGATTCAAAAATTATTGTGTTGTCTTGCACAGTTTGGAATAATTAAAGGTTACAAACAGATAAGCAGGCAGGAGAGTTTTAGTACTATATAGATTATCAGCATCTTGAACTGAATCTGCAAGCAAACTGGCAACCAGTGTAGCTCACAGAGCAGAGGTGTGATGTGTGCTGATCTGTGTGCTCACATGCTGTGCTGCTACACTTTGGACAAGCTGAAACTTCCAGATGTCCTTCAAGGACAGCCCCATGTGGAGCATGTTACATGTTTGTCATGTGGAACTTTAGTTTTGCTGAAGATTATATTTGCTGTTTATGCTGTGTTCACAACATTCATATGTATAAATGCATTGCAATCTACAGCCCATTTGTGAAAAAAAATGTTAATAAATGTTTTCACATCAGAAAATAATCAAGGAAAGCAATACAGAAAAAAAAGAATATTTACAAAACTATTGTAAAAGAATGTTTATAAAGAGTTGTTGTAAAAGGTATTGCTAAGAAACTAGCACACAAATACAGATGATGAAGACAATAAGAAGCTTTGAAGATAACATGGAGGACAATGTTTTTGAAAGTGAATATGAAACAAAATATAGTGATAAAACTATACCTCTTAATTTACAGGTCTTGCTATTGGAAAACAAGAAGCAAAGGAATATGGCTTGACAACATCTACCAAGTCATATTCACCTGAGATGGACTCAGTAGGTGTACAACCAGTAGCCCAGTCCTTTCTGGCCTGGTTAAACTATACTTCTCCAGTCAGTACATTGTCACCTCCTATGGATTCCAGGCTTGTGAAGATCAATACAGTCACCTCATCAGGAGATCATGCACGTCATCTTCAGTCAATTAAGTTTAATCCTACAGTAGGAACTATATTAAGCGCTGAACATATGGATATCAAATTTAATTGCTCGATCAACGTTCCCAAGTCACTGGTCAACCAAGACTTCCCACCTATTACCTTGTGGAAGAATGGGAAGGAAATTCTTGATGTTGGCAGCCACTATTATCAGTTTGATGATAATGAATTAACCACTATGAAAGCTGCTTTCAGGTAATCAATTTTATTCCATGTAATTTTAATTTTTAAAATTTTCTGGAGTTAAATAATTATGGAATGTTAGAACCCTAAGATTACAGATGATTTTCCCATTTATATTTGGAAGGCACATCAGATTTAAGAAATCTAATTTTAGGACTATTATAAAAGAGTCAAATATGAAACAAAATGGGGACAGTGAGTGAATTGATTTCATTCTTTCCTTATCCTGAATTGTGGAACATTTATTTCACTGAATATCCTTGAAGAGATTCAGAAACTACAATGCAGCAGCAAGTGTTCTCTTGCTAAAATATTTATGTACTTTATGAGATGAATGTAGTCACTGCATTTGCAAAGAAAAGATTATCTAGAAATGTATTTAGAGAGCTTCTAGCCAAACATAGCATCCATTACTTTGAGTTTGGATTGTGTGAGTAGATGTCCTCCTTGTAATGGCATGTGGGAATGACCTTAAGAGATAGGAAGAAGAGCCCTAGCCTAAACAATGGTCTGATAAACAAAATATGGGCCTGAAGGAGGAGGGGTGGCAAAAATGTCTCAGAAGGAACCTTCCCTAGTTTTTCAGAGCATAAAAGTGAGGGATTGGAGAGGTACTTTCAGACTTGCAATATTCTCTTAATGTAACCTTACAATAAGGATAGAGCTAGTGGTCTTAGGTGTGCTTCTTATCTGGACTATTTCAGAAGGCTAACAATCCACCTTTATTACCCATACATCTTTCCCCTCTCTATATATACTAAGCAAAATGAAATTTCAGCCCATGGGATTCATAGAGTAACAAGTCCATCCCAATCCATGAACTTGTTACTCTAGCTGTCTAGCCTAGGAGGCTTTCTGAAGACCACATCTTTAAAACTCTATCTTGCTCTTGCTCCTTCAGCACAGCTCATGACAGCTGCATAGTCCATTTTGGGACTATGAAGAATGAGGATACACCCCAGTATTTCCAGTACTTGGAAACATTTTTAAGTGCTGAGAATGCTCTTTTTAAAAAGTCCTAGAGTTATTTCCCTTGTGGATTGCCTTCCTACGATATTTATTTTTAATGAACCTTAAAATACTGCAGCATTTATTTCAGTATGAACAAGGAATACCAGAGTCTTGACTAAGTCACAGAGTGAACACTGATGGCCTTATAAGTCTTTTTTTTCTCTCCCTTTTCTTCTATAGTATACCCAATGCTCAGCATTCTGATAAAGGATCTTATAGCTGCAAATTGACAATTGAGAATGAGGAAATTGAATCAGATCCTATTTTGGTTTTGTTGGAAGGTAAGTTTAGATCAGGAATAAATACTTGTTGGCTAAAGCGGGTGATTTTGCAAAACAATCCGACAGTGATAATTCCTAGAGAACCAGAGGTACAGGAGAAATGGATTAAAACAGGGAAATTATTTATAAAATAAGTAAGGAGGTGAATGAGGTTCTGCTCATCATGCTAACTCACTGAAGATATTCTCTTTCTTTCCCTCTCTCTCCCTCTCTCCCCTCCCTCTCTCTCCCTCTATCAGCTTCTAGAAAATTAGTGGAAATTGACTCCCCTTTGCCCCCCTACATAGATGCTACTTACTACAACTTCTAACATCCCTGTTGTCTCAATAATTGTAATTTAGCATCACCTGGGAAAACCTCATGTTTCTCACATCAGTTCTAGCTGGAGATGGGAGGAGAAACACTACAGGCAGGCGGTATTGTTTTTAAATGCAAAAAAAGTATCATTCTTATATTCTCCTTTGCCAGGGAAGAGATGGTTTAGAAATATAGTGGTATTACCTGAATGATAGAGATTACCTCAGTACTCCCATGTTACACCATTCCTTCACGATCTGCATTGGTTCCCGGTTGTCTTCTGAGTGCAATTCAAGGTGCTGGTGATCACATTTAAAGCCCTATGTGGCCTAGGACCAGAGTACTTGCGAGACCACCTCCTGCCACCGGTAGCCTTCCATCGCCCGGTTCGCTCCCACAGACTTGGTCTCCTCAGGGTACCTTCGACTAGACAATGTCGACTGGTGACCCCTAGGGGGAGAGCCTTCTCTGTGGGAGCCCCTACCCTCTGGAATATGTTACCCCTGGAGCTCCGGATAATCCCCGATCTCCAAACCTTCCGCCGGGCCTTGAAGACCTGGCTCTTCCAACGGGCAGGCCTGGGTTGACTCTAAACTGATTTTGTAGCTTTTTAAATTCTTAAATCTTAAATTTAAATTGGTATTCCCACGTTTAACCTTATTTATTGGCTATTCTGTTTTAATTTGTCTTTTAACTTTTGTATTCTCTGTTTCTTATTGTTGTGAGTCGCCCTGAGTCCTTCAGGAGAAGGGCGGCATACAAATCAAATCAATCAATCAATCAATCAATCAATCAATCAATCAATCAATAAATAATACTTTGGTTGCCCCTGAGATATTTTTATTCTCTCTTAGACAACATCATTGGTTACATACTGGTCAAGAGAATGGAGACCAGTCTCTTCCCACTCCAGTGAGCAAGTAATTAATGCATCTAACATGTATTCAGAGTACACTTCAGGCTCATTTCAAATTTAGAAATTACTGCTTTGTAAGGGTAAACGGACTTCAAAAGCAGTTTTGGGGACTTTAACATTTATGGATTCCAAATCCCAGAATTCCATAGAGAGCATGCTGGCTAGGGTATTTGGGGAGTCCTACAAATCTTAAAATTGCTGAGGTTGAGAAAACTGACTTAAAGTAACTTTTTCTCAGACTGGAGCCCTACAAGTGTGTTCATTGACTGGAAATGGGCACATCTGACTGGGCACATCTAAATTGTATGAAAAAGGCCTTGGGGAATCACTGTGACTCTCTCCCTTAATGCACAATTTCCATCTATGTAGACAGAATTTTTAAAAAGTTCTAAGTATGAAAACAGAATAGGGTATGAATGGCAGTGTGAGCCAGATTAGCACCAGACTGGTAGAAAAAGCAGGTTACAGAAGATCTTTGATGGACTATCAGATTGATCTTTATAATCTATTAATTAAAATATGGAGGCAAAGGGAAATGTTCTAAAGCACGGTTGTCAAACTCCTGGCCCGTGGGACGGATGCATCATGCACTGGCCACACCCACACCCGGCTTAGCGAAGGGGAAAAAAGTCCCAATATGTCATGTGACGCTGCCGTGACAATGTGAGTTTGACACCCCTGTTCTAAAGGCATGCACAGGTTTCAGATTTTGCACAGGATAAATCCTATCTCAATTGATATGGGTAAAGAATGGGAGTAGCAAGATTACTACTCCATCTTGCTCAATTGCTTAATTCTGCCATGAAATGAAGATCAGCGGAAGTTATTTGGAAAGTACTATTTTTGGGTTTACGTTCCTATCCATTTTGGCTGGTGCACTTTGTTGTTAATAAATCAATCAATAAAAATAAAACAATTCTAGCACACCATTAGTCTTTGTACTGAGTATCAAGAATCTTTCCTTACCCTATTTTTTAACTAATTCACCATTTTTAAAATACATTCACCAGTGGATTGCTGAAACTCAGACACAACATGAATTGGTTCACTGATCATTTATATATGTATATATTTTCTTATGTGATTTTTAAAAATTGTATTTAAAAATACCATAATGGAAGATTACTCTATGAAACATCAAAAGAAGCCACAATCTCCTTGACTGTTGCTTGTTTTAAAATTGCATGGTGGTGGGAGAATTCTGGGAGTTGACGTCCACACATCTTAAAGTTGCCAAGTTTGAAAAACACTGATCTCTTGTGTTTGTCCCTTGATCACATTAAGGTTGCTCATCTCTGAGGCTGGACAGCTATTAAATATGGGATTTATTATCTCAAGTCCAAGACCTCTGAATGACACTGCAATGAGAAATCATTGTACTTAATGCTTAAAGCTTAACCGTATAAATCCAGTCCTTCCAATCTGAGGAAATCCAGATGTCATGGCTTACAACTCCTTTCACCCATAGTCCTACAATGGAGAAACCCTCATGTGTTGGAGAGGCCACTGTAGTTCTACGTGTCTCTTGTTTTCAACTTCTGAGTAGTGCTTTTACTTCTGTTGCCTGCAGGACTGCCACATTTCATTAAGCAGCCGCAGGGGCTGAATGTTACCCGAAATGAACCGTTCAATCTCACATGTCATGCTGTGGGGCCTCCTGAGCCTGTTGAGATTCGCTGGCATTGGAACAGCAACCTAATCCCCCAAAAAACTGACATTTCTCCATCTGTGCTGAGCATGCCAGGTGAGTTAAATCCATTTGTCCTGACACAAATCTAGCATGCACGGTTTTCTATTCTTCATTGGAGCAGGAGAACATTAAATATAACTGAAGCGTGTAATTGATCATATGAGTCCTGGACATTCTGTCTTGTTTAAAATGAGCAGATTAATGATACATTTATTTTAAAAGGAGTAGCCCAAATGGACTAAAACAATTTAAAAAAAAATTTTTTTTTGCCTATTGCTGTAGGGAATGATTTAATAACAGAAAACTAAGAGTTTTTTAGAGTCAGCAATATATGTGTGTGTGTGTGAGCGTGTGTGCATAATGGTATAATATATAGTACATATTGTGTGCAGATGGATAGATATTTTACATGAAGAAGATCCTAGATTTAATTAGTGATGTGTCATAGTTAAAAAACTAAAAGGATATTTACTATGCTAACAGATTCAAAAGTTGTTTTAAGATGGATGGCTATACAAATGTTAGAAATCAATCAATCCTTTAGGCTTTTATAGTTGAATCCATTGGTAGATAATGGATTTAACTAGTATTTTAACTAGTGATGCTACTACTATCAGAATGGGCATTGGTAGATTGATATTTAACCCTACCGTTTGTGATACTACTTTAGTATTTGGTAAAATCTCTACATTATATCAGGGATTGCTTTTGTATACATTGGGGCTTCTTCAGAATTCAATATTATAATTGATTTACTACCATGTCTAATATTTATTTAAATGTAATTTCAAATGAAATATAATTGACATAATATAATTTGATAAATCTATATTTTTGAGTATAGTGTGCTTATGGAAAATGCAATCTGCAAATACTGTATTTTAGCGATATTAAATTCTATAGGAGGAGGAATGGCAGAACCTGAGGCTGGAATTAAAAGAGCCATCAACCTAGAATCCCTACATAGCCACAAGAGGACTAAATCTAACCCACCTTGAATTTTGTTGACCTTTATTTAACTCCAGGCAGTGCTAACAGTGGAGAAGATTCCAGTGCATACTCATGATTAGTAATAAATCAGTTTAATTGGAACTTGTGCCAGACAGAAATGATAGGTATGGGTTATGCCAACATTTAAAAGCTGTATTCATTCTGAAGTCAAGGAATGAAGGAAAAGATGGTCTTACTATCACCTCTGCTGAAAGGCCAACCATTTTTAATTCTTCTTCTTGAACCATTAATATTCTTTTAGGAACATAGCTGTCCCATTTTTTCTATAGTGTGATTAAAATTGTAAGTCTCAGTCAGAGGCTGGAATATAAGTCACTCATATAAGTCCCATTTGGAGGATGAAGAATAGGCTAAACATCTTAATAGAAATATTACTATTAATCATCTCATTATTTCTCGCCTGGATTACTGCAATGCCCTCTACATGGGGCTGCCCTTGGGGTGCACCCGGAGGCTCCAGCAGGTCCAGAATGCGGCCGCGCGGGTTGTTATGGGAGCTTCTCATTACTCCCGTGTGACACCTCTCCTGTGCGAGCTGCACTGGCTGCCAGTTGTTCTTCAGATCCGCTTCAAGGTGTTGGTTCTTACCTATAAAGCCCTTCATGGCATGGGCCTGAGATACTTGCAGGACCACCTCCTACTGGCCTCCCACCGCCCTGTGCGGTCACATAGGGCTGCCCTCCTCCGGGTACCATCGGCCAAACAATGTCGGCTGGTGGCCCCCAGGATGAGGGCGTTCTCAGTGGCCGCACCGATCCTCTGTAATGAGTTATCCATCGGGCTCCGGATGGCCTCCGACCTCCGCACTTTCTGCACCGACTTGAAGACATGGCTGTTTCAGCGAATTCCCTGATCTGCTACAAGATTTTATTTTGTTTGAGGTTTTATATTGGCTGCTTTTAGGGTTTTTATTGTTATATGTTTTAATTCTGTATGCCGCCCCGAGTCCTACGGGAAGAGGGCGGCATATAAATTTAATAAAAATAAATAAATAAATAATAATCAGTTAATTGACCCAAATCATAATGCTTGGACTGACAAGAACTGAAAATCAACAACACTGGGAAAAATCACAGATACCATTGCAGTATAAAGTAATGGAGGACAAGATCCTTCAAATGATAGCTAGCCCACTATTATTGCTCTTTCTCCGAACAGGCTAACAGATACATTTTAGGGATATTGTAGGAGAAGCAGTGGGGTTAATGTTAAGCATGAAAGTTTAAGTCCACAGGCAAAGGTACAATTAAATTGATTTATTGCTTATGATACCTATGCACAAGAGTTTTCTCAACTAATGGTTAACATCTGCTTGGAGTTAGATAAAGGTCAACAGAATTATGGTGTGACCTTGAACCAGTCACTCTCTCAGCCCTAGGAAGAAGGCCAGGGCAAACCCCTTCTGAAATCTTGCCAAGAAAACTGGAATCACCAGGAATCAACATAGATACGTGGGGCGGGAGGACGGGACCCCAAGGCCCTGCCATTTTCTTTGGGGGCCTATAGAGGAGCACACAACCATGGGCTGGTTAGTGCTCTGAAGTGTGTGCCCCTGCCTTTAGTTAACTTTTAATGTTGAATTTTAACTATCTTTTGTCTCTTATCTAAATTTTATATACAGTTTTTATGTTTTAATATGTAACTTGTACACCACCCAGAATATTCTGGGAAAGGAGTTTTGTTTGTAAGCCCCCCAGAATTGCCTTATTGAAGAGATGGACAGCATATAAATTTAATAAACAGCTAAATAAATTTTGTTGTTGTTAGGTATAGTTGGAGAGCTATGGTTTTAGACTGCATAGAGAAAGGAAAAAGGAGGATGAAATTTGGGATGAAAACATATCCTTGGAAAATCCCTTGGGACATCCTTGGGTTAAAATATACTTCAGTGGTCACATTTTATGAAACTATTCTCTGTGCCTTAATTGTTATTTTTACATATATATGTGTATGTGTATACACACACACACACACACACACACACACACACACACACACACAGAGCCTACAACTGCTCTTTAACTCATACCAAAAGTAAAACTATTTTTTAAGAGCGCAGTTATGATCCTTTTTTTGAGTAACCATTTAATAACTAACAAACATGCTTTATAGTACCAGCTGAATGACAAACAACTACTGGACAAAGTTGCGGTAAAATCACCCAAGGGAGGCAGGGCTAGAATGTCAAAGTTCAAGTTTTGGTAGTTAGAAAATGTTTATATGGTTTTAGTATATTTAATATGTTAATTATTAACTTCAGTGCACATACCTCTTCTTACCAAAAACTAGCATGAAAGTTGCATTTCTGTCTCTTGCTAGATTACTACTGAAATTCCTGTGGTTTAAAAAAGGTCCACAGCATTGCGTGCAGGCTGTGCAAAAGAGGTTACCTATCTCTATTGTGTACAGTTCTTTTTGAATTATTCGCTGCAATTGGTTTACTGAACTTTTCCATGCATTGACATTGCTGTGGCCCAAAGTGGTAGCATAAGGTATTAAAATAGCTCTGTCAAAGAATTCAGTTATATCTTAGGTAAAAGAAAATCTCTTTAAAAAGAACAAAAAACACCAAGAAGTCAAGCTTTCTCTTAAATGCTACCCTTGTGGTTAGAGAAATGTTGTGTTTCAAGAGAGATTTGCTCAAAATGTAAAATAACACCTGAAGGTTTGTTCGTAATCTTTGTTCAGGAAAGAAGCCAAATAAAGTTATAATTTATTTTATTGTGTGCCATGATCATGTTTTCCCACAGCCACATTCTCAGTTTGTATGTTTATTTTAATTTGGGTTTGCAGGTATTAATGAAGCCGCTATTTTCCACTGTGAAGCTCATAACAAGAAAGGATTAGCAACATCATCTGAAGCCCGAATCAATATAAAGGGTCAGTCTTATGTGTGGGAGTATCTTTTATCCTTCTAAAATTTTGTTAATATACATTCTGGAAGAAGCATGTTGCATTTCTTGCTGAGGTCCACTGCTCTTAACTATAATTGTTTCATAAGTTACCCTATAAAATACCTTTTAAATTAAATTTAAATCTTTATTTAAATGTATCTTCCAATGTCATCGACAAGGAAGGGAGACATATGTATTTTCTATAAGAGGGGTTCTATAAAAGTGAGAACAGTATTATACTGTATTGTACCCTCTCTTTTTAAATGCTTTGCATTTCCCAAAGGAATCTGGTCTACCTGAAAGACACAAGTCAGATTCAGGAAGTATGGAAAAATTCAGTAAATACTAGCAGTGGATTCATGAAATTGTTAAGATGGAAAATGTGTTGTGGCTTAATTTATTCTGTGAATTAAGCCTAGACTAGCTTTTCCTAAACTGTTGCCTTTCAAATGTATTGGAAAAAGAAGGCATGACTGTCAAATAACTAACTGGACAACCTTATGTGTATGTTTGAAGTTTCAGGAATTTATTACAAGTCACCTTGTTAGATTGGATTTCCTAATTAGATTTTATTCTTCTTCAGTGCTGTATACAGTACATTCTCTATGAGCCATACTAAAATTTCATCTGAATGTTCAGTGATACTATTAGGAGCATGAATGGATACATAGATTCTGGATATTAAATGAATTGATTTAGTATAGCCTCTTCTAATATATATACTACAATGGATGAGCTGGATCTTTAACTCCAAAATTCCTAGCCATCAGGCCTAGATATTAAGAATTTTGAAGTCCTAAAATATGATTAGAGGGCGATAAGTTAGAGAAGCCTAAGAAAGAGATTTTTCCAAATATGGTTAATTGGCCAGCAGTAAACCTGGATAAAAGTAGATCATCCTACCCCAGTTCCTAGGAGAATGTTACTTTTTAAAAATGCATTATTAAAATTCACTCTGATTTGTTTCGGCACTTTTTTCAACAGTAAATTAAACACATTCCTTTTCCTCCATCTTCAATCTTAAGGACAATTAAGAAAGAATATGATCTTATGGTAAACTGTTCTTTTTGGCCATAGTAATGTATAAAATCTATTTTCAATGCAAATAGCAGCATGCTATACTGTACAAACCATTCATTTATATGGTTATTTCCAAAATAGCCCATCCTAATGTTTTTTCATTTATTTGTTTTGATTTTTACAAGCTTGTACCACTACTATTATAAATTGATAAAATTAGAAATAATAAAAAAATAATAAAAGAAAATCATCAGAAAGTGTGAATGCAATGATGTTGAGTCCCGTGTAGGTCTGTGCAGAAGCAAGTTCCAATTTAATTCAATTGAATTTAGTAAAGAATAAGTTCCACTGAGTTAGCAGAATTTATATATATATATAATATATTATATATATGATAGGAATTATAATTTTGTACACCTGTTATATTCTTCTTCTTCCTCCTCCTCCTCCTCTTTCTCTTCTTCTTCCTCTTCTTCTCGCTGATGCACCCCTCCCAACCTCATGTGCTACAAATGCATTAGGACTTTGCCTATATTAGTTGGGAATTCTGGGACCATACCCTAACTACTAGTAATTTTGGGGATGTTTTATCTGGAGGATACATTACAAACTGTTTGAACTCTGTAACTAATTATGTTGTGCATTATAATTCCCATCATTCCCAGATAGCACATGGATTGGGGAATGAAGGTTATATTCCAAAATAACTGGAAAGTGCTTGCATGGGGATGGCTCACTTAGGATACTGGATTTTTGTCAGATAAGATTAGGTTCAGATCCCCACAAAGTTTACTGAACAAATTTGGGGATCAGGCCAACTCAAAGTTTGTTGTAAAAATGACAATTGATGAGAAAGCTGCATTCATCACCTTGAATTCTTTGGAAAAAAAACTGAGAGAAAAATCAACAGAGTAACATGATATTGAGGGGATCCATTGAATTCAAAATGCTTTCCAATACATTGGTAAATATCCATCCCAAATATTCAAACAGATTTTCTGGACAAGCTGACAATCACAAATGAGATAATTATTTATGAATATCTTTTTGTTTCTAATGCAGGACTTCCATCTCCACCTATGAAGGTTCATGTTCTGAGCACAAGAGCCCACACAGTGCTGCTATCTTGGGTCCCAGGGTTTGATGGTTATTCACCTTTGAGTTCCTGCAATGTTCTGGTAAATAGAAAATTATATTTAACATTATTGTAGTGCTTTTTGATGTGAAGTTTTATATAATGCTTACTTTTTCTGTTTTCAGCAGCAAGGCTGCAGAATAAATAATTGGTGATATTCTCCTGAGTGTATTGGGATTGCACTCTTCTTTTTGCTAAACCAGCCTTCCAGTCCCAACAACCCCAGTCAGTGAAACCAAGGGCCATCTTTTCTTGGAACGGTGCAGGTTATGATCTAGGAAGAAAGGAGGTGGGGAAAAGCTGGCTTGGTAAATGTAAGCAACTCCTCATCCTGAAGGTTTGAGGTGAACATTAATAATAGCAACAGCAACAACAACAACAACAAAATCTTAGCAAAAAGAATGAAATTCCCTGACAGCCTTCCTTCCTTTATCCTTTCTGCTAAGTGGGGTTGAATTCTTATAGACATTTCATTAGTCAACTAGATATGCTAGAAGGGAGTGGGGTTTCTTCTCTGTTTATGTACAAGTAATTTGCCCTGTCAATGTTGGTAGGAGTGTTCTTGGTAGTTCCTTTATTAGTCTGCTGTTTATTGTTTGATTGTTTGTCTGAGTTGGTGATTCCTTCATTGGGGTATTGTTTACTGCTTGTAAACAATAGCATTAAAAAAGAAGAAGCAAAAAGACCAAAACTCCTCCTTGCCAACAATCAACATCCAGATAAACAGAGATTAACATGAAGATTAATACCAGACCAACAATCAAGCAGTCCTTGGCAAGATATGAACAGATGTAGCCTTTTGCGGCTGTTAAAAGAGGACAAGTCTGTAGGGATCCCTCCCCCTCCAATGAAATGCTGGCCCTGAATCACACCTACTCTAAAGAGCGCATGCAGATTTCTAGATGTGGGTTCTTGGTTGAAGCCAAGAAAATGAACCCGGGGCAGCTATTGTGATGCTGATCCATCTCTCTTAGCATCCAGTCTACTCACAACAAGCATTTGCATAGGATGGAAGGTGTCAACTTTTGTGAAGTCTCTCTATATTTTTTGAAACTGTGCCCCATTCAGGAGATCCTATTTTCTTCTTCCACTTTAAATGCTTTTGCTTCTTGCCAGATTTTTTTTTGAACCACATTGTCTGTGGGGGCATGTTGTTTATGCTGGCTTCCAAATGCCCTGCCTTTTTCCCACTGCTATTGTGTTCATTAGGCTGGTTTTAACTGCATTCCACATTCTGATTACTGGAATGTTTGTTGAATAAGCTCCTCGACAAATGAATTAATGAACGTTTTGAACATCTATCCATTTTGTTTTTGTATTCTATCTATTCGACAGGATTCCTGTAATCATCAAAGGAGGAAAAAAACATAATCTAATGTTGCATAACCTTAGGCAGTTAGCCACTTAACATTTAAATATCTCACAGCGCTGCTGTGTACATTTTTGTACACAGTGCAGTCATGTCAAGAACTGTGGGCTTCTGTGTAAATTAGTGCTGCCCAATCACTTTTATTTCTATTGAAAAGTGGGAGACTTTTTCTTTTTCTTTTTCTTTTTTTGGGGGTGGGGGCTTCTCTGAAACTTCTGGCTTCACAGTAACTGTTCTTATTTGTGATATTCCTGGAAGAGAGGACTGCTTAACTACTTGAATTCCATTGGCTTCTGGTGAACTTAATCTAATTATAGATTGCACAGGATTACAGTTTGAGGGTTAGGCCAGATTTAATCCCAATTGTTGCGCGACAGACTCATAGAAATCAATTGTATAATTTCACTGGGCCTACTATCTGGATGACCCAAGTTTGATTATAGTTCATAAATGATAAAGGAGGATGGTATTGCTTGTATATTTTGGTATATTTGGTATATATTTCAGGTATATTTTGCCTGAAAGGAAGCAGAAAAAAAAGCAATTCTGAAAATGTAAAAACACAGCAGATATTTGTATTTGTTATTGTTCTAATCTCTCTGCCTTTATAGAGCTGTGCAAAGAAATATTTTACCTTTATGACATTTCTTTTTTTGAGAGAGAATACCTCTCCAGGGTCACCCAGTACACTAGAGGTATTAATGGAGATTAGAATGGTTATGGTTCATCCAACATTCTAGCTTTTTCACCGCAATAGTGGTAATAATTGACAAATCACATTCCCTAGTATACTCAGAAATTACTAGCTTTTAGAGAAGAAAATTTTGTGCACCCTATGGTAAAGAAAACAGTTTGTTACATATATAGGATCTAATAAGATCAACAATCGAATCTTATGCCCTAATGTTCAAATTACTTTGGGGGTAATAACACATATTTATGAGTAATTTATAACTGAGCTTTTAACTCCAGATGCATCCTTTTGGAATTTGAATTAGGTTTTCATTTTGGGACTTATCACTTTGGGATATTTGCTATGTTTTTTTAAAAAAAATATTCTCATATATAATTTTTATTACAGACTTTTTTCTAATATAGAGTAGAAACAATATAATTTTTAAGTTAAAGATAAATGAAGAAAAGTCATAGAAAAGTGAAAAAATCCTTAATGTCTTCAAATATGGCTAAGAAAAAGATTTATCTGAAAACCTGAATTGCTGCTGATCAGTTGGATTAGAAATCTAGTTCACTATACTGTTGAATGGTTTCCCATGCCTACTGGTTATTAGCTGAGAAGTATCTCCAATCTCTTGAGGTTAGTTGTGCTGTGAGAAAAGTCTAAAACATCTGGATACTACATTTGAATAGTTTGGACTGGAGCCATAAGGCCATTATTGCTTCTTCTTTCATTTGTGATTGTTTCTTGACAAATGGAAAACTCCAAAGAGTTGACAAAGTAAAAATTGCACATAGACAGAAAGTCCAATTCCTCAAAAAAATAAATAAATAAGGGCAGAGAGTCACTTCCACAGAGCAGGTTTGTAGTCTTCACCCTTTGAGATCATGCTACGGTTTTAAATAATTGCTTCATGCTGCCAAGGAAGTGCCTTTCCTTGTTGATAGCCAGGCCGCATCAGCATTTCCTGAAACTTGATTCATTCCATTGAGAGGCCAGGGCAAATGTTTTCCCTTTTAGTACCTAAATGAAGCTTAAGGAAAAATTTCCTGGCAAATTTATGTGCAGGTGAGCCTGACTTTTCAGTTTCCTGTGATATTGGCATAAAATCCATTGAAGCCACCCTCATTATCTTTTAATTATTCTGAATAAACAGCTTTTAGGGACTGTCATAGCTGGTGGAAAATGCCTTTCTTTTCCGGATGTCATCATGTTGATGGTATTCATACTGCATTGTTACTGAAGCTCTGGCAATAGATTAAAGAGTTTTTAAAAAGTCAGCCTTATTCCAAATGTTAATATTTTATATTAACTATTACATTAATAAATGAAAACTGTAGAAATACAATTCTGAGTCAGAAAGTATAAAAAATTCCAAAGTTAATTTTTAAAGCAGTGTATGTAAAACATCCCAAAACTGGACTAAAATTACTGAAATGTTGATGTTTTAAAAGGTATAATGGTTTAGTTACTATGCTTAAATCAAGTAATCTCTTCCACCTCCTTTTTTACTATAAAGAGGAAATTAAAAACCAGAGGTATATTTATAACTTTTAGAATTGAAACAATCCAAGAATAGGAACAGCTGGTTATAATTACCTCTCCATTTACTTGCCAATGCATCTCATAGCACTGTTGAATGCCTTTTATGCTTTTCTTTACAGAGGGTACAATAGTATTTAATGCTATTATTTATTGAATGCTGCAAAGGCTGAAAAGAGACTGAATTGAAACGGTACCTATTTTTGTGCATGCTTAAATGCATGTGTGTGTGTGTGTGTGTGTGTGCTCAGGAATGGGATTGGGAATCCTGTGTAATGTATCTTCCCTTATACATTGAGACATTGAAATGCCTATAAAAGGGAGCAAAGCTGTTTTCCACTGCAAGTGGGAGTACGAGACAGTGCCATCCTTTGGCTCTCTGATGACCTCTATAATCAAATCTGATTGACCAAACAATTATATGACCTTGCCTCACTGACTATGTTATTCCTGATGGCCTTGATGTGTCTCCTGAGAGAATGGCCTTCCTTACATTATAATTGTACAAAACGAATTGCAAAACCTGTAACATAATTAAGTACAGCAGCAAGTAAAAGGCAATGAGTTTTATGGGAGTCATAGAGAACCTGAATATATGAACATTTTGGGCTACTTAGAACTCTTCCTTCAAAACAATTTCAGTCATAAACCTAATCCCAACCAAGTCTCTTTGACTTTAGTTCTAATCAACTTTTGTAAAAATAAGCAAAGCTTAGATTGTTAACAGCATTACTTTCATTTACTGGGTGAGTTCTACATCATGGCAGCATTCCAGATAGGTCTAGGTCAGGGATGTCAAACTTGCAGTCCTCGGGCCAGATGCGTCACATGCTGGCCCCGCCCTCACCCGGTTTAGCGAAGGGGAAAAAAGTCCCAATACGTCATGTGACACTGCCGTGACGACACGAGTTTGACACCCCTGCTCTAGGTCATTCTTTCAATCCATCCAGTGTTCATCATGGAGGAGTACCCTTTGCTACTTTTTGTCATCAAAATGCTTTCTATGAGCTCTGGCAAACAAGGACTCCTCAGCCACCTTCTTAAAACTGAAAATTAAGCATGGATAATTGAAGTGATACTTTCAGAGCATTCCTTCCTTAACATATTTGCTTAACATTTTTTAAACTAGGTAAAGGAAATTGATGCACCAAGTAACACTTCTATGATGATTTTTAACACTTCTGTACCACCGCATCAGTATCTTATTCAGAATCTATCAGCCATGAAGGATTACAACATCAGTATTTCTTGTATGAATGAAGTAGGACGGTCAAGTCTCAGCCCTTGGATTATGGCCAGTACAACTGAAGGAGGTAAGAATTATCAACAAGGCAGCATGATGGTAGTGGACAGAGGAATGAAGGATCATTCTCCAGGATATTTGCAGTAGATCAGCGAAAAATTCTGATGCTCTATGGCTTAACAATAAGCCTCTTTCTTCCTTAAATTTGTGTACTGAAATAAAGGTAGGGGCAAACGAAAATAAATGTGGTGTGAAATGAGATAGATGCATATTCCAATCTGTACAAACAAATCCCTGGGCTGATTGAATGCTCAGAGGCACTTTGTTCTATAGAGCAATATCCTCCTTCCTAGCCACAATTTTACATTTGATTACAATTGGTGGCTCATGCCAATGAGATCATTGGCAATAAGCAATGAGCCTCTCCTATTCCCATACCTGTGCCATGTTGTTAATATATGACTATCTGCAAAAACTTTCTAAAATGAAAATCTCTAACAAAACTCAACAAGATAATGACCTACAAGTAATTCTTTTGTCATTTACTTGCTTTTCTTTTTGAATGTACATACTCCATTCCCCTGGATCTTTAGTACAAATTGTTCTTAATGAAAATATATGTTATGATTCTGCTATTATTCATAGAACTATAATTTAGGGAGGATTGAACATATAGAAAGGGATGTAGAAAAATACCTTATTTGTAAAAGGCAGCCTGCTAAAATTTGAATTTCTGTCAATCCCAGCAAGAATATCATTCCCCTCCCTTGGTCTAGAGAACCAAGCCAGTAAATATTGTTTTTATATCTGTTTGTTTTTTCTGTTTCCACCCAAAAGATTAATTAGTGTTTTTATTTTTTTGTATCTGTATTCTGTTCTTCAGCTCCATCTGCTCCTCCTTTGAATGTCACAATCTCTATAAATGAATCCAGTTCTTCAGTAATAGTCAAGTGGATTAAGCCTCCTGCTTCACAGATGAATGGCAAACTTCAGAGCTACAGGATCTCTCATGTATGGCAAACATCAGAACGATCTGTACGTATGAATTTATATTGATTAACTAGTCAACACTGGCTATCCCAAAGAAAGAATTTTTTTAAAAAACTTGGACAACCGCCAGCCTTTTAGGTGGCATAAAAATATCATGAATACAAGCTGTTTTATCAAGAATCACACTATATCCATCTAATTATGCCTTCTGTCATTAGCTACAGCTTTTTAAAATCTGAACCAAAGATCTTTTTCCTTTCCCTGCACTTGATCTTAGCCAAAAATCCAAGAAGCAAAAAAAAAAAGGAAAGCTTTACATGCTTTCTTATTTTGTGTGTCTCATGCTGTATGATATACAAGGAAATGATCAATCAGAAATTGTGTCAAGAACATAAACTACTCCTTTTCTCTCTTTCTGGTTACCTCCTTTTTGATTCTCTCTCAGAGATCCTCTTTCCACATAGAGCAACATACCTTGAAAAGAACAGATAGCTATATTATATAGAGTAATCAGGCTTCCTACAAAAGAAGGACATGTCATCTTTTTTGTTCTCTTATCTCTGTCCAGCAGGCATGGCCTTAACATCAAATATTGTGCAGCTTTTTGAGTATCTCTTCCTGAGCAGTTTTTCTGCTTGGTGTAATGCTTCCCTAAGAAGTCCTAATTGCAAGTTAAGAAGCTCAGCTCTTTGACCTAATTACAGTTAGTCCTTGAGTTACAGTGGCAATTGAGACTAGAATTGCTGTCGTTAAGGGATGTGGTTGTAAAACACAACACTGTGACTGCATTCTTTAACGACAGCAATCCAGCAGCCCTGGTTGCCATGATAACCCCAGGGCACCTGGGTCATTAAGCAAGAAGAGATAGGAGTTCCAGATGAAGAGCATGGGGAGGGTACAGAGGTGTCACAGGCAGGTGCTAGGAAGTGCAGGCAGCCCAATGGAGCCCACAGGTGGGTCAGGAAGAGCTATTGGGAGGTGGGGGAAGCTGGGAAGCATGAGGAGGCTGACTAGAAGCTCGTAGTCTATAGTCTCCTGGAGTGATTACAGAAGTGACTTGATAATTTCCCTCCCAGTTTTCCCATTGACTTTGCTTGTGGGAAGCTGGCAGGTAAGATTGCAAATGGCAATCAGGTGGCCAGATAATTTGTCATGTTACCATGGGGATACTGCAATAGCTGCAATTTTGTGGATCAGTCGTAATTCCCCCTCATTCAATACCATCATAATTTTTAATGGTTGCTGAACAAGTAACCTGAAGACTATCTATAATTGTTTAGTACTTTCCAGGAGGTTTGCCTGCTGCCACAAATTGACAAGATCTTAATTTATTACATGGTGAAGGCTTTTGCCTCTTAATTGCTGTAGCAGATTTCTAGAATTGAAAAATCAGTCTTATTGATGCTGGAAAAAGTAATTTCATATACATGCTGGCCTAAGTACTTTTTTTAAAAAAAGTATTTTAAATTAAATTGTCCTTTGAATTAAATTGATTATACAAGTTCCCCCTACCTGGTTTATGGACTATTTCCTGAAGACTGGAACTTCCATCTCTAAGTCATAAGTGAGATCTCTCAATGCCATGCCCAATTCCACGATCTTTTTTGCTATGGTCATTAAGCAAATCACCATAGTCACTAAGTGAATCCAGCTTCCTTCATTGACCATGCTTGTCATAAACTGCCTGGAAAGATTACAAATGGTGATATATGACATTAGAAACTGCAACCATCATAAATATATGCTGGTTGCCCAGTTCCCAAATTGCTATCACATGACCATAGAGATGGTGTGATGGTCATAAGTGTGAGGACTGGTCATGTCACTTTTTTCTGTCTATCATAACTTTGAATTGTCACTAAATGAAAAGTCATAAATCAAGGATTACATGTATATCTTAGCCATCATAAAGGATATCATGGTGAATGATAGCTAACTTCTCTCATTTTATTTAGGTAGTCCTTGTTTTACAGGGAATTGTTTAGTATTACAGTAATCACATTCAGATTAGTGTTGACCTCTCCTTTAACTGTATAAACAGAAATGAATCCCTTTGCCATTGTGATTACAGTCATAAAATTGACATTACAGTCCTATATTGCACCTAAGATTCATCATGGCCCACCTTTATAGGTATTGTAGGAAAATTCTGCAACAATGAATTTCTACCTCTAGTAGCCCTATTCTGTTCCAGCTGTGGCTTTCAAACTATCTTCGAAGGCAGCATTATGATATATGCATGTATATCATAATGCAGTAATCCAGATACAAGAGGATAAGGATATACATCACTGTTCACTTCCAGATGTGTTTTGATGTTGTGCTTTCCAAATAATGTTATTAAGCCATGTTGAGCCTGAAGATGTTGCGTAGCTGGGAATCTTCCTCCACAGACTCTTCATCTCTGAGTGTGGCCACCCTCAGTATTATGCTAAATGTGTTATACAACAGAGAAACAACAGCTTTGCTACAGAAATGAGATTTTCTGGATAAGTAAAGGAAACTTTTTAACTTTTCATTTCTTTACCCCAGATAACTTTATCTTAAAGTTACTTTTCTAATCCAAAAGTGTAGCACAGAAGATACATTGTACATTCATCAACGTGGTATGAATATCTGCTCAGAGATTATCACACTGAGTTATTTAAATATGGTACATTTTCCATAAAAGATTATTTATGTTTGTTTTCTATAAAACGTTAGCTTTCTGTTCCCTTTTTAAGTAGTTCATTTTTAAGGATTTAGAAATCACAGCACAAAGATACTGAAATCAGCACAGTGGTGTTACGGTCTTCTGACCAGCACAGAGTAGAGACGCTAACTCAGCAACTTATATTACAGATGGTAAACTAAAGGTCACTTCCTGATCCTCAGAACAAGATATAAATCTGTGTGTCTAGCTTTCCCAATAAAATATGCAATGCCAAAACTTTTTCATATATGGATTTATCCTTTAATACAGTTCATCCCCAAATCCTTTTTTGCCTGATCAAAGATTAGACATTAACTGGGAATCAAACTGGACTGGCAACTGAAACTGATTTGGATGCTAGTGACAATTTAGTCTTCTCCATAACATTTAAATGCAAGTTTAGAGAATTCTGGGCAACTGTGTGTCACTTGTTCCCTCTCTGAAAAGGCTGCCCCATTCTCCAGTTAATAGGACTCAGCCAGAAGTATCCAATGCACAGAATCCAATGTTTTTGTCAAAAAAAAATGACAACAAGCATGATGTTGTTGTTACACTCATTTTGTCCTTTGCTTGTCCCTTGACCCCTTTTGCGGACACTTTTGTGCTCAGCCTGCTTTCCAATGTAATAAAGTTATCTGTTCTTTTTTTTTTTTCATCCTTAAGTAATAAGGTGAAGTCAGTGTAGGTGAAATATTTTTGAGTTTGCCTTTCCAAAGATTCAGTTGGTATTTAAGAAGAGGAAAAATGTATTAGGCAGCCTTCAATTTGAAACTGGGAAAAAAAGCTGCTGCTTTAAGGAGTCAATAACTTAGGGCAGTTAAAGTAGTAGCATTTTCTTTCAGATGACTGTTGTGAAAGAACCTATGTGAGTTCTGAAGCACTTCCTCCAAATCATTTTTAAAGCATGCACAATTCTTTCAGTTTCCCATTGTCTTCTGGATAGATAGATATAGTTCCAAACAGAGTTCTGAGCTCAAACCACTGTTTCTAAGAAACCAATCCCAAAGAAATTACATAATTTACAGTGGGTTACAGTGATGTGTGAAGCCAGTCATAAAGGTCTTTACTGTAACCACAATGGGATTTAGGTAAAATGAAAAAGTCTTCATGTCCATTCTAAATTTAAAAAAATAGAGTTACCCAGAGTCACCTTATAGGAGAAATGGGCAGCATAAAAATTTAATAAATAAAGGACTTCCAGCTGACATTATGGCGATATCAGACACAGGGAATGGGTTTCCGTGTTCCCTGTGCTGAGTTCTCCCTGTATGTGGGTTCCAAGAGGAGCCAAAGCCGCCTTGTAGGGGCAGTGAAACTAAGGAGGGGGCGCCCTGAGAGATTGCAGGAGAGATCGCAACTCTCCTGCTGAACCTGGGCTTTTTTCCTTCTATGCCATGCCAAGGAGAAGAGGCAGCCTAAAGATGGCTGACACAAAGCTGGGACAGCCAAAAAACACCTAAGACTGTACTGGAGCGGAGTCGGTGAACAGTGTCTGGAACTGGGTGAGAAGAATCCTTTTTATTTAAAAGTCAACCCCAAAAGGATATCCAGGAAAAGAGAGGCTCACTGCTATTTTTAAAAGCAGTGATTTAACATTTTGAGAAGAATTTCAAAATTGAAGGAAAAAGAATCAAAGGGAGAAGGCAAAAATCTTTAAAAATACAGAACATTGGATTTCTAAATTGGACAGGCATTGTTTTGGATAGGCATTTCAAAATGCTGGAACTATTTACTTAAAAAACTAACATCACCTTTATATTTTGGATTGTTACCATTAAAATTGGATAAAACTAGTTAATATTGAAATTTGACTTAAGAGAGCCACCTGTTGACAAAAGAAAGGCATAACAGATTCTCAAAATCCTAGAAATACTTGGCTATTGGAGATTTAAACGTGAGAATAAGAAAGAATTATTATTAAAGTGACTCCTGAAGGCTACAACACAAGACTGAATTTATAGAGGGACTTATGAAGGTTCTGGAAAAAAAAGTTAGGGACTATTCAGAGGAACAGGTCGATTAGCTTTGGGATATAAAGATTCATAAATATTGAACTTTTTGAGAAGTGACTTTAGGTTTGAATATATGGTTTTGGGATTATTGGTCAAAAGAAGGACAAAATAAAACTAAACAAGATGTTCCACCAGCAAGAAATGAGTGGAATTTGGGAAGAAACGGCATCGATAACTCAAAATATGAAGGATACTTTGACAAGAAGCTACAATGAGATTATGAATAAAATGCAAAGCATAGATGAAGAGCTGGAAAACATGATACAAAGGACAAGGAGTGACCAAGATGCCCAGGAAGAGGAGGAGCCAATTGAAAGAGTAGATGAAAAAACAGAACTGATAAACCAAGAATTAAAACGAGATGACAAGAAGGAGATAACAAAAATAATAATGACTGATGAAACAAGCCGAGGGGAGAGTATTTTAAGGGAATTAAAAAAGGAACTGGAGTTGCAAGAAGACTGTTTTGGAAGAGAGATAGGGGCAAGAGTAGACATTTTGAAAATTAGACAATGGAATAGGGCAGAGAAGGGAAAAATATTTAAAATCTACGCACCTTTTGCCGCGCTTTCAAGACTTTCCTATTTCAACAGGCCGGCCTGGCCTAACTTTTTCTTTTCCCTTTTTAATTCAAATGATGAATTTTAAATTTGTCTTAAAAACATTAGGGTTATTTAAATTGTCACGGGCCAAATTATTTAATCAGATTTTATACTGTTTTTAAATTTTGTAATTTATGTGTTTTATCTGGCTGTTCACCGCCCTGAGTCCTGCGGGAGTAGGGCGGTATATAAATCTAATAAAATAAAAATAAATAAAATAAAATGATTGGTCAAGATGTGGAAGTAGATAGAGATAAAGATCCAAGAGCGGAATATGGGAGGCAAGCTAAGAAACAAACAATTAAAGCTTTAAAGCGGGCAAGAGACAATGGATAGAAAGGGAATATTTTTAAATATAATACTGGCATAATTAAAAGTTAGAATAAGGAGGGAAACTAGAGGGGGGATTAATGGAATACACATTTTTATATAATAAGAGAAGTAATAACAGGGAAAATCAGAACTTGAACAATGGTATTATTAAGCATGCTTGAATAATATGGTGATTGGCATAAAAATAACATATTGAAATATTGAATAATTAAATAATGGAAGATTATAATTTAACATAAATATGTGTATTATTATTAGAACTATACAAGCCTGCTAAATGTAACAAATATGATTAATAATATTTTATTTGTAGTAAAAGGAATGACACTTAGAATATGGTGATTGGCATAAAAATAACATATTGAAATATTGAATAACTAAATAATGAAAGATTATAACTTAACCAAAATATGTGTACTATTACCAGAACTATATAAGCTTGTCAAATGTAGTAAATATGATGAATATTATTTTATTTGTACTAAAATATAAGACCCTCAGATGGCCACACTGTTCACACATTGATATGTTTGTAAAAAAATAATTAAAAACTTGAAAAAAATTAATAGATAAAATAGATAAAAAATTATAAATTATTTGTAAAAAATTATCTATAGTGGATGATAAATACTTTATTTTGCACTCTTACAAAGGGATATATCTTACTGAACATAGCAGAACTTAATTTTGAATTAACATTCACCATAAAAGGATATTTTATCACTGTACCTTATGAAATTATTCTGAATGCGATTATTTAAATTGACATAACCTACTTATTCCCATTTTGTCATACTTTTCCTGATAATCCCAGCCTATCCTTTTTTTTTTTTTTAACTTATTCTCCTTTTTGAAATATCTTTGATAAATTATGTTATGTCTGGTAACCCTTATGACTTTTGCTGACCATGACTGAATGACAGGCTGTTAAGGATCTGTTTAAAGATAAGGGATGAGATATGGATGAAGAGATTGTTTGCTACATTTTACAAGAAGTTTGTTAAAGTTGTTAAAATCATTGAGACTTGTGATAAAGGGGAAGTCACAACATACCTTCCTTCTTCCTCCTCCTATTTTCCCCACAATTTCCCCAACTCTATTTGGGAGCTGAGGTGGACTGAGAGAGAGAGAGACTCACCCAAGGTCACCCAGCCAGCTTTCATGCCTGAGGCAGGACAGGAATTCACAGTCTCCTAGGTTTTAGCCTAGTAGCTTAACCATTAGATCAAACTGGCTTTTTAATTTTTTTATACTTTGTATTAGTTTTTAATCTGTATAACTGTAATCTTAAATAAAATTATTTATATAAAAAACGAATTCATTTTCTCAGAGTTGCAGCCTTAGTAATTTTTTCTTAGTTCCTATTTACAGAGAATTTTTATACCAGCTTTATCCCTCAACTATGTTATCATACTAAACTAGTCTGTCAGCTGCATTATGAGTCACAGAAAATGTTGAGGGTGACAATTTACTAGGTGACAATTTACTAGGAGGTGGTACCTACAAGTACTGTGTTTTTTCCCCTGTTCTTCAGCTGATTCATAGGCTCTACAGGAAATTTCCAGGAATAGAAATTTGTTTCAAGTTGGGTGTGCTAATGCTATCAGATGGAACCCACATCTCGTTGACAAAATGATGCCTAAATTTGCAGGTTTTTTTCTGTTTGATGCTATTATGACTGCAAGTAGATGAAAGTAGATGAAATCTCCAAATACTAATTTCATCACAAAAGACATTCCATCAGGGTGATATTTAAGACAGACAAAAGATATTAAATATTTATTTGATTCCATTGAAATCACAAATTTAGTAGGTAGTACTTGTTGAAATAATATTTTCATTGACTATTTATACAGTATTAACCTTTTTGAGATTTTCAGGTCATTAGTGTTATGGCCCATCGGCTGCCAGCAGAGCTAGCAGCAGAGTCAGACGAGGGGGAGCCTGGGCCCGCTTCAGAGCCTTTGGAAAGCTCTGATGAGGAAGTAGAATCAGAGACAGATGCAGAACTGGAGCCTTCTGTCTGTCCCCTGGTGGAGACAGCTGTATTGGGGCCTGAGCTGAGTGAGGGGGAGGAACAGATGGGACCTATCCCAGATGTGCATATGCGTAGAGAGGAGAGGCGAGCAATGGAAGGCAATAAACTGGCTCTCAGGGAAAAGAAGTCATAGACACTAGCAAGCCCTTCCCTGGCTGGGAAATAAATAGTAGGGGTTTGGAAGTGGCCTGTTGTTGCAGACAACCATTCGTTTTCCCATGTACATCAATCAAGTCAGATTCTTTTCTTAGGACCAGGTTTTTTGAGACTAATTGCTTTATATTTGAGGTGCCAATGGAGTTTCCCTGCTGGGAAATAATAGGTAATGAATTTGCCTCAGCCAGTGTGAACAGGGACTATTTCTCCTTGGCCTAATCATTGAAGAACTTTTTATCTTGAGTTCTCATGTGAACCGAGACTATTCGTGTCCTGTTTCAGAAGGGGAAAAGACTTTCATTTGTGAGTAATTATTTTTGGTTTGGTCTATCCAACGTGAATAAAGATTGTTCCTATCCTGTTTTAAAAGGGGGGTTGTTTTACTCATGAATATATGGTTTCTCATTCCTTGCAAAGGTTGGGTCAGAACAATTAGTAAGTATTCTTGCCAATTTCATCTTGTCCATGTGTAGATAAGAGTAAGTCCTATTTTGCTCACTTGGACTTTTTCTCAAGTAAGTAGGCAGAGATTGCACACTATTCCAGGAGCTTAATCAAACGATTATGGGCAAATATTGTTATTATGATATTAAGTTGTCTTAGGACTCCCCACAGATTTGCCTGCCCAATTTCTTTTTTTTTCTTCTCTTTTCTATTTTGTAGAAATTAATTCTATTACTTTTTGCTTCTTTTTAAAACAATACACCAAGGATCAGTTTAAATGACACATCAGTTCTAAACCATCAGGGATTACACAATTAGCATGATGGAAGCAAACAAGAGATTTTTGTTTTTGTAATAGGCAGGGAAGAAGACTGAGCATGGAAATATTAAAAAAAATCAATTGTACAAACTGCTTCCTACAATGTGCTTTGTTTGTTTTTATGTTAAATTACACTTTCTTATTATTTTGTCTGCCAGTCAGATGACAGATTTGTAATGAGTTAATCTGATCATCCACAGCTGTTTATTGTTTACAATGGTGTGTGTGTGTGTGTGTGTGTGTGTGTGTGTGTGTAATTTAGCATGGGTTCCAAACTGCAGTAAAATGGATTTAAATAACATTGTCAACTTTTTAATTGTTCCTATCTAGTGCTTGAAGTACTATAGTTACCAAGACAGTTACTGTACATAAATATATACATATTGTGCTGGTATTAGCAAGTGTCTTGTTACGCTTATTTGTAAGTAAATAAAGGCAAAAGTTTATTTGCAAATCTGTCAGGTACCTATGAAACCTGTCCACTAGATACTGGTAAAATAAAAATTATTTTTCTCTTCACAGAAGAATTACTCTTTTTCTACCAATAAAGATACAAATTTCATCCATTTTCCATTTATGGCTACAAATGTCACCTGCATAGTGCAAGTAGCTGCTGTCACTAATGGTGGAGTTGGGCCGTTCAGCGACCCTGTAGCAGTGTTCATTCCAAGCAATGGTAAGTCAGATTAATACAGTGATATGACTTAACTTATCAAAAACTTTATTTTTGCACTACAAAAATAGTGCAAAATAAAGTTGTTGAAATTCTAGTCATGTAGCCACAGGGTAACAATAGAACACTAGCTTTTTATATGGAAAGCTCCAAATTGAGTATAAATTGAAATTCTCAGTATCTATACTGCTATAGTCAGTGATCTGTTTTACAGGAAGTTTCCAAGAAAACACATGTTAGAAAAGCCATATAGATTAGGCCCAGGAAATGAGAAACTGCTTTAAAATTGTATTGAATTTTATGAGGGGAAAGTGTCCTCGGCATATGTGTATGTGCTTGTGTGTGTGCGTGCATACACATGCGTACTACACACATGGACATTTTCAAGTCAATCTTGATTCCTGGCAACACCTGGACAACTCTTTGTAGTTTTCCTGGCAAGATTTTTGAAGTGGCTTGCCATTGTCATTTTCCTAGGGCAGAGAGGGAATAACTGGCCCAAGTTTATTCAATTGGCTTCATGAGTAAGGTTGCACTTGAACTCACATTGTCCTATTTTGTAGCTTGGTGCCACTGTTTCCTTATGTGGTTTCCTGGATATTTTGGTGTTGAAATTTTGGAATTTGGAATCCGCAGGTTAGAACAGAGATGCCAAATATTGAGATTAGGGCCTGTAGCTGATGTTAAACCACTGGCTGAAGGTCCAGTTCTTCCAATTGGGATTACTGTAATGATGACTGATAATAGCCCCTTAAATTGGAACAGTGTCAAAGAACAAAACTAATAACTTGTGAGTAACTATCAGAGTTTCTGTGAATTTGGGGCTATGACTATACCAAATATACACTTCTCCAAAAAATTTAAAATGTTGAATTTCAACCAGCAATGAATACTTTGTCACCCATAGATTTGGGTGACAAAGGTTTTTGGGAAACAGTCAAATTCCCAATTTCCTCACCAATATTCTCCAAACTAATGAAAGCTTTTTTCTGGGCAAGGCATAACATTTTCCCTTCAGCGTTACTAAAGAGAAGATGTTCTAAAATTCCATTTGAGACATATTTTTTCCCATGTGGAACTAGAGCTGTCCAATCCATGTTATTTTATTTTATTATTAGACAATCAATGAATCCTTGGATAGTTGTTTCAGAGATTCATCCTTATCGGATTCTTCAGTGCCTTCAACAATGCATTTGAAAAGTTGGGATACATGATTTATGTTTTATAAATGTTTTATAAAAGTTACCAAAGTTCAATTCCATAGAGACATAGGTCCCAGTTTTTTAATGAATTCTGTGCATTAAGTACTTGGTTCAAAACATGTTGCACTAAGATGCACTGTTTTGCCCAGTTAAAAGCTACAGGAATAATAGTTTTGGATCTACAGGAATTTTTGTAATATCTGTATTTTACTTTTTTTTTACATTAGTATCCTGGGCAATCTGACAATACTCATATATTCAACCTTTTTTCAGATATCAAATCATTTATAATTCAGACCATACCAAAATATTGTGCAGCAGCTATGAAAATCAGACATCAATTCCACAGTTATAACATACTTTTCATATCAACTATCACATTTGTCTTCAGTCCTCTCCTTTTCATTGTTTTAGTTATACCTTTTATTTCTAACTTTTTGGTTATAATGAGGATCCCTTTCTTCCGTGAATTTCCAAATAATGCTTCTTTCCCCCCTCCCCCCCAACTATAACAAGATGGCAGTCTCCTTTTCTCTGTAACTTGTCTTATTCTTATAGGTTTGATATCTGTTGCACCTTCTACAACACTAGAATCTAGAAATACAGATTCACTTACAATAGTCCTTGGATTTATATGTGGAGTTGCCATCATTGGACTAATCCTGTACATATCTGTGATTATCAGGAAAAAAATTACAGAAGAGATCAAATTTGGGTAAGTGCCTAACCAAAAACCAGGTTAGTAAACTCAATCCCCGATATATGGTTTCTAAAATGTAATTCAGGTATCAATCTGCAGTTCTTTGACGGGTGATAGGGCACTTGTGGCAAACAATTCCCCAGACAGCTGATATTTATGTCCATCTTCCATGGTCAAATGGATCCGCTTCATGTAGAGTTGCATTTTCTAACCAAAGAATCATGATAATTAAAATACAATATATTTTGAGAGTAAGATTACAAGTAGCTGATTCTCAGTGTTTGCAATTCCCTATGGCAAAAATTACGGCGTAACTCTGTACTAAGCAGGATCTTTGAATAAAGTTCAGTGTAGTTAATTATTATCTAAAGTTTGCTTTAAAATTCAGGCTTGGCCCAAGACTAATTATTGAGCTGCAGTCCAATGTAAGTTCTGTTTTGAATATAGTGGAACTTCTTCTGTGTAATCACATTCAGTGCTATGAGTAATTACCTAAGGGTGTCATGCTAGTGTATTGGAAATAACAATGACATAACTAAACATGATGAATGACTCCAAAGATTGTTCTTTGGAGGCTAAAGTTCTTTGAAAGTTAAGTGTGGTTAAAAAATCAGATTTATATGGCAGCATGACAGTATCATGTCTGTTCAAATGTATATTTCAGATTACTACACTAACAACTACAGGTTGTGAGCACTGTTTTACTTTTCATTTACTAAAATCACTAAGATTGGAATAAGATGAATGCTGCTTTAATGATGCTTGAAAAAGTAGAAACAGAAAATACAGGATGGGAATTCATATAATCAGCAAGTTTAGATAACAGAGGTCCTGCTGTGCAGAATGTTTGTGAAGCATGATTCATTTGTGCATGGGATTAGAAACAGCTTTGTGCACACTAAGTAACTTAATCTCTCTTTGTTACTTTCACTGCAAAATACTTCATACAAACTCTGTAAACTCTTGATCTTTTTATTCCATTTTCTCAAATTTATGTCCCCTTCACTAAATTGGCGAGATGTATATGTTTGGTTAGGCATTGTTTGGTCTAGTGGTCTAGATCAACGGTCACCAACTGGTGGTACCTGGACCACTGGTGGTCCGCGAGAAAATTTTGGTGGTTCACAGTGCACCCGGGTGGAGGAGCTGCTCCGGGATGATCAATGGGCCAGTCCTGTGACTAGAGTTCTGGAATATGGGACCGGCTAGGCAGCTCATGGTGGGGCTGGAAATCTCCGCCGTAGAGGGTGGTACATGCAAAGTGCAACTTTGCAGGTGGTACAACAAGGAGTAGTGCAGCCCTTGCCAGCCAGAACGAGGTAACGGTGCTATTGCGGCGGAGGGGGTGGCGGCACAGGCAGGCCAAAGCAATGGGTGGCGGCAATCCATGGCTCTTTCATCCCCCTGCTGTGGCTCCCTGTCGGCTGAACCCACCAGTTGCTGGCTCCACCCCTCACCCTCCCCTCCCAGTCACACCTGGCCTGGCCTGAGAAGGTAAGGGTGGGGGATGGAGACTCGCTCCATATTTCAGAGTGGGAGCGAAGCGCCCCTGTACTTGCTTCATCTCTTGCACTTCTTCTGGCCCTTTGGGTGCTGCTCGCACCTCGGTCATTCGGAGAGACGCATAACTTCCTCTCCACCCCAAGACACTGGCCTGGCCGTTTCTCTCTGTTGCTGCTGTTGAGTCCTTAATTAGTGTTCTTAAGACTATTGTTATGCGAACAAATGAGAAACCTTGGCTGTATGTGTGATGTTGAAGGTGAGAAACACTGCTTTTGTGATGTTGAAGGTGAGAAGTGCTGCCATATCGCTCAGGCGATGTGGCAGCACTTACTATAGCAAGAGTAATTTGCGACGTGCTATAAAAACAGCAAAGCAGGCCTGAGGTCAGAAAGTACAGAATTTTTTTCAAGATCCTATGGACCATAGGCGCATCTGGCAAGGTATCCAGGTTATTACTGACTATATGGCAGCTTCCCTGACATGTAAGAGTGACATAAATTTTCTAAATAAGCTAAAAATGTTTTTGGACAATTTGAGGCCTCAAATAACATTCCAGCAAGAAAGGCTGTTCCACTTCCTGATGAATAGGTGCTCAGGATTAATACAACTGCCGTTTAGGTCCTGCAAAAAAAATACGAAAGATTTCCGACCTCCGGGTGTTTCGTTGCGCTCTGAAGACCCTGTTGTTCCGCCAGGCAGGGTTACTAACATAACGTTTTAAATTGGGGTATTTTAAATTTCTGGGATTTTAATTGGAGCCTAATTATTTAATGATTTTAAATTTTAAATTGTTGTCGTGTTTTTTGTGTTTTTAAATAGGCTGTACACCGCCCTGAGTCCTTCGGGTGAAGGGCGGTATAGAAATAAAATTATTATTATTATTATTATTATTATTAAAAGTCAATATACGAAAGGCTGTGGGTCCCGATAATATCCCTGGGCGAATATTTAAGGAGTGTTTTGACCAGCTGGCTCTTACAGACATCTTCAATCTTTCACTGCATTAGACCATGGTTCCATCATGTTTTAAGATTGCAATCATTGTACCAGTCTCCAAAAAAATCTATAATTACATGCCTTAGGGATTACCATCCAGTTGCTCTCACTTCTATTATGATGAAGTGTTTTGAAAGATTGGTAAAGGACTATATTGTTTCATGACTTCCCCCTACATTTGACTCATTACAGTTTGCTTATCGTAAGAACTGCTCTATAGATGATGCACTTTCTTGGGTGCTTCATCTTAGTTTGGCACACCTGGAGGAGAAGAATACTCGTGTGCAAATGCTGTTTCTTGATTTTAGTTTGGTGTAAAACACAATCATTCCTCAGCATTTGGTGAACAAACTGGACCTATTAGCTTTTAATACTTCTTTATGTAACTGGATACTTGATTTCCTTATTGATAGGCCCCAGTTTGTGCAAGTTGGAAGAAAAGTTTCCAATTTCATCTCCTTGAGTACGGGTTCTATGAGTAATTATAAACCATGAAGTAATTTGCCCACATTTAACTCAGGCAACCAAAGAGGCTTATGCTACCTTAGTAATTTATTTTTGCATTATCTTTATTAGGCCTGGTTCTTCTGTTTCAAGTACATTTGTATTTTCGGGGCAAATGTACACATAGATGTAGGAAATCTTAGCACTGAAATCAGGAAGTATTACATCAAATACAGAAGGGGTACAGTAATAAAACTTAGAAGTATGTAAAATAATTACAGATAGCACTAAAAAAAATCCTTGACAAACATCCTGGTATTGACAAATTATAATGTGGTGAATCAGCTTTCAAATATGACGGGTTATATCCTGTTTTTAGCACATAAATTTTTGATCTCTAATCTTTTCCAAAATGGGAGGGAACCACTTTCGGTTACATTTTGTGAAGATTGTTTTATATGAGCAACAAAGACTTATTGTAATCTCAGTTCACAAACCTTGTGATCAGTTCTTGCCTTTTCCTTTTTAAACTTTTGAAAAAACTAGCTGTTCTAAATGTACCAAGAATATTTTTTCATAGCATGCTTCTGGAAATTTAGCTCTGCTGAGAACTTACTGCAAAAACATTTTTATTTCTTTAGAGCAGCATTTCTCAACCTAAGGCCCTTTAAGATGTGCAATTCCCAGAGCAAATTCCCTTTGTTAGAATATGGTACATTATCACATTTTAAATCCTACTGTAGGTTACCTTATTTAAGTATAAATGTAGCTCTTTTTCGGAGCATGATTCTCTAATAAGAAAGATGGTGCCTAGAATTTTATATCATGTGAACAAACTTTTATTCATGCAGTTCATCTTTCACTTTCCTTCTTCTTTAATCCCAGAGTATTTTGCCACCCAGATTGTGCCCTGAAGAAGATTTGAGGGCAATGACAGTAAATGTAGGCAGAGGAAATGGCTCTTACTCCCTGTGCCCAGTTGCTGAAGCTGTTTTGTTGATCGAAGAAATTAAGGGAATATAACCTATTAAAACACCATCTATATATTAGATGTATATTTCCTTCCCATTCAGTAGATTGAATTTGTGAAATGCGGGTGTTTTTAAATTCTGTTTGTTGGACTAGGCTTTCTTTTTAGTATGTCACAAAAAGTTCCTTTTGAGTGCACTGGATATGCTGACTCAAGGAATGGTGATCTCAGTTTATTTGGGTATTTCCTTCCTGGGGCTAAGAGTAGTTGGAGAGGAGGGAATGAGTTTAATTGGACCATGGACAGAAGGGGAAGGAAGGAGAATGTGCTTTTTGTGAGGGGTAATCCTGAAACTACTTCTCCACTGACAGTTTTTAAAATAGAACCTCAATTGCGTTAACTGTCTTGGCCTCTTTATTTTTTAGAAGCTCTGGTTTCTTTTTAAAATGTTGCAACTGTAAGTCATGAGAGGGAAATTAAGTATGAAAATGAAAGTTTTAGGTAGTACATTGCTATTAATGAACACCATTTTCAAAATGAGTATTTAAAGTAATTTTCCACTTCACCAAAATAGTTGAATGACTCAGCCTTTCTTTTATATGGGAGATAAGTGTAATTATTGAATGTTTATAGAGATAAAAGAAGGGAAACAAGTATATAACTCAGTCAGGGGAAAAAATGAAACATGACTGGAAAAGCTAGAATTTCCTTTCCTTTTTCATTGTTTCGATTCAACCTGAGCCAAACACCTGCCCATAGTAATCCCAAAGGAAGATAATAATTGCTCATAAGGCAGCTGCAATCTCCATACCCCCAATTCCTAAAGAATTCACAGGAATAAAGCTATGATGGCATTATCATATTGTATTTCTTTCCCCACCAGGTATGCTTTTAGCAGACAAGAGACAGAACTGGCTGTAAATTACAGAGTCAAGAAATCTTATGGCCGCAGAACTGTGGAACTGACATGTAAGTTTTAGATCGGTGTTACAATCCTTTATGGGAAGAGAGCAAGGGAGACCGTTTATAAAACAGAGCATGTAAGATGAAGGAGAATTATGCATAAATACATATTCACACACACACACACTATAGAAGAGAATAAATTCAGGGATGAACTGTGAAGTCCTTGATGCTTTCTGAGCTTGGTTGTTTGCTCACCCGTCAATAGACATATGAAGATAAACCACATTTACTGACCATTCAAAAGAGGCAATTAAAAGAGCTGAGAAGGAAACTAAATGACACATCCTCTCCAGCAGCCTACACCCAGATAAGCAGGAATTAACACTAGACAAACAAACAAGCAGAAAACAATACCCTAATCAAGAAACTATCAAGGAGAAAACCACACCCCTGCTCCGTTTTTGGTTCCAGGAGGCTTCAGGGAGGCCTGCTAGCTTCAAAATGGGTCACTCGTACATGTGTGTGGAGCAGGGGGAGTGTGAGGGGTTACACGCACATGCGTGGGGCCTGCGGGGGGGCATTACATTATGGGTGTTGGCACATGTGTGCATGCTGTCGCGCGGGCACGCTTTCGGCACCCGAGGAAAAAAAGGCTCGCCATCACTGCAATAGAACATTCAATTTCTTTTCTGGATCCACTTTTTTGGAAATGTTCCAACAGTTTTCTAGAAGTAAATATTTTGGTGGGGGGAAAGGCAATTGTTCATGGTGTTCCATTGGTGGCTTTCTCCTGCAAAATCAGTCATAGCTAGAGAGACTGTAATTTTTCATATTGCATGTAGAGAAAACCTCTTACTTGAATGCATTGTCCCAAGAAAATTTACTATACATAATGCATTGGAAAGAATCTTTCTTCCTTAATAATCAGGCTTTCTGTAAGAAGAAAAGCTTCCTATCTCGTAAGGATGAAATATTTAATTCATAGGCAACCTAAAGTAATATAATGAAAATTTGTGTAGTACTGGAGACATTTGTACCCATATGTTGAATAGCTCTAAATCAGGGGTGTCAAATTCAAGGCCTGCGGGCCACATTCGGCCTGCAGGGTGCTTAGATCTGGCTACCCTGGAAACAGCGAAGGATTGGCCCATAGTGCCTCTGCCAGTGAAAACAGAGCTCGGGCCACCATAGGTGCCCCCGACATGAGTGATGTTGAGCTGGCCATGCCCACTCTGGCCACGCCCACCCAGCCCCCCAAGGTCAAACACAACCCTGATGCTGCCCTCAATGAAATTGAGTTTGACACCCCTGCTCTAAATTAATCATAAAATAGCAATTTTCTACTGCAGGATTTGATGGTGTCTTCCCGTACAAAGTATGCAATCAGGAAACCCATATAGTAAACATGTATCTCATATCTCATTTGTGCATTACTTTCCCAGTGGGTAACCTAGGAGTAAGTGAAGAACTTCAGGAAAAACTACAGGATGTTATGATTGTCCGGAACAACTTGGCCCTAGGAAAAATCTTGGGAGAAGGTAAGTACCATCCATCTATACAGTTGTCATAACTGTCAAGCAAGACATCTTTCCTCACCCTGCATAAGATGAGTCAAGCTTATGGTAAAAGCATTTCATTTGCAAACCAACTCCCTTAGAGTATTACCAGTCAAATATGTTCTAAAGAACAGCTTGTATTAAACAAAATAGGCAGGAGCCTTGTAAATTAAAAAAAATATTTTTAGTGTATCACTTAGTATGTTAATTTATTATAGTCATAGCCCAGAGCAACTTATATATAAAATAATAATAAAACAAATACTTAAAAATTGAAATATTACTAAAAATAGCAAAATGCAGAAAATTTTCTTAACTTCAAACAATATTCACACTTTCCCCAAAATCAGTGATTTATGTTCCGCTATAGTCAAGATTCAGAATCTGACTAGACTTTCAGCTGATGGATATTTTCAGTCCCACTCAAATATCTCTATAAAAGAAGCAGTGCAGCAGGACATGACCTACAGTTTGAATTTCCTTATTGCCATATGGTAGAGATGCTGTTCTTTAGAAATATTGCAAAACCTCCCTGCCAAATAAACAATGGGAAGGGAATTAGAGCTGGCCAATATAATATCTCTTCTGGTATCTTTGAAGACAATATTAAACAAATATTGGGCAATTTTTTTCTGGTATCACTGGAAGAAAGTAAAATGGGCACAGGCTGAAATTATGTTGGAGGTCAGTATCTTTAGTATGTTGACATGGTCTGATCAAAATCCATTAAGATTATGCAATAGGTCAAAATTCACAATTCCCTAGGTTGGCATTAAGTGATTTCCACCAGGAAAAATGAAATTTATCTTTAAATGATCAAAAAAAACCCCAACTAATTAAGAATTAATTTAAGGTAATAGCTAATACAGTACATACATTTTGCACAGTTTCAATTGATACTATTTCAGTGTCAGGGCAAAGTCACATACAGGACTTATTGATGTTCAACTTAAACATACGATGAGGCTAATTACTGGGTGCATAAAATCTATACCTAGTTACTGGCTACCAGTTCTTAGTCACATACTTTTCCCCGTACTTAAGACAACAAGAAGCTCTCATTCGGGAGTATAGTAAGATCCTGTTAAATTCCTCTTTACCCATTCATGGCTATATTCCTGATCTCTTAAGATGCCGATTAACGTCAAGAAACCCACCACTCTTGACAGCGCTTAAGCTGCTGGCCGATCATCAGAACACCACACAAAAGTGGATGCAAGCGTGGAGTAGCTATTCCCCCCAAGATATTTCTGAGCATATTAATCCTAATAGTATACCTCCAGGATTTAATTTACCCCGACACATATGGGTGACATACAATAGAATTAGAACGGCTCATGGGGTGTGTGCCGACTCCTTGTATAAATGGGGAAAGTCACCTTCAGCACAATGTGATTGCGGGGGCCCCCAACAGACTATCCAACATATAGTGAGGGAATGCTTTAACAGAAGGTATCCAGGAGATTTTAGGGACTTCCTCTGCGTAACAACGACAGCTACTGACTGGATCTCCAAACTCGACATTAAACTCTGAAATGTTATTTTTGTTTTCCTCTTAGGTTTCTTACTGCTTTTTTTAAAATTGTTTTAATTGTTTTAACCTGTAAAAATGACGTGTTTTAATATTGTGTGTGACCAGCCATACGCTAAATAAATAGTAAATCAGGGCAAAGGATGAGTTTGGAACTCATTGTGGAACCAAAAAGATGTTCTTTAAAAAAAAACTTTCAAGGGTTTCTAATGCCTGCTTATAAAATAGCTATAAGGCAGGGGTGGGTTCCAAATCCCGTTGCTACCAGTTCATGTGTGTGCACAGTGCTTCTGCGCATGTGCAGAAGCATCCGGGGAAGTGGGCGGAGCCTCCCGCTGCCACTGCTACTGGTTTGCTTGATCCGGTGCGAACCGGTAGCAACCCACCACTGCTATAAGGTAGCTGTGGTATTACGCTAGCTTCAAACACTTTTAGCCCACTTCATTATATAATTACTTCCTTTGTACAGACAAACTTTAAGAGGCCAACTAGACTTTTTTTCACCATCTCTTTTAAAGATTAAATCTGAGCCTTCTAAGTGCCTGTAGCATGGAAAACAATTCTGAGAAATGTAAAAATCAGAACCTGTTCAGTAACATTCTTTCTCCTGTTGCCATCTTTGTTTATATCTAAGAGGTCTCTTTGAAAATATCATAATTTCCATTTTGATAGACAAAAATTAGGTTATTTTCCATGCTAGAGGGGGCAGCTGATCCAAATAGTATTTGTTATATATAATGTTGAGATAATGGCTGCACCATCTTCATAAAAAAAACTTTATATGAAAGTGATGTCAAATGAGGCTTATATAACTTCTAAAATGTTGTAAATGTATTCCTTTAAGATTACAGTTCAAGATTTCGTTCAAGTATAGAACTTTATTAACTCTCACATGACTCTTTGTAACTTATATGGTACAAAGTATTGTACAGTACTAATCTTTTCATTTCTAGGTAATAAATATTTAAATGTCATTAACCCAGTCACTCTGATAGTTTGGAGTCCTAACTGAAGACAAACTTCTAACTCCTATCAGACCCATCCTTCTATCCATTCCCCTCTCCAAATCCTTTTTCCATACGTTCTGCTCATTTGCAACATCTAGTAATACTGTCAATAATACAAGGAGCCTTGGTAGTACAGTGGTTTAATGCACCCTGTTATTAACACAGCTGCCTGCAATTTCTGCAGGTTCGAATCTTACCAGGCTCAAGGTTGACTCAGCCTTCCATCCTTTCTAAGGTAGGTTAAATGAGGACCCAGTTTGTGGGGGCAATAAGCTGACTTTGTATAAATATACAAAAGTATGAAGGCTATTGCTTAACGCATTGTAAGCCGTCCTGAGTCTCCAGAGAAGGGCGGCATATAAATCAAATTTTTTTTTTAAAAAAAGTGAAGATATCTATCACACTGGATTGACCCTTTAACAGTTTTCAATGCATGCCCAGATTTGCAGTTTGAGTTTGTAGAAGATCATTAATGGCCATGGTAGAGATTACGATCATTTATATCCTTTTCGCCAATGTTCCAGTGCAGCTTTTACCTTTGTTTTTCCTGTGAATGTATGTAATCTCAGGGATTAGATAGCTTGATAACATGAGGTAAGTATGCTTCACCAAGCAGCTGAGCCTATCCCCATTAGTTCTTTGTTGATTTGAAGAATCCTCTCACTCTTGCTAACTACATTTTGAAATGGGATTTTATGTATGGAGATAAACATGGTATTATTTCTCCATTTAGGTGAATTTGGATCAGTCATGGAAGGGAGTCTCAGTAATCCTGATGGAACCACTCAGAAAGTTGCTGTGAAAACAATGAAATGTAAGTATTATCTGGTCTCTACAGCTGTAAAGTTATTTGTGTTTAAGAAATAATCAGGAGCAGTTAAAAACATAGATAATCAAACAATGTTGTAGAACACCTCCAAAAAGATAAAATTCTTTCCAATTAAGAATCCAGAAAATCTATGAAGAGACAGAAGGTTGTCTATTACTCAGTTATCAATTGTTGAAAGGTATATACTACTTTTCATTTTATCAAGTACAGTATATAAGAATAATTTAAAAAATAATCACATATCTGCTAGCAGTGTTTATTTAAAAAGCTAATCTCTGTTTTGAGGATTTTTTTCCTCTGAGTCTACCTAAGGAAAAGAAACAGATTATAAAATAATCTCAAATTCTTTTTGCATTCAATTCTGTAATCTGTTAGTTTCTAAAATAGAAGTTTACGGGGGGCGGGGGGCGGAGCCTGACAGCCTGATGAGCCGGTAAGAGTTTTTCCCGGCTCCGGAATAGTGGGCCGATAAAATTTATCATCTAACTAAAATGGACAGAAAGTTGTGGAGGTCTGTTTATGATTATCTGGGCCAACAGCGGAGGAAAAAAGAGAGTTGTTTGGGACAGTGAATAACCGATAAAGAGTGTTTAAAGTGTGGGGCCTAATCGCTGTTGTTGGAATGCCACAGAAGAATGTTTGGAATTGTTTTTAGACAGCAGCTAGCTTCAAGGAGTGATTAATAACTTTACAACCTCACACGGTTAAACAGCCTGTTTTATTACGGACAAAAAAGAAAAACGGGGAAAAAAAAAACACCCGCTGGAAGCAGAAGGTTTATTTGATTGTTGCCCAGGCTGTGAAGATTTATGCCACCGAAAAAACAAAAAGGTGTTAGCAAATATAAGTGGCAACGTATCCATCCTTCAAATCACACCGCGGCACGATTAAAAAGACAATCTCTGGGTGAATCGGAACAAGAGAGCTCAGAAAGTGAAACAATAATGGCGGCAAAAACTGGCTCACAGCCAGCAACAGTCGATGAACTCAGAGAAATGCTGACTAGCACTAAAGAAGCGATTTTCAAAAGAATGGATGCTTATGCAGAAAAAGTTGACAAGCGCATGGACCAATTAGCTATAAATATTAGTCATAATGGTAAACAGATTAAGCTTCTTAGAGTGGAAACTAACCAATTAGGAAACAAATGAGGCAGTTAGAAGAAAATCACTCTTTGGAGTTTGATGAGCATGAGAAAAGGCTGATTTCTCTGGAAGATCAAAGCAGAAGATCATCAATACGAATTCGAAATTTACCAGAGATGATAGGAGAGGACTTGAGGAAATTGATCCCATGATGGTTTAAAGAAATAATCCCTAATTTGGCCACGGGAGAAGAGGACATTGAACACGTCCACAGAGTGGGCGCTTTCAGAGCTGGATTTCGCCCCAGAGACATTTTGGTAAAATTTTCTAATTATTATAAAAAAGAGCAGCTGATGATGAAACTGAGGTCGTTAGCTGTGCTGAAGTTTCAAGGATCTACAGTTCAAGCTTATAATGATCTTTGTTACCAAACAAGTGGAGGCGCAGCATTAAATCAATCACCGAAGAGCTCAAGAGAAGGGAGATAAAGTATACATGGGGATACGCAGTATTTATGAGGTTTATGTATGATGGGAAACAATATAGGATTACCTCTTTGGAGCAAGGCATTGAGCTACTTAAAAGTCTGGGGCTGGAATTGCAGGACGATGCTGTTTCCTAAAAGTGCCAATGGTGGAGGAAGATGAGCCACGGCAAGTGGGAAGTGAAATCGACAAGACTGAGATGATACATCTGTAAAATATTAATACTAGAAGGCTTGCTGGTTCTGGACTGTGGGCTTCATCTTCCCCCCTCCCTTTAAGAGAATGGCTGGAGCATTAGGCTACTGGGGATTTAGTGGGGGGAAAAGAGTTTGGGGAGATTTGGGGGTGGGGGGTGGGGAAGGGGGGTAGGTTTTGAGGGTTATTTAGTTGAGGTCGTTTTGTGTTTTCTTATATGTTGGTTTAAGTTAAAGTGCACAAGGGATCGTAAAGAATTTGTATGTGCTGAATATGGATAAAACTATAAGAATTACAACACTCAATGTCAAAGGTTTGGGGGCAGTAGTGAAAAGGAGAAGAATCGAACAATTATTAAACAAGGAAAGATCTGACATCATTTTCTTGCAGGAAACTCACCAGGATAAGGAGAGAGTAAATGAAGTGCGTTTGAAGTGGTCACTCCATTATGAAAAGTCACTGGGGACTTAAAAAAAAATGGGGTGGCCATACTGATTTCTAAAAGAACTGGATTTATTATGGAGAGTATAAAAAAAGATGGGCATGGTAGATTTATTATGATTAAAGGTCAAATTGAAAATACAAAATATACGTTGGTTAATGTTTATGCCCCAAATGTGGGACATAGAGAATTTTTTTTAGAATTGTTTAAAGTAATAGAAGAATTTAAAGAAGGACATGTCATTTTAGGTGGAGATTTTAATATGGTTAATGTTAGGTTCAGTTTGTAGCTTACTCCTAACTTGTTGGTCAGGCAATATATCTGTTTCTTTAAGAAACAACTGAGCCACGTAATCAGGGTTTGCTGAACCCTGTAATTAGGCTACAGTGCATAAATAAGCAGCGCAGAGAAGCGTTCTTTGTTCCTGATTGTTCCTGTTCCTGTTGCTTCTTGCATTTTTCTGCTGATTGGTGTTAGACTGAATTGTTATATGGTACTGTATACCAAGAGTTACTAAAGTCTGTTTGCTTTGGTAAGGGAAGATAATTACTGGACTGATATTACTGTTTATGACCTTGGACTGTTTTACCTACACCGAGACTGCTTATTATCTTGTATATAAAGTATTTTTCTCACGCGAGCTGCACGTTTATCTCCTTCCCTGTGTGTTTCTGCTCTGCTCGTTGCACAAGCAACAAATACTTTTTACACACACCCTAACATTGGTTATGGGCCCAGAACGTTCCAGGGCTCTTTAATTTGTTTTTGCGGAAGTGAGAAGTGCAGGCAGTGGATGTAGTAGTCAAGATGATGGCTTTTGAGCAAGGTACAAGTTATTCTACCATAACCCGGTTGGATGGTACAAACTATGTTACCTGGTCCACAAAATGCTGTCTACTTTTGCGAAAAGAAGGACTGTGGGACATGGTTAATAATCCACCGGACATAACTGCATTGAATGCTGCTGACGAAGAAGATGCCAAAAAGATAGCGAAGTTTCACAGGGACAACGAGCGTGCTTTATGCATCATTGGCCTGACACTGGGAGACCAGCAACTTGTCCATTTCCGGGGTGAAGAGTCTGCTGCGAGGTGCTGGACAAAGCTAAAGAAGCTCTACGTTCGTGACTCTGTGGGTGTCCATATCTACCTGACACGGAAATTATTTCGCTTACATCTTCAGAAAGGAGGAGACATGATGGCTCACCTGGACTCCATGACAGGGCTTTTCCAGGAGCTACATGAGAAAGACCTTGTGTTTACTGAACTGCAGCAAGTTTATATTATTCTTTCATCGTTGGATGACAGTTATAACTCTTTTGTTTCATCATTAGAAGTATTGTCTAGAGATGAACTAACATTGGCCAGTATAACTGGTAGGTTACTGGATGAGGCCAAACGTAGGCAAGAACGAGACCAGTTAAGGATGCAACAGCAACCAAAAGTGGAAGCTGTATATGAGAATGTCAATATTGTTAAACGCTGTTATGCATGTGGGGCTAAGGGGCACATTGCAAAATATTGTAATAATAAGAAAGTATCTGCTAGAAACTCTGCTAAACCCAGGAAAGGGTGTAATTTAGCAACCAGTTCATCTATTAATATAAGAGATGATTGGTGGGTGATTGATAGCGGTGCCTCTCAATCAATAACAAAAAACAGAAAACTGTTTCTAAACATGAAGAAAAGTACTAAAAAGGTCAAATTAGCTAATGGCTGGAATGTGACTGTAGCTGGGGAGGGACTTGTTCAATGTTCTATTAGTAAGCACCCTTTACCCATGCTTTATATCCCTAGTTTGAAATATAACCTTTTCTCTGTAAAGTCATTACTACATTCTGGGTTTACAGTAACTTTTAAAAACAACAAATGTTTGCTGGAATGTGAAGGCACTGTGGTTACTGCAGAATTAGAAAACGACTTATTTGTCATTAGGGATAAGTCATTACTGTTAGTTCAGTCAAAAGCTAAATTTGGAAATGTAAAGCCGCATGATGAATGCGTACATTTACTACATAGAAGGCTTGGTCATCTGAATTTCAGGTTGTTGCATTCGACTGTTAAGCAGTCTAAAGGCATTAAGTTAAGGGCTTGCAGCAAATACCTGAACTGTAGTACTTGTAACCAGCATAAAAGTAAAGTTACACCTGCAAACCGCTGCAATGGGTTTAAAACAACTAAACCTTTGGAGGTAGTCTTTTTAGACTTAATAGGGCCAAAGAAACCCAGTTTAGGGGGAGCATGCTATATTTTGAGTATAGTTGATCACTTTACCAGATATGGTTTTTGCTACCTTATGAAGTCCAAAAGTGATACGTTCCAATGTATCACAAACTGGCTTCGTTTTGTAGAAAGGAAGCAGAGGTTTAAGGTGAAATGCATTGTTACTGACAATGGAACTGAGTTTACTAACCATCAGTTGGCTAAGTTTTTGAAGGATGCTGGGATACAGCATAAACGTTCTGCCCCTTTTCGGCCGGAACATAATGCATATATAGAACGAAGAGGCCAGACCCTACAAGCTATGACTAGGACTATGCTGGCTGATGATTGTGGGGAGAAGCAATACTATGTGCCAATCATATTTTAAATAATGTGGTGCACTCCTCTACAGGTAAAATACCTTTTACTTTATGGCACGGGAGGAAGCCTGATTTAAGTTATATACATACTTTTGGTGCACCAGCCTGGGTGCATATACTGGTTAGTCAGAGAAGGAAGGACCAACAGAGAGCAAAGAAAATGATTTTTGTTGGCTATGAGGCTAACCATAGGTCCTATAGGTTCTGGGAAAAAGGAACAACAAAAGTTTTGTGTAGCGCTAGTGCTAAATTCCTAGAACATGAAGGCTGGGACAGGTTAGAAAAAGCAGACTATGGTTTTACAGATGTGGATGTTAAGGTAGACCATATTCCTGATGATAGTTCATCTGAGATGGATGATAAACCATCTATTAAGGTTGAAGAACAGGAACAGGAATCAGGGTTAGGGGAGGATGAACCCAATATACCTGATGTTAGTCCTGTTATGCCTAGACGATCTTCCAGGGACCGGCATCCACCAGATCGCTATAAAGCCACAGTGGTTTGCCAAGTAGATATCGAACCATCCAGTTATCATGATATAAAATTATATCCAGAAAAGGAGCAAAAATGTGTTTTCGGAGAAGGGCGGCATATAAATCAAATTAAAAAAAAAAAAAAGCCTGGCAAGAGGCAATGGATAGTGTTAAAAGGCAAGAAACTGCATTACGGGAAAAATTAGAGGAACAGATTAAGAAATTGGAAAAAAGAGTACTGGCATACAAGAAATAAACAGAAATTAATAGAATTACAAGCTAAAAAAAAAGAATTAGAGAATAAAAATTTAGAGGAAGTTCAGAATAATTTAATATACATGAAAAGAGAATTTTTTGAAAATAGCAATAAAAATTCTAAGATGCTTGCCAGGCTCACACAAAAGGAGAAAGCTAAAAATTCAATAGGTATAGTGAAAGATAAATTGGGGAATTATTGTAGTACAATGAAAGGAAAGTTAAAAATATTCCAGGAATTTTATCAAGAGTTGTACAAGGGTAAGGAGGTTAAGAAGGATAGAATGGAAGCATATATTGGGAAATATATAAAAAGGGGTGTGGAAACAGAGCATAAAGAATTAATGGAAAGGAGTATATCGCAAAGAGAAATTGCAGAAGTAATTGAAAGTTTAAAGGGGGTAAATCACCTGGGGTAGACGGATTAGGAACAGAATTCTATAAAACATTTAAAACATTATTAGTACCGAAATTATTAAAGCTGTATAATGCAATATTAGAAGGGGAAAAGATTCCAGAATCATGGGAGCAGTCATTAATAATATTAATACTTAAACCAGATAAGGATCCGACGCTCCCTGACTCTTACAGACCAATATCATTAATAAATCAAGATGCAAAAATTTTTTCAACTATTTTAGCAAGAAGAATGAATAATTTTATAGGTAATTATATAAGGGAAGATCAATGTGGATTTGTAATGGGCCCTCAAATGCATAACGGAAGAGTGCTAAATGTAATTCACGAGATCAAAAATCTAAAGCTTAAAGCGGGGATATTAGCGTTAGATATCTTTAAGGCCTTCGATTGTGTGAGCTGGCAAGCATTAAAGATGGTAATAGACAGAATGGGGTTTGGAAAGAAATTTAAAGGTGTAATAGATCAATTATATTCTCGGAACTCTGCCTTAGTGGTAGTGAATGATGGAGTTACAGACAAGATACAACTCACCAGAGGAACAAGGCAAGGATGCCCACTTTCACCTGTCCTATTTGTATTGGTTATGGAACTTTTGGCCAATGCATTAAGAGATGACGGGGAGATAGAAGGGATAGGTAAAACAAAACTAAATATGTTTGCTGATGATACATTGTTAACAGTTAAGAATATAGTGGATAAGATGGAAAGAATTGGATGGCATCTAAAAGAATTTGAAGAAATAACTGGATTAAGAATAAATTGGTCAAAATCTGAGTTGATGCTGTTTAATTACACTAATAGGGAAGAGAAGGATTGGGAAGGGAAGCAAAGCGAAATGAGAATTAAAGATCATATTAAATACCTGGGAGTTAGAATTACAAAAAATCTGGAGAAGTTAGAAAAGGAAAATCTAGGCAGCTTAAAGAAGGAGATTTTGGAAAGTTTGAATAAATATAAAAGGTTGAATTTATCATGGTTTGGAAGAATTGCCTTAGTAAAAATGAAGATTTTAGCAAAGATCAATTTTGCTTTTAGGATGCTACCAATAAAAATATCAGAATTAGAGTTAAAGAGTTGGCAGAATATACTGAACAACTATTGTAACGGGAATAAGAAAGCGAGGCTAAATAAAAATAAGTGGTATCTAAGCCAAAAAAAAGGGGTTTAGGACTCCCAAATATTAAATTATATTATGTCGCTAACAGGCTTAGACATGTTATAGAGGCAATTTTAGGAATAGGGGAATTGGAATGGTTGGAAGATAAATCTAAAATTAAAACCAAATTAGAATGGAAGTTGGAAAATATATTTTTTATGGAAGGTGGAAAGAAATGGGCTGGGAGCATAAGCAATCCTCTTCTGAAGTTTCATTGGGAAATTTGGAGTAAATATAAAGGGAGGTTGCTTCCGAAGAACTCTCCATTATCACCAGTAGTAATTTTGGAAAAGCTCCCAGGGAATTTGAAGAATAAAGTGAATGAAATTTTAAAAGAGAAAAATAAAATGAAATTAAGGGAATGGTTAGGAGGAATGAGGACACGTGGGGAATTGGAAGAGGTTCTAGGAGGAAAACGGTTGTCTTGGTTAAATTATAGTCAAGTGGAACAATGGACTAAAAATTGGATAAGAGAAAATGGAGAGTGTAGAGAGTTAACGAGGTTTGAGGAATTAATTGAAAAAAATCAAACTGTAAAGGAAGAAAATAAAGGGATAAAAGGCTTAATGAGCGGAATTTATAAAATATTGTTGGAGGAAGAGGAGAGGGGAAATTTAGGAAAGATAGTATGGGAAACTGATTTGAAGATACAAATAGGGCAACAGAGTTGGGACAGAATTTGGCAACAAAGAGTGTTGAGAAATATGTCAGTAAGAATAAAAGAGAATTACTACAAAATGGTTTGGAGGTGGTACTTAACTCTGGTTAGATTAAGCAATATGAATCAGCACTATTCAGATAACTGTTGGAGAGGTTGTGGGGAAAAAGGAACGTATTTACATATGTGGTGGGATAAATTTGTGCAAAAATTGTGGAAGATGGTGTTTAAGGAGATAGAAGAAATTGTAGGAATAAAGGTAGAAGAGGCACCAAAGGTAGCATTACTCTCACTATTGGAAGATATAAAATGTAAAAAAGAGACTAAAGAATTGATAATAAATTTGTTGACCGCAGCAAGGCTAATGATTTCTAGAAACTGGAAGATACAAGGTGTTTATAATTTGGAAGAATGGTATAAGGAGGTATGGGATATTGCCATAAATGATAAATTGACTTGCAATATTAAAGTAAGGAGGGGCATAACGAAGGTAAACGATTTCAATGGAATCTGGAAACAGTTCCTAATATATGTGTTTTCTGGAGGAAGAGGGATACCACCACCAGAAAAAGCTTTTAAGATTCTGGAAGCAGGAATGATCCCGAGGGGTGGGGGAGCACTTGTTGATTGTTTGTATTCTGTATATTGTTATATATTATATATTATGATTCATGTATGTTATATATGTTAATTTCTTTTTTTTATATGTTAATAATAAAAAAATATGGAAAAAAAATAGAAGTTTATGTTTGAGAATATAGGTCTTATCACAATTTAATCATGAAAGTTGTGGTGTTTGCGCATAATTTCAGTAAAAACTGAAATTTTGTGTTTAAAAAATTTGCCTTGAAACATTCAAAGAGCCTGCTTCCAGATATGCAGTCGAAGCAACAACTTTTATTTCGTTATGCTGCATTCCTTTGTTCTGATCTTTGACTAAAATCATGGGGAACAATGTCGGTCTTAATTTCCACCACAATAACCTACTCATACATCTGATCACAAGGGATAATGTTCTATTAACAAATGCTTTGAATATACAAAAAAATGTGCTGTATTTAAAATACTAACTTCTTACTAAACCTTTTTATTTATTCTTATTGTATTTCAGTGGACAGCTTTTCCCAACGTGAGATTGAAGAGTTCCTCAGAGAAGCAGCTTGTATGAAAGACTTTGATCACCCAAATGTCATCAAACTTCTTGGTGAGTCAACTAGAAAACTACTTTTTGGGTAAAAATATTTTATTCACAGCCCAATGGAAAGTCATAATAACTGCCTAAACCATGTTAAGCACTCTTTTTACATATCTATTACATACAGAAAAAAATGTAAGCACAAGATAACTTGAAACATGCATCAGGAGATAATTGTACATTTCAGAAACCTCCATATGATGTTTATGTTAGCAATTCATTGCTAAAATTATTATTCAAACTATCACTGAAAATATCCTTATCCACACTTAGACAATTGTAGATTAGTAATGCATCTAATATGAAATTTCAACAAGATGTTGTACTATGAAGATTGTTAAATTACTAAAATTATAGTCCAGTTTATTTGGAACACACTAAATTGGAGAAGTTTAACTTACTGAATTTGTCACCACAGTACTCCTATGGCATAGAAAATTAGATAGAATCAAAGAAGATCAATTGTTTGTAACTGTAATAATTAAACCGAATTACCTCAGTCAAAAACAATATATCATTAAATATATTTGCTAATACGCAATATTAGAGGGGGGTTGTTGGATATCTAAATCATATCTTCTACAAAAAATAATAAAATAAATCAGGTGGGTCTTCAATTTGTTTTTGTATGGCTATTTTGTTTTTCTGCTCACAACTGGAACATCACTGTGTGTATTTTGTTGTCTTTATTGTGAGATCTTCCTGAACCAATTCCCTGTTTATACTTTCTAGCCTGCTTTAATGAATGAATAATGAAATGAGTTTGAAACTGGATTATTTTATAAAAGACAATTTTAAATGGTTGCTCCTTTTTATATTTTGTAAATATTCTTATTCTATTTGATGTTATTATAAGTCAGAGATCTATACGGCTTCACTGTGATGATGTTCAGAAAGTTGTTGAAAACTTGGCTGTTCTTCCACGCCATGGAGCAAAGGTTGAGCCCTTGGTAGGATGCTTTTTTGTTATTTAGTGTTTGTCTGCTGGATGCTTATATTGTATTTCTTTTTATTGTTCATTGCTTTTTAAAAGTGTAACTCACCCAGAATCATCTGGAATCAGGTGGCTCCTAAATAAATCTTTTTAAAGCTTTACAAGTAAATTTAAAAATAGAAAATAGACAAAAAAACCTGAATTCATTTTCTTAATTCTTTATTCATTTTCTTTATTCTTTCCAGGTGTATGCATAGAACCCAGTTCTCAGCAGATCCCAAAGCCCATGGTGATTCTTCCATTTATGAAATATGGAGATTTGCATAGCTTTCTTCTTCGGTTAAGGCTTGGCGTGGGCTCCCAGGTAAGCAACAAGAACTGATTGTGAAATTTCCTTAACACATGGATTTCACATAATGGTCTTTTTATCATCAGTCATAAAATGCCTGCTTATTAAACAAACCTCACCAGCTTCTTTCTAGCGTCCTACAATGTTTTCCATCATGTCAGCTTGCTTTTGATATATTTTGCTGGGCATTAAAATATACTTTCAAACAAAATATTGGGTTGTACATTCACATCCTTCAATGTGAAGCTTAGAGTCATCTTTGGAATTAAGGATGTTGCTGAGAGTTTTGTTTTACCTTTTTATAAAAATTTAAAAGAATATTTAAAGTCAAATCAAATGGGATAGAAAGCCTGACAGGCAGCAAAGGATGCTAATGTGTTGCAAAGAACTTTGGCATTTAAGTGTACCAAACTGGTGAGCCAAGACTTAATTGGGAGATGAAGACTTTAAATTTATTGGCTTTCAACCAATCTAGTTCTCTGTTAGATTAATCTGGTTCAAGCACAAACTGCCTCATCTGTCTTATATAAAAAGAGATGTGCAGCCGTCAACCACGTACAAATCAGTCTATATCTCCTCAGCCCACAGCTAGGGGGGACTTTGTAATTGACTGGTAGCAGTTTTATAATTTTATAAAGATAGGCCTATATATACAACATAATGCAGAGGCCTAAATGAGACACAACCAGAGAATGATTAATTATGGCCAGACTGTCTCAATCCAGATAAAATTGTTGCTTTACAATAGTGGCAAATATCTGTAACTTGGGTGTAGGATGAGAGTGAAGGTTCATTCTCCAACCTTGTGGGTTGGTTTCCCAATATTTCATTCCCAGACTAGGTAACAAACTTCAGTGGAGTTTAGGGGATGTCAGTGTCAGTGTTCTTCCATTTATAAGGACTTAGTGTAGTCAGTAGGTCTTGTGATGTGGTGGGTCTCATTAGGTCAGGGTCTTGTGGAGGGTCTTGTGATGCCCCCATCGGAGACTGAATCTGTGGAGGACGAGCCAGAGCTGGAGCCGATGGAGATTGAGGGGGCAGCTTCGTTAGCTTTGGAGGAATGTGGGGAAGGAGCAGGCTGAGGCAGCTCGGACCCGTCAGGATTGGGACGGCTTGTCAGCAGAGAGGAATAGGGGCAGGATGACTGAGAGAGGGCAAGCAGTGGACATGAGGAACAACAGAGCTCAGGCAATGAGCAATGACTGCCTCCTCCTGATCCGACAGCACAGAGAATGGAGAGAAGGCAGGTGTCAGGCATGGAAACAAGCCGTCCAAACCCCCAAGGAACTAATTTGGGAATTCCAGAGACTGGCTGGGAAGGTGAGGGACTGGCTGGAACGTCTACTGGCCCACCACTTCAAGGAAGCCCTAGACCCATGGAAAGCTTGTGGCATCAGAGGGACACCGGAACGCATACAGGCTTGGTACAACAATGCCATAGCCGTAGTTCTGGAAATCAACCCTCACAGAAAACCCTCCACTGAGATGCCAGCAAGGCGGCCTCTGGGTCGCTGCAGAAACCCCCCCCCCCACCGTTCAGCATTGTCAAATGCTATCGATGCGGCCAGCACAGTCACCGGGCTTCCGAATGTTTGACTCCAACCCTGGTCCCACAAGAAAGGCCTCCAATTGCGCTCCGTGCAAGGACGACTCCACCCAAAATCCCAGAGAAAGGGAAAATCACCAAACAGGCTGTTGAGGCTCCACTCCTTCCCACAGAAGTCAAGGGAACTCCAGCCGAAGAAAACCTGGTCGAAAGGAGCAGGACGACCCGATGGTAAATGAAGCCATCCACCCCTTCACCGTCAAAACCCGAATAGTAGTACCTGAGACAGGAGCCCAAGGGGAAGTAGAAGCAGTCATAGACACTGGCTGTACCAGATGCCTAATCAGCCTCCCCATAGCCGAACAGCTAGGCATACGTACGACCCGCTTTGAGCAGGTCGATGGGACGCTAATTGGCGGAACCCCTGCCATACTAGTCACAAAACTGGTCAGACTAGAGATGGGTCATCATTGAGAGCTCATTCAATTCGTCATAGCCTCAAAAATGACTGAATCAATCATTCTGGGGCTTGCTTGGCTAGACAAACGGGGACCAACCATCACTTGGGAGGACAGCTATAGAAAACTAAATATAGGCATCGGACCACTGCCTTCCGTAAAGCCTGACCCAGGCCAAAGCTCAGTAATCCACGCCAATGCAAGCAAGCTGCAGACCGCAGCCCCTGTGACCGAGGGACCGCCCTGTTGTCCGTAAGAGCCAAGGGAGTACCGAGACCTATCAGGCGTCTTTATTGCAGCTTCTCCCCCCGCAACCAATTGTGCAATCAAATTCATGCTGGGAGCTAAGCTACCCAAACCAAAGATGTACTCCATGACTCCCAAAGAAATGGAGGAACTAAAAAAATACATTGATGCCAATTTAGCGCGAGATTTCATCCAGCCTGCCAAATCCAGGGTAGCCGACACAGTACTGTTTAAAGAAAAAAAAGATGGGAGGATGAGACTCTACGTGGATTTTCGCAGAAAATGCCGTGTCAATGGAAAACACCTACCCCCTCTCACTCATGAAGCACATGCTAAGCCACCTAGCCAAGGGGAGGGTGTTTATCAAATTGGACTTGAGGGAAGCCTATTACCATATCAGAATCAAAGAGGGAGATGAATGGAAAACAGCCTTTAACTATCCGCTTGGCAGCTTCCAATTCAAAATCATGCCGTTAGGTCTGCAAGAGGCCCCTTCAGTCTTCATGTAATTAATCAATGAAGTGCTACATGAGCGCTTATACATGGGGGTCCTAGTTTACCTAGATGACATTCTCATATTCAGTGAGACCCTTGAGGAGCACATAAAGCTGGTGCGGCAAGTACTGAAAAAACTCCTAGCCGCTAAGCTCTACGCAAAGCTGTCAAAATGTGAATTCCACCAGATCTCTCCCTTGACTACCTAGGCTACTGCATATCCAGCAGGAGGGTGGAAATGGACCCAGAAAAAGTAAAAGCGGTGCTAGACTGTCAACCCCCACCCGCAAACAGCTGCAAAGTTTCCTGGTGTTCGCAAACTTTTACCGACAATTTATACCAGCATTCACAGAAGTTGCCTTGCCCTTAACAGAACTGTTTAAAACGGGTCCAACCCCTGCGAAGCCATGACTAAGCCAACCGCTTGCTTGATCAATGGACTGTCAAAGGGTTCAAAAAATTAAAGAAGCTATTCACCAAGGAACCAATCCTCCAGCACCTGGACCCAGAATGGCAATTTATAATCCAAGCCATAGCATCAGTGCTCATGCAAAAAGACCCACAGGGAACAGCTCCTACCCTGTGCCTATGTGTCTAAAAAACTGACACCAAAAGAAGGTTGGCCATCTGAGAGAAAGAAGCCTATGCAGTCTGCTGGGCCCTTCTTTCCTGGAGACACTTTCTAGAGGGGGGTAATATACCCTTCGAGGTCTGGACAAAAACCTCAAAGCCTTAAAGACCCCTAGGAAATTGTCTCGTAAACAAGTCCACTGGGCGCAATACTTCAGGCATTTCAAATTTGAGCTGAAGTACATCCCGGTAGGAAAAAATCTACTGGCAGATGTTCTATCAAGGAAATCCCAATTCAATAGCCGCAGGGAGGAAGTCGTCCATGCCATCATTCCCCCCCTCAGTCAGCCGCACAAGTCACCACCAGGGGCCAAGCCAAAAGACAACCCGAACCTAGCCGGGACAAATTAAAGCAGCACTGACAGCAGTGCTCCCAACTGACCAGTGGTTCATAGAAAACAGGAACATCTTAATTGGAAGGAACAGAAATGCAAAACTGGAAAAATGATAGCACTCCCTCCGATGGAATGGTGATAAAAAAGGTGCTAGAATGTGTGGAGATGGAGAGGCTAACAATGGAAATAGAGGAGAAACTTTATATATTTTCAAAAATATTTGAATATTTTCTTCAAGGAGAACAGGAAGGAACAAACAACATTACAGAACTTATGGAACACCACCAAGGCATACATGCGGGGAATAACAATAGTTTATGTGGTGAGGAGAAATAAGGAGAAAAGAAAACAACAAATGCTACTACAGGAGAAACTCAAAAAATTGGAAACTGTCCTGCAGAAAGAGCCACAGAATGATAGAATTAAGGAAGAAAGCGACTTAACGAAACATAAAATTAATTTAACACAACAAGAAGCAATGATTCGGAATATAAAAATGACAAAACAAAATTATTTCGAAACAGCGAATAAACCGGGAAGATGGCTGGCTCATAAATTGAAGAAAGAAAAAACCAAAAAGTTGATACAGCACCTACAGGATGAACAAGGGAATTTACACCATAAGATAGAGAGGAAAAAATATTATTCATAACTACTTTCAAACGTTATACAGTCAAGAGAGTATCTCAGAAGAAAATATTAAAAAGTACTTACAAGAGAAGAACCTGCCTAACATATCAAAAGAAGCTAGGGAAATGTTAAATGATAACTTTAATAGAGATGAAGGAGGCAATTAAGAAACAAAAAAATAATAAAACACCAAGATCAGATGGGATCCCTGCAGAAATATATTAAAAATTTCAAGAATTGTTGGAGGAAACTATGCTAGAAATGTATAATGAAATATTAGAGCGAGCTATAATACCAAATTCAAGGACTGAGGCATTCAGAACACTAATTCCGAAAGAAGATACAGATAATCAATTTATTAAAAATTATAGGCCAATCTCGCTGCTGAATGCTGACTATAAAATCTTTGCGATGATCAAAGCGGAAAGACTTTAAAAAATATTAAATAAGAGTATTCATTCGGACCAAAATGGATTTTTACTGAAAAGACAAATAAGAAATAATACAAGAATTATAATGAACGTATTAGAGTACTATGAAGCCCACCCCAAAAAACAATTAGCACTAGTATTGGTAGATTCACAAAAGGCTTTTGATAATTTGAATTGGCAGTTTCTAACCATACAATTAACCAGTATGAAATTCAGAGAAAAATTCATCAGAATGATCAAGGCGATATATTCAAATCAAACAGCGAAAATAATGGTAAACTGAGATCTAACAGATAAAGTCACCATAAATAAAGGGGTTAGGCAAGGATGCCCACTATCCCCTCTTCTATTTATTCTTTCGCTAGAAGTTTTGTTAACACAGATTAGGGAAAATCAGGAAATAAAAGGGTTAAAAATCAAAAAAGAAGAATCAAAAAACACAGGCATTCCCAGATAATATGGCTTTTACAGTAGAAGACCCCCTTGAAACAGGAGAAATATTAATTCAGGAAACTAGAGAAATTTGGAAAGGTCGCTGGTTTAAAAATAAATAAAAACAAAACAAAGATAATAACAAAAAAACTTACACAAGGCCAAAATAAGGAATTAGAGAGGATATTGGAAATTCATGTAGTGAAAAAAGTAAAATATCCTGGAATCTGGCTAACAGCAAAAATCTCCTCCATAAAAGAAGATAATTATTCAAAACTATTACAAGGAATTCAAAAGAACTTGGAGAATTGGGCGAAACTACAAATATCCCTGGTCGGAAGAATTCCGACCATCAAAATGAACATCTTACCAAAAATTTTATAATCATTATGTTGGATCAAAATACATGCTTAGATTGTAAAGTTGATTCATTATGCCTCAGTAAATAACTTGGTTCTGTCCAGATATTTTCAGAATTGTTTTTCTAGAGTTATTGCTAGAGTTGATGGGAGTCTGAAAGACACCAGATTATACAGTCCCAATTTAGCAGGAATGGAAACCTACCTAGAACATAGTTAGTCCATTATGATTGTTTGGTCCTGGTTCAAAATAGTCATAACCTTATGTATCATATATTGCCTGGACCTTCCCAGCTACAATCGCCATCATTTTGGCTAGGAAGTGAGTGTTAGCCTCTGGATATAGTTATGATTTAAATCTTTTTGCCTGGCATTTTGAACACAGGGTTGCCTTGTTTCAAGCAAAAGGCACTGTTGTTTTCCTGACATTTGTGTTGTGTTTACTGGAATCATGCTGCACATGCCACAGTCCTCTTGCCAAAAAGGAACTTGGCATTCCTTCCCCCTCCCCCCACAAAGCCTGACAGTATCGTCATCCAGTTAGGAACTCTATGCCAGTTTTCACGTAATTACCATTTCCTGTAATTGAAAAGCCTATGGTAATTTCTACTGTCATGCATAGAGTAGATATTGTTCTTGCCTAGAGAGAGTACACAAAGATTTTAATTGTTGGGAAAGCAATGCTTTTTGTATACTTTATGACAAAAGCAATTGTTTTAAAAATGAGTTAAAATGAGGCAAAGATATTGTAAAATAGGACCACACATTATAGAGCTTCAGCATGTGAATCTGCCTAAATAGTAGATTAATGGAATATGACATTTTCATACATAATTGGGGTTTCCTCAAAGAGTGGCTTTTTTGCAAGCTGCTGTGTAGGAGTGAAAACTGGACAACATTCCTTCAACTTTGTCCATTACATCTTTCAAAACAGCGTTTATGAACTGATTTAAAAGTAGATTTTTTTATCATACAAGAAATGTTAGAACTGCTCTAAATATATTTTGCTTTACTTAATCAAAATGCAGATAGTTATTTTTGCCCTAAAGCAGTGATGGGCAATTTTTTCTTGGTATATGGCACTGGCAAAGAAACTTCTTCAGAAAAGCTTAGGCCTCAATTTTCTGATTTTAATATTTTAAAAAAATAAAATAGGAGCATTGTTTCTAAGTGAAGATTTTCTTAAGACAATTTTGACTACTTGTAACTATAAGGCATGTGTAATTTTGGTAACAAAATATAATTTGCCATTTCATTCTAATATTTTTCTTTAATTTCCTATCTAAAGATGTTCTGATAGACTCTTGTCCAAAGTACTAAAATAATATGATCCTGCTTAAAATGTTAAAGATAACACAAGGTCAGATACATCCTGCTATCTGCTCTGACACTTAATACATCCAGATTACTGCTTGTTTAAGAAATAAAAACATCATATGGCAATAATCCAGTGGATTAATACTAAAGTTTGATAAGGTAATTTCAGAGGGAAGGCAAGAGTTACAGAATTCAGAATTGAATCTCATTCCTAGCATAAATAAGAACCTTCACTTTAAAAAGAAATATTATGTATCTTAAGCATAATAATGAAGTTTATCTAATAATCTGGAGATTGCTAGTAATATTTCTTTCAAAGTGGATCACCCTTGTGACAGAAAATCTTTACTTCATGTCTTTCACTAACAATGAGAAAACATTTAAGCTTTGATGAATTATTTATTTTTGTTGTATCAGTTAGACTTGATCATATTTCACTGAGTTTTTCTTTGTATTTTGTTTCTATATGCCATCTTGAGTTAAATAGCATCACCTAGCTGGGCATTTGGGTAGGTAGAACCTGGTTCTCTCCCTCTCTCTCTCATATCAATATATCAATTTATGTAGCAACCCAATTCACAACTACAAATATGGGCTTTGCATGTAGGATTAATACCAAACAAAAACAATGAAATAGTAACTCAAATGTTAAAAAGCATAGCATCCTATTGACAAGCTCATCCAACCTCCAGACCCAATAACCAAAGAACATCCAGGTCTTCAGGAATTTACCCAGAACAAGAAAAATGATACAGATATTTCCTTGTAGTCACCATGCAATGAGAGCAACTCAAAGAAGACTTTACCTGCTTTTCCCTGCCATCTTGACTATCTTGGTCACAGTGAAATCAGTCAATGAATTACTATAATTGCAACATATTTACACATGAAATCACTTTGATATTCCTTTAGGCATTTTAGCCTAATCTTTCTCAATCTATCTGAAAGGGTTATGCATTTATTAATGCCTTTTGTTCAGAAGTATTGGTATTCCAAATTAAAATAACATGGATACACTACCACTCACTCTAGAAGTAGTATATTAAATAAATTGTCTTTCTAGCCAACCCTGTTTATTTGTCTTAAATCCTAAGGGTATTAGACTTACAGTTTTTCATTTGTTATTTAGTATAATGATTAATCAGTATCATATATTAAGAAAAATGTGCATCTTATTCTTTTCCCAGTATGTTCCACTGCAAATTTTATTGAAGTTTATGATCCATATTGCTCTAGGAATGGAATACCTCAGTAGCAAACATTTCCTCCACAGGGACCTGGCTGCCCGAAATTGCATGTAAGTTCTGTAGTGTTTTCTTTTCTACTCAGAATTCAGATTGATTTTCAGTCAGAAACTCTAAATCTTAAAAGTGGAAAACAATATTTGGGGTTCAAAATCTAGGAAATATAACTAATCAGAAATCAAGGAAAAGTGGTTTTCAGATTATTCACTGCATTTTGAATGTTTGAAAATTTAATGTAGAGTAACTACACAATGTAATTCTGTTGAGATTCTTATACTTCAAACTCCAAACTCTGAGTGTACTTTATTCATGACAGAGGAATTCCTTATAAAACTACAGCATTAGGCAAAAAAAATTACTTTGGAGCCTAGCTTTCTCTATGGCATGTTAGCTGTATACTGGTCTAGATGCACAGTTACAGTTCTAAGCATTTGTTACTGTGAAACATAGAAAGTATATTACAAGGATTCTGATGTAATGAAGGGAGGAGTGCTTTAATCTTAGTGTACCATTTTCCCAACCTTTCTTCTCTGAATCTTGGGAAATAAATATTAATGAATATAACCTCTTGGAAAATAACTGGAGAAGAGACTGAAGGGAAAGAATCAAAGACACACACAAGATGCCATTTGTACATAAAAGGTACAGCAGTAATATTTGTGAAAAGAATTTCAGATCTTGACTCCACCCCGATAAAAGGGATTACAGGGTTGTAAAAAGAAAAAAAAATGATTTCAAATTAGACAAACTAGCAGAGAAAAAATAGAACTATAGTTTCCCTATCATCAGAGACATTACTTCTGCTTTACATTTAAAAGCATGAGTTATTCTTTGACCCATTCAAGTATTGCACCTTATGAAGGAAATGTTTTGGAATAAATTCAGAGAAAGACAGCAGATATGAAAAACAAGGCCTCTGAATTGGGCCTGAAATGAATAGTAGATAAAAGACTAGAGGTTATGATAACAACCTTCAGATACTTGAGAGAGACACAGAGGAGACCGAAAGGTAGTTTTCTTACCCAAAAGGGCAGGGTTTGATTTAAAACATTTTAAGTTAGAGAAGGAGACATAACAGATAACTGTTAAGACAAAGATATTGACAATTATTTAGAAGGGTGGTGAACTCTCTCGAGATTTTCAGGTAGCCTTTAGATAACATTTTTCAGTATAGCAGAATCCTGTACTCTTGGTTCCATACATTGATCAAGGGAATGAGTCAATTGACTACAAGGTTACTACTAGCTCTGTGATTGTATAAAACAATAGTAGAGAGGGAAGGCCATTTAAGCATCCTTTCGCCCATGCTGCCATATGTGTAGGGCTCTGGAAACTGAAGCAAAGATCATTAGATGCCGATTGATTAAACTGTTCTGATTTAGGCCTTCCCATTTTCTCTGTTGTGCATTCCACAGTCTATGCTTTTTCTCATAATAACCCTCCATGGAAAACGGAGGACAACAGTGACAATTAAATATAAGAGTGAGCAAGGACTGAACAATATGCTACATGCAGTTTTGTAAAACAAACAAACAAACAAACCCATCATTTGCTTCTTTAATTTGAGGAACTTTCCATACTTGCAAATAGTAGATGGTAAAGTAAACCCCAATTCTGAAAACTGCTATTTTTATCAGGAGGAGAGGAAAGAATTAAATTTATCGTATTGTTAAATGCCATTCTTTTTGGCGTTTTATAACATGTATATCAAAATCTGAAACAAGTATAAAGGGGATGGAAAACCACTCTCTGAGATTCCCCGATAATTATAAGGGCAACTAGATAATTTTACATTCTGCTTACCTCAGTCCCTTCTCCTATTGTTATTATCTTTCAATGATAAACTAGGAGGTAGGGGACAGTGGAAGAAATTTTGTTTTTTATTGACCTTAAGCTACTCTAGGAGCTCTTTACCTGAAGAAAAAGGGGAAAATGCTTCAAAGTTGTAATATATTCTTTATCATCCTTAGTCTGATTCTTAATATGTGTCAGAATCAGAAACAGCTTTAATTTGGATTTATTTTGGAGGAGCTGGAATCTCGATTGATTGTGTGCCATCAAGTCAATATTGACCACTTAGTTCTTCTCCAGAGAGAGACTATGTAGGAAAGTCATTTTGATTCATATCATCTCTTTCCCAAAGTATACACAGAAGTAATGCTACATCTTTGAGGAGCCTCTTTCTTGTAATTTGAATTCATATTGTTGGAAATGAATTCAACCAACAAGCATGAGTCGATGAAAACAGAGACTTTATTAAAAGAAAATAATAAAAACTATTTTGCAAAATAGGGTGGGTATATCCCAGCAGATTTCAACAGAGGAGTTTTAGCCAGAAAGCCACACCTAAAATTTCAAAAGCATTACATTTTATAGTTCCCTATCCCAATGGCCCATTTCCCTCCTCCTTTGGACTTATTGGACAGGCCCTCCAGGGTTTCAGCTAATCCAAGATGCCTCAAAGGAATACATTATCTCTCTCTTTGTTTTCTCAGATTACTTTCTCTTCAGCACCTCCCGTACCTCTCCGTACCTGTCCATTACACATCTATATAGTATCTCTCAATTTTAAGGAATGTGTCTGTGCACCCTCAGCAGGCCCCTCTCCTATGCCAAAGAACAGAATAATGTCCACACGTCCTTCTCCAAGCATATGCATCACAGACATGGGAGAAGAGTTCCACAAAGCATATAATCTAACTTACATTGTAAAATTCAGTCTTAATGCAGGAAGGACACAATTGATTTCATACATATGTTTTTACAGAGGTACATGTATTATAAATGCTTAACAAATAAATGCTTAAATGGAAAGTAGCAGCATAACATATATTGTATAATAGAATAACAAGTTTCTATTCAATTATTACTATTCCCTTTATTACTATTTTATTTTTGAATTCCCTTATATCCTACAATATTAACTGTCATACATTAATGGACAGGTTGCGGGATGACATGACAGTGTGTGTAGCAGACTTTGGTTTATCCAAGAAAATTTATAGTGGAGATTATTACCGGCAAGGGCGTATTGCAAAGATGCCTGTTAAATGGATTGCTATAGAAAGTCTTGCAGATCGAGTCTACACAACAAAAAGTGATGTGGTAAGTAAATGAGATGGTGTTCCAATTTAAAAGTCTGGCTCCAGGAGGAAAAATTGTTAATTTGGATTGACAGAATTCTTATTATAATATAGGAAACATACTATATAATTGTGCCACTGTTTTTCATACAGCAGTATTTATACCGAGTCAGCTGGTACGAGAATAAAAGGCTTATTCCTAAAATATTTATATTTGACCTGTTCATTTTAATAACACATAATTATTCAAAATTATTTCTGCAGACAACTATGCCCTAATGTACGTCACTTTCTTCAGATTTTACAAAATATTTTATTTGTTGTTCTGAATCTTCCTTCAGTTTTCTAACAAGGATTAGTTAAAAAAGCTCAAACTAGTTTATTTTTGAATAATTAATACTAGTATGCCTTTAAAAAAAAAGATGCACTGAAGCATAGTCATAAAAGTAATTGTTTGGTAATACAGTATCAGTGTATCAAGCTGTTAATACAAGACATAATTACAGTACAGAAAAATTGGGCATCCTATCCTTAAGCTTATTTGTCAAATAAAGCTAGGGGTGCAGCTCCCTCTACTGAGTGAGAGAATATTTATTAATGTGTCAGACAAGTTCTAGAGCCATTAATTGTCCTTTTCTGTGATGCTTTTTTAGATGCAAGTTACCAGCAAAGTTAGGTTAAAGAGCAAGCCTGCCACATACAAAATTACTCCTATTGACTCCTTTAAAATGTGGTAAACATAGTCTAATATCTGTGAGAAGAAATTAAATGTAATTTTTTAAAAATTGTTTAATTTTTTTAAACAAAGTACAGCCAGTTCCAACTAGCAGTGGTTCTCGATTTCCAAGCCTCATTAACTGAAAAACTTTGTCTCAGATCCAGAAATTAAATTGGTATGTTTCTGCATATTAACATTAATACAATACTATTAAAGTGTACTTTTTGTCAAAGAATTATTAGCTAAAATTACAATCCTAAAACATTAGAACTGGAAATTAACTATCTTGGTCAGTTTAAATATTTACTATTTGCTCTTTTTATGTAATAAAAAAATGTAATTTGCAATCAGGTGAAGTTACTGAGAATACAATATCACCAATATGATTTTCAACAATGCATCAGAGAAGGCAGCATAGTTCTTTTTAATGGGCAAAAAACAATCTCAATATGTTTGGTGGGATCCAAAAAGCATCCATAGACAATTGTGGGTATCAGTAAATTAAGTTCTTTTAAAATGCTGTTTAAGTAAGTTACTCCTCCATTTTCTTTTCCTGTAGTGGGCGTTTGGTGTTACAATGTGGGAGATAGCAACTCGAGGAATGACTCCATACCCAGGAGTGCAAAACCACGAAATCTATGACTACCTACTTCATGGGCATAGACTAAAGCAGCCAGAGGGCTGTTTAGATGATTTGTAAGTATTTTGTAATTGTGACAATAATGAAGCAGAATTGTAGCGATTGAATACATGGCTTGCTTATGGCAGTAGTTATATTTACAGTTTGGTAATCTGGAGATGGTTTTTCTTTGCTTTAATACACTATTTTTTAGGCTTTTTTAAAAAGAGATGGCGACAGCGGCTGCATGTGCCTGTAGATGGTGCTCCGAAGTGTTGTGTGGAGACACTTTTGGAATGTAGAGAGTGGTATGTGGACATGGAGGAGTGTGTAGAGCGAAAGACAAGAGGGAGACAAGCTTGATAAGATAATTGAGAGGCTGAAATTTGTGGAAGAAACAGAGAGGTGAAGAAACAGAAAAGGCTGAGAGCTGGAAGGGGCAGTTGGAAGGTGAGATGGAGAGATGGAACAAAGGAGGTGGCTGATATACGATTGTGAGGCTTCCCTGGTCTCCCCCTAGATTCCTCTGGCTGTTGCTAAACCCAAGAGCAGCTGAAGCTCTGACTGATGGTGTGGGTCATCTGATGAAGGCAGAGCTGACTGAAGAGACAAGCTTCACTGGCCTTTGTCGGCAGCTGGGCCTACTCATGTGGTTAATAACGCAGGCTGTTATTGGGATTTCCTGAGGTTAACTGGCGAGTGGGAACTTGGAACTGTGAACTTCATCAGACATTGTAGGAGTACGCAGTTGCTAAATTTCCAGTGTAGCATAGCAGGCCTTTTGGCTTCTTTTTGGACTACCTTCTGCAATCTTGCATCTGCAATCCTCTGAACGTTCTGTAACTGGGCTGCTTGGGAAATCCTGGGGCTGGAAGGGAAAGTTGAGTGAGAGGCAAGCGTGTTGGTCCCTCTCCCTCTGGTGAGAGCTAGGGGGGAGGAGAGGCTCCCTGCTTGGTGGGTGAGAGCGACCTGGCAGGGTGCCGTTTGTGCATTGAGTGGATGCATTCTGAGCGTGTTGTGGGATAAGGGGGTGCTGGATGTGATTCCTCTGTGCAATGAGGAAGGGGTGGTGTGAGTTTGAGGGCGCTAAGAGCAAATGCTATAGTGCCTATAAGGCTCACCTTGCCCCCGACTGTCAGTGGGAGTAGGTTTTCCCCTTTTTAAGGAAGAGTGTTGGAGATGGGGGATGGAACAATTCTCAGGGAAGGCAGAGGACCTATTTCAGTAGTGTTGAGTAACGGGAGATATTGGAGGCAAGGGGGGCCCTGGCATGGAAAACGCAACCTCGGTGTTTAGTACCGGTCTCGTGTTCTGCCCCCTTGCACTCACCTCATTTACCTGGTCAGCAGATCTGTGGTGGCCCTGGTCTTAGGATGCTGCTTTTAAATGTCAGATCAGCCTTCAATAAGGGTAGCCTTATTGCCGATTTGATCCTCGAAGAGAAGGCTGATCTGGCTTGTATAACTGAGACCTGGCTGGGCCCAGAGGGAGGCATTCCCCTGTAGAAATTTTGTTTGATTTTATTACGTTAATTTATTTGATTTTTTAAAATTAGTTTTATTAGTTTTACTGATTTTAAATGTGGTTTTATATTTTGTAAGTCAGTTTGAGTCGCCATGGGCAAATAGGCGGCAATATAAATTCAATAAATAATAAATAATAATAAATAATTTTTGACAATATCTGTAGACTATGGACAATTGCTCCATGATAAAATAAAACAACTAAAAATTGCAGCCACTATGTTAAAGGAAAGTTTTGAGAAGCTGGTCTCCTTGCAAGATTCCTGACTAGAGACTCTGTAGCATTTTTTTTTTTTTTTTGCAACATACTTTAAACAAATCTGGTGTTGCACATCCACCAAGTTCAGGGCACTAATTGTAAAAATCCACAGCAAAAACAAATCAGGGTGAAGATCTAAAAGCACAAAATATGGTTGAAGACAAACCAAAATCCTTCATTGCTCTGGTATTATAGAATTGCCTGTGGTGTGATGGGTGGGAAATAAATTTAATAAATAAAGAAATAGATTACCAAGATAATATATGTTCTCAGGCCAGCCTTTCTAACGACAGCATTCAACAAATGGAATGTCAAACTCTTCCTCCCATAGTTGCCTACTTCGTCTCATTCGGGAATAATATCTGGTTTATGACTGTAAGGTTAACAGGCTGATATGGGAAGAGATGCCCAAATCATTTGAATATCAGTTTTCAATTGGGCCTAAAAACTGACAGCTAATATACATAATAAAGCAGTTGTGCCCACCCCTTATGGGTTTCTAGCTGCTGTATTTTGGGTTAACCATATTTACAGTTTACAAATTATTTTTAAAGGCAGTCTTACATATAACTCATTGTGATATGCTGAACTGATTTAATATTTTTAGAATTAGGCAAAGAAACTATGATTCAAAATAAGCCAGGTTTGTCACTATTGACATGTTCAATTTGAAATGGATTAAAACAAAAATATGTTATCCATTCAATTGCAATACATTACTCACAAAGGTAGTTTACTGGTCCTCAAAGGATTAACTTTGTCACCTTTCTATTGCTAACATTCCAGATACCCTAACACAGAATCAACCCAATTTTTTATTTGACATTCACAAATGAGTGTCTGCCTTTCTCTTCCTTTAATAATTATCCAGCTTCCTTCTTCATGGCATATTTCTCATCATTTCAGGTATGAAATCATGTATTCCTGTTGGAGGGCAGATCCTGTGGATCGACCGACCTTCTCAGAACTTAAGCTTCACCTGGAGAAAATATTGGAAAGTTTACCTGCTCTGAGTGAACCAAGCAGTGTAATTTATATTAACACAAACTTGCAGGAAGAGGATGCAAAAGACCTCATGGAAGATGATGAGTTTCCCCAAATAGACACAGTCCTTGATCCAAATGAAATCATACAAGCTTGTTCCCAGAGACCGGAGCCTACAGTAGTCACTGTGGATATCCACGAAAGCAGTGGAACACGGGATAGATACATTTTAAATGGAGTCAATGAAGAGCACCGGGCCAGTCTGATAAGAACAGAGGAGGAAGATGTGTCATTGCTTCAGCCCATTCGCTTGCAGAATGGGAGGCAATGGTCTCAAGCCAGCACACTCCCTGTAGGAAGTGCATTGGCTAATGAACTGCTCTTTGCAGATGACTCTTTGGAGGAGTCTGAAATTCTGCTGTAAAGAAAAACTAGCCTTCTCTAATGAACTGCAGTTCAGAGACCCTTCTGAGCTAGAAGTGCTCTGGATAGCCATTGGACGTTCTCATCACGGAAAGCCATTCCTGTGTAGCATCCTCTCCAATCTTTGTATAGAAGATAACTTTAGAAGAAACATTTGTATCTTTATAGAAATTATTTTTTAATAAACAAATGTGGTAATGGTCTGTTTTATTTATTTGGAACACAATTTTAATATTTTTGGTCTCTTTCCTGTAACAGGTTCTTTCATTTATTTATTTATTTATTTATTTATTAGTCCAATTTATATACCGCCCTTCTTCGTAGACTCAGGGCGGCTTACAATGCATTATAGCAATAGCTGCAGTGTTGTTCTATACAAAATTGACTTATTGCCCCCACAATCTGGGTCCTCAATTTACCTACCTCGAAAGGATGGAAGGCTGAGTCAACCTTGAGCCTGGTGAGATTCGAACTTGCACTAATTGCAGGCAGCTGGCAGCTAAGTGCTAGCACTTAACAGCACTTTAGTCCGCTGCACCACCGAGGCTCTTAATGGATGGTTTGTCAATAGATTATCTTCTGGCTCCTTCACAACTTCTATGTTACAGTAAATATTGATAGATACTGACCTATACACACACACACACATGATACATACACACAATTTCTGATCGTTTTCTTCATTGAAAAAATGCCCTTTCTCTTTTGTCAGCACCTTACACAATACATACACCACACACACAATTTTCTCCCGAAAACCCCTCCCAGAACTGCCAAGTCTGCCTTCTGTTGCACCCCATAGCAAAGAAGGCTTAGATGTCATTTGAGAAAAAGGAGCTTTCTGATTGTGGGTGGGGTGGAGAGACTGAAAGAACAGTTCGGAGGGAGGATTAAATCTGCTTTATTGGTGCTGCCACAAATCTCTACACAATGCAAATTTTTAAAAAGTATGGTATATAGTTTGACCGTCTGTTCCTGCTACTTGGAAAAGGCAAGAAACATATTTTACTATAAAAATATTTCTGAGCCACATCCTATTCCAGTGTTTCTCAACCTTGGTAGCTTGAAGATGGGTGGACTTCAAGCTGCTGGCTGGGGGATTCTGGGAGTTGAAGTCCACCCATCTTCAAGCTACCAAGGTTGAGAAACACTGTCCTAGTTTGGATTTTTTCCTAAATACCCTTCTAGCAGAAAATTCAGTATTTTGCACCATCCTGGAATGGAACTACCTGTATTCTTAACACCAAGAACAGAGCCTTTTTATCTTCTCAGTTAAAATTAAACTAAAAATTGTAAAGGTTAAAATAAAGTCATGTGAAATGCTCTACCAGCCTTTCTGACAGCTTTCCTGTAAAAGTTGGGGTTCATCAAGGCTCAACATTATCACCATTGCTGTTCATTCTCATCATGAATGCTATCACAAAAGTACCACAACCTGCATCCCCTGGACCTTGCAATATGTGCAGACATAGAACAACTGTTTTAGCCAATTTGGCTTGTGCCTCAACAGGAAGACAACTCAGTAGAGAGCAGCCCAAGCACTTCCACCATACAAGGCAACAATGAGGATCTAGTGAAGACCAACACTGTCAGTTACTTATATTTGATTTTACATATTATAACAGCTGCCCGTATAGTATACGCACAAAATTAGAAAAAACTAAATATACCAACAGAAGAAGAGTTGATAAAAAAAATCCTAGAATGTGCCGAGATGGATAAATTAACAAAAGAGTTTAAAGAAAAGGAGGATACAGAATATTATATATTCTGGCACAAATGGTATAAATGGCTAGAGAATAGGAATAATGGAGAAGAAAAATAGGGGTGAAATTTAAAAATGGAAAGAATGAATATGTCAATGTATAGAAAGTATAAAATCAATATGAATGTTAAGAAATGCACTAATTAAAAGAGAAGGGGACAAGAAGAAACTGGAATAATATAACGGGAAAAGGGGGAGAATGTGAATATTAGAAGAGAATCATGAAATAGCTGTTAAGAGTATATACACAAATGTTGTATGTCTTGTAATGTCATGTTACAATAAAAAGAAAAGAAAGAAAATAATTTCTTAATATAATTTTCTTTTTCTTGTATTTTTTTCCTGAATTTTTTATTCTTTTGTACCATTCTCTTTTTCTAAATTTAGTTTGTATTACCGTACTTTTAAGTTATTAAAATAAATAATATGGGTTGGGTTTTATTTGTAAAATAAATAGGTTGTGAAATAACAGGCAGAGATACACTTTTTCCATAGTCTGCAAAGAGAAAAATGGAACACTGTGACTATGTATAGTTTCTCTTCTTACTGTTTTCATGGGATAAAGTAATTACACAGTAGGTGGTGCTAGAGTTAAGGATAAATTACTACTGCTTGTATTGCATAAGAGAGTACTGGACCTAATCTGAAATTTAGAATCTGCTTTTGGGGAAATGCTATTATTTAACAGAAGCAAATCATCAACACAGCAAAATGTTTTGATTTTGATATTAAATTATCCCTAGGGGTTTTTTGGGGGGGGAATAAAAAATAAATATGTTTTATGATAATCACAGGAAGAACTTTTTTGGGGTGGTGGGATATCTTCTAGTCTGCAAAAACATTCCACCTTGTAGACTACAGCAATAAAATGCTCAGGATTGAATATCAATCTGAACAGTTTATTATTTTTATCTATTTATTATTTTTATCAAGGGGCATGAAAGCCAAACAGAAGTTGTCACCTTTTCCCTTGATAGCCTGCACTGCTTTACTGCATTCTGCACAAAGTGCATTTGGATCTATTTTTTTCTTCAGTTGTCTTCTACAGTAGTACATTCTCAGCTTCTTAGAGCCAATTCCTCACCATATGGAACTTTCCTTTTATAGTTTTACCAATTACTGGTCCACATCTACATACAATTCAAAGTGTTGAATTAGAAGGGCCCTAGTTTTCAGATGTCCGCTCCCATTCCAGTCTCCCAAGCCATTGCATGCCTGAATGTCTGTCTCTCATGTGTCCTTATTTTATCCTTCCACGTCTTTTTGAAATAAATAAGGCTGAGACACAGAAATTAAAAAAAAATAAATTAATGGGCAAATCTCAAACCCTTTTATAGCATCTTCTAGAGCAAATAGGTTCTGCAAAAGAAGTAGATTTGGGATTGGAAAGGATTCTACTCCTCTTAAATAAAAATCACCAACCATTTAAGCATGCTTGCATAGAGTTGTTTCCAGTTTTGCTTTGCTTAAAAAAAGAAAAAAAAGAATCAGCAACTTTCCCTTTGAGCCATTCTGTTGAAATAACGAAAGTCCCACAATTGCACAGTAGCAAACTATTTTGCCAGGCTGTTTGTTATTATTGAGTTCATTATTTACAATCATGTAGAAATTAAATGAATATTAGGATAACAACCTGTGTAAAGGGACAAATTTAATGACTGTTTGAGATGCCAGTAAAGCGGTCATGAGGGGCTATTTTATACAATCGTCTGGAGAAGGAAAAAAAAAACATCCCAGGAGAAGATGCAAAAAGCTCTTGGATGAAACCAGAAAGAAATACATGGAAACGGTCAAAGACACCCCCCCTCTGGTTTCCCCCCCCCCCAATAAATTATTCCAGCGACTCCTTGGGCAGGAGAGGACATGCCAAAAACTCTTTTAAGTAATACTATCGTCCCAAACTGCTGAGCAGCAGGTTGCGCTCGCCCTGGCCTGGAGATGCTGTTGGAGAGGAGAGCAGCACTTCCAGCAAGCCAGCCAGCCCCTTCGAGAGGCAGCGATCGCAGGTATGAACTTAAAAGGAGGTGGGGGAGCGGGAGCAGCTCCCCCTCCCCCGAGGGACCCGTTCTGCAGCCAAGGAGGAGCAGCGGAACCCGAGGAGCGAGGCATTTCTCGCTCGCTGGGGAAAGCTGCCGTGCGCCTTAGCTGCCGCTCCAGCTGCTCTCATCTCCTGGCTGGGCGAGCGGCAGTTCGTGGCGTGCGGAGAAGGACTCGCTCACACTTACTCCACTTTGCTGCCCCGGCCACCGCAACAGTAGCAGCGCACAGCCATGATTTCTGCACGGCGATACAGTCTCTGCAGCCTGGTCCTCGTCTTGTGCCTAGCGGCCGGGCAAGAGTTGCAGGCTTCCCAGGTAAGGGGCTGTGCCAAGGCAGGGGCTCTTCTCTGCCACGCGTCCCTTGTTTCCTACTAGGGGTATATATAACGTAATGCCATAGCTTGTTTTCTGCAGTGAATGCATGGAACTGCGAGAGGGTTTTTTTCTTTTAAAGAATTTGAACCTGTCTCCTCTTTTACCTGTCCTTAGTTTTTTTGTTTGTTTGTTTGTTCGCTTGTTTTGGGGGGGGGAGTTTGTTTGATTTTTTTGGCAAAGGCAATTAGGCAAATGTAAAAAGTGACTGGCTAGGTTACAGCCTCACTTCAGATCAAGCGGGAAGGGAGCCAGGATGCTTCCAGGCAAGCCCAGCGTTTTTCAACCTTGGTAGCTTAAAGATGTATGGATGTCAACTCCCAAAATGTCCCAGCCGGCCAATAACAGAATTACAAAGTTGGAAAGGACCTTGGAGGTCCTCTAGTCCAACCCCCTGCTCAAGCAAGGAGCCCTGCTCCATCAGATAAATGGTTGTTCAATCTCTTCATAAAAATCTCCAGCGTTGGAGCATCCACAACTTCTGGAGGCAAGTTGTTTCACTGATTAATTGTTCACAGTCAGGAAATTTCTCCTTAGTTCTAGATTGGTTCTCTCCTTGATTAGTTTCCATCCATTGCTTCTTGTTCTGCCTTCAGGTGCTTTGGAGAATAGTGTTTGGCAGCTGCATCACACTGTTGGCATAAGTGATTATCTACTAGTCTCCAGATCTCATAGTTATTACTATAGCAGGTACTACCATCCTACTGTGCAAGCTTGCTAAATGTAGTTCTCACCGAATTCCATTTTGATAGGTCCAGTTCAAGTCTGTCACTGTATGTTGAGCCATCTTCTGGAGTGTCGGCTATTCATGCACTTGATGTTATCTGCAAATTGATTGTTCACTTGTCGAAATCAGTGAAGATATTTTCTCATTAGTTTTAGTTCAGATGAGGTCCTTTCACCATTGCAATTAGACTTCCATCATTGCTTCTTGTTCTGCCTTCAGGTGCTTTGGAGAATAGCTTGACTCCCTCTTCTTTGTGGCAGCCCCTCAGATAACTTCTATCATGTCACCCCTAGTCCTGCTTTTCATTAAAGTAGACATACCCAATTTCTGCAACTGTTCTTCATATGTTTGAGCCTCCGGTCCCCTAATCATCTTTGTTGCTCTTCTCTACACTCTTTCTCAACTTTTTTATATCACGACTTGGATCCAGTGTTCCAAGTGGGGTCTTATCAAAGCATTATAAAGTGGTACTAACACTTTATATGATCTTGATTCCATCCCTCTGTTAATGCAGCTTGGGACTTACATTGGCTTGTTTGGCAGCTGCATCACACTGTGGCTCATATTTAAGTGATTATCTACTAGCACTCCAAGACCCCTCTCATAGTTATTACTATTAAGCCAGGTACTACCTATCCTATACCTGTGCATTTAGTTCTTCTTGCCTAAATGTAGTTCTCACCATTGAATTCCATTTTGTTAGATAGGTCCCAGTGTTCAAGTCTGTCAAGAGCCTTTTGTATGTTGAGCCTATCTTCTGGAGTGTCGGCTATTCATGCCAACTTGATGTTATCTGCAAATTTGATGAGTTCCCCTTCTTCTTGTCGAAATCATTGGTGAAGATATTTTCATCATGATGAAGATATTTTTAAGTTCAGAATGAGGTCCTAAGAAAAGCACAAAACAAAAGTGGTAAAAGATGCAATGATAGACTTGCATCTAAAACAGCAAGTTATAAATTTGATCAATAATACTGATACAATCATTTTTATTTTATTAGGTGAAAATATGGAAAAGTAGCTTTGCCATCACAGATATCTTAGCTCAATGAATGTTAGCCTAGAGGAAAAATGTGTGTAGCTCCAGGCATGCTGGGTTTACGATTACTTTCACAGTTGAATTGGTATTATCAGGCAGCTAGTTGCAAGAGAAATTGCAATTTTTGTATATTATTTGTTCATTATGTATCTATAATCCCTTGTTAGACTAGAAAATCGAATTCAGTGTAACAAAGTTTACTGTATTTAAGTGTATCAGAACAGTTTAAGTTAAACATAATCCTTTCACAAAAAGATACACAGCTCGACTTTTGCCTTTCTTGGCATCTGCTGCATATACCACACACAATAAGTATCTTGGACAGGAAAAAGCCTCACTAACTATTTCCTAAGCCTGGCATAAATGTAATTCTGCAATGTTTAAAAAGAAAAGTCACATATAACATCTGACTCCAGTTCCCAATATTAGCACTGACTTTGAGTAATGGTAAAACTAATTCACAAAAAATCCTTTTTATAGCATCTTTATCTGTCTCTTGCTGCTAAATCACTTTACACAAGTTCACGAATGCCTGGATGCAGTTGTGTACACATATGAATATATTTGTTTGAGTGATTAAAACATGGAAAAATAAATCTATACACTGTTATTGTAGATGGAAAGGGTAGAACTACAGTTAAGATGCAATTAGGAGTATCAGGTACAGAGATAACATTTCAATGCCATAGTTATCATTGCTTTGAGAACAATGCAGCCTCTTAACATGAAAGGGCTTTCTTGGCTGCTTTCTCTGCAGATATCTCAAGGCCAAAGTACACAAGAATGAACATCTTGGTCCAGGACAGAACTGCAAAGTTGTGCAGTGATAGTAGCTGTTCAGTGGAACTCAGCCTTATGTCCTTGCATTTAATTGGCTGGCCACCCATTGATGACAAGTTTTCTCAAATGTCATACAAAAAGGCCTCCTGCTGATCATTATGACATCCAAAGTAGAAGGCTGCTCACTCATACCCATTCCTGTTTCTTTATGAGGCTCTCAGGATTCAGCAGATTTTGATTTTGACCTGAACTATCCAGAAAGTTCAATCAAAGGTTCAGTTTCTGGGTGTCCTACTCTGTTTTTCAGGAGCCAGTACACTGGCAGCTTCTCCAGCCTGATCTCCGCTGTAGACTGCAACTCCTAAAATTCTCATTTTGCATTTTACTGGCTCTGTGGCAGAAAATTCTGGGATTCATCTCAACACAGCTGGAGAGTGTTGACCAGATTGAATCAGGCTGCCTAAAGGACAAGACACATGAGGACAAGATAGTTCCAAGGATCTATTATTGTCTGTCTGGGATATTAATGAGTCAATTGGAAACCTAACAAAACTTCATTTGCTATATATAGAAATTACAGTTGTACCTTGTCTATCCTATTGTTTCTTGGCAGTTTCAGATAGAGTAAATTATAATCTCTTATATAACCCTAGCCTAGAGAAATTACATAGGACAGAGACCCCCCAACCATTTGGACACTGGGGACTGGGGGAACATGGTTTTGCATGCTACCTAGATCCCACATATGTGCAGATGAAGCTTCATTCGCTTGAATAGCCCAGTTCCTAATGGACCACGAAGTGGGACCAGTCCACGGCCCGGGGTGTGAGGACCCCTGGTGTACAATGTACAAATGCACTTCAAATGTATGTTGGAAATACGAACAACAAGAAGGGACATTTCATCATGCTTGGTGGACATGTGAACAAGCTAGGAATTGTTGGATTCAAATATATATATTAATTTAGAGGATTTTAAAAATTGCTCTACAACCGAGACCACAAGTCTTCCTCTTCAAGCAAATAACTGGGGAAAAAGTAATGAAGTTTTATTTTTGTATATGATAACCTCAGCCAAATTATTGGATGCACAAAGATAGAAAGACCTACTATGGAGGAATGGTTGGTGCAGATGATGGAAGTTGCTGAGAGGCTCAAATTAATTTCTTCAATTAGAGACAATATCTATGTTTATTGATGACTGGAAACTTCTTATGAACTATGCATAAAAGAGACAAAATTCTTATGATTTGTGGTTTTGATAATTAGACAGGATAGAATATGGAAAGAAGAGTCAGGAACTTTAGAGAAAGAGATAAATTTATAATTCTATTTATAACAGCTGTGAAGAAGATGGAAGCTACTTCTTTGTATCCTTTTTCTTTCTGTATTTTTCTATTATTTTTTCTTTCATTCTTGCACTTGCAAGTTTTTTATTTGTTTTTTTTCTTGCTTATTTTATATTAGTGGTTTTTATCTTTGTTCTTAAATTTTTTAAATAAAATTATTTTTATAAAATTACAATCTAATATCAGGTAGAGCCAAACTATTATAAATAAACAATAGTGATAAACAATATTATAAAACATTCGTGTCGACAGTAGCATTATGCATGTTCTTCTGACCCAATGAATATCTTACACTTTGGTGAGTACACTTTTTTGTGTGTGTTCATTAAGAACTTAAAATTTAAAATTGGGTTTTAAATGTTTTATATAAATTGGATGTTTTAAATTTGTTTCTTGAGCCCAAATTATTTAATCTATTTTTAATAGCTTTTAACTTTTGTATGTTTTTTGTATTTTTATCTTGGCTGTTCACCGCCCTGAGTCCTCCGGGAGTAGGGCGGTATACAAATATGATAAAATAAATAAAAATAAACTGCCCAATATTACTTTTTCAGGTTGATATCATTGTTCAATTATGATTTTCCTAGAATGGTATGGGGCAACTTGTTCTACTTGCAAGAAATTAACAGGGTACTTTTTTCTCTTTAAGGAAATGCAGGATATAAATAAACTAGAAAAAACAGAATACATAATTTTCAATATATATTGAATATTATGGTTTGTAAATGTGACATGTTTACATGCATCAATCTATGATTTTTCTTTCTTTTCCATAGAACTGCATGACAAAACAGCAACTCCTGGGTACCATCCGCCAAATGCAGCAGTTTCTCAAAGGCCAGGAAACACGGTTTGTTGAGGGACTACGCATCATGAAACACCGACTCACAACTCTGCAGAACACTGTGACTAAAGCTATCCCAGACCCACAAACTGGTAAAAAGAATATGGAGCTTCTTCAGAGGATGGGGCAGGGACCTTGTTCAGGTTGAGCTCATTAACCAAAATGAAATTATAGGATAAAGATGGACCCTTTTTGGCAACCTACATCCATGATTCATGATTTCCTAAAAGCAGCCACCTCACACTTTGGTTGGCCGCACAAAACACAAAAACATAGTTAGCTAATGTGTAGGTTGGTGTGGAAAATCATATAATGGGATTTGTTTATGGTTCAGCAGATTGTATAAATCAAGGCAAATTAATTCTGGATTAGTATGGGATATAATTACAACTTTTTCCTTTTTGTAATAATAGTGCAGAAGACAGTGCCCAGTCCTCTACTCAGACTTCTGGCTGTGCTGGCTAGGAACTATAGTTAAAATTGTCTGAAAGGCATCAGATTGGACAGTGCTGCATTATGATCACTTCAAAATCTTCAGTGTGAGATTTCCACATGCATGGAAACATATTACAAAAGAAACAAGGGATCTAAATAATTAATCAAAAAGAATTTGAGGTACAGCAAGATTTATAATCCCTTCACTGTTGACAAGTGAGACTACCCTCCTGCTTTACTACAAGTTTTGCTCATCCATACAGATAGGTAGTAATAGGAGGAGAAAATCATTTTGCTTCCTCAAACAATATCGATCTGTCCACATGTCTCAGAACATTCTTCAAAGGCATTTCTCAGTCATATGAGATTACACAAAGCCACATTCTTCTGAAAACAACAGAGATAATGCTGCAGTGTCTATTTCTTTGAACTTATATATTGAGTAAGGGAAAAAATGCCCCCCCTTCATCCACAAATCCATTCCTGGACAAGTAGCATACTACTGGAACCTCTCACAGAGCATGCAAAATGAACCTATTCAGTGGTACAGTCCCACAATTAAAATAGTTGTCACCCAAAAAATTAACCAACATGGTTCCTCCAAACAAATGTAGCTGACAGGAGTTAGTAGCTATTCACCAGCCATTCCTTTTTAAGCCAGCCATTTTATCATTCAGTGTAGGGCAAGCAATAGTTGCCAGAAGTCTTTGACCATTGTTGGGAGCATAGGACTTCTCATTGAACCTTCAACGGGATCTTTAAAGCAGCAGAAATATTCCAAGATCTGAGAAAACATCTGTCTCTATTCACACACACTAGTTACATTCCTGGTTAATTGGACCATGATGTTTTTCAGATTTCTTCAATGTCCAATGAGGACAATCTATATAGATTTGTAATGTGCGATACCAATTTCCAATATTCCCTGGGCAGCACAGTCATTCAGGAAGGCAACATATTGGAAGGGCCCTCAGGGTGGAGAAGGTATATTAATTGAATTAACCCAATGTTATAAATTTTGCATATAAGTTATGCAAAATACTGAACCACCACAGACAAATCACTTGACCCTGAGTTCACACAACACACTGGGCTAAAATGTGATTGTTTATGTCAAGAGCTGGATATATCATGTAAACTCATGCATTATATAGAGATTGGGAAGCATCTAAACAAATACTCTGAAACAGGCTTAGTGTAATTGTAAAAAAACAAAGTGTTCTTTTTCCCCAAAAAAACTATGAAGATTTTTATATCACACAAATGCAAGCTTTCCCAAAAGAGTCAGTTCAAATATGTTAGGTTTATTATCTATAATTTATAAAATAATTGGATTATTTCCAGGTAACTATGAAGTTTGGAAATCATGAATTGAATATTTCTGGGGAACGCATAGTTTAATATGTTCATAATTGAATTATGCAAAGTTTTAATGATATGGACAATTTGAGCATCCCTAAATTAATCGATTTACAGTAAATGAATTTGAGATTAGAAAGACATGGTATGGACTTCCGGCAGTGACGACATCGTAAGCGGGGTGAGGAAACGGCAGCTGCCATCTCTGGAACCCAAATATTTTTTAATAGAAGCTCTTTACGAGCTTTTCCAATCCTGTAGAGATTGGGAAACAAGAGGGGAAGCCTTAAAGCCCCTGGACGCAGTGCTAGCGTCGGAGGGGAAACAAGACAAACTCCTCAAATCTATTGGAGAAGAAGTCCGCCCCTTGGGCAGACAGGAGCGATGGCGGCCGTCTAGAGTGAAGCCAAGAGTGGAAAGCGGTTTCGAGTGGCAGAGCAGAGCGGAGAATCCTCAGAAGTGGCAAGAGGAGGAGAACGCGGAGAAGGGGCGTGATCTGACGATTCAACCCGTGGCGGCAATTTACGAGAGGAGCACATAAGCCAGGACAGAGCAGCAGCGAGAGGAAGTATAACCTCGTGGAGTGACTAAGCTGTATTGAAACGAGGGACTCTAAGACTCTGAAAAGCAGTCAAGTGGTGGAGAAATAAATACAAAAGAAGATGACAAATAAATCAGTAACAGAACTCTGAGATTTAAGGTGAATTGAAGAACGCTAAGTTGCCTATTGGTGCCACTGACGACTGCAGTGATAAGACTAAGACGGAAGGGGAGAAACGTGGATTTGAACGGAAAGCAGGATTAGCCATATCTAAGCCACTGAAGAGATTGGACTAAAAATGCTAAGTACAACTAAAAAAGGGGGGGTAGTTTTTCTTTAGTCTCTATCTGCCAATAGTTTGGGCACACTGTATATATTGTATATATTTTATAGATAGCAAGTAAACAGAAATTCTAAAGTGATAGAAGAAATACTCATTACAATTTATAATCTGTATAATTTACAATTTACAATTTATTAATTTACTCTAATTTACTTAATTTATAAGCTTTAAATATAGAGTGTATTGTGATTTTATAGAATCTGGAAAAAGAGGAATGGGATTGAATGAAATATAACTAAGACTCTTTGATTGATATTGCAAAATAAGAGGTGATAATTGATTGAATATTAATTAATTATTGATTTAGTAAAGCTGGTTGTTTAGTAAATAATCATTACAGGATTAAAGTGTGATTAAAGTGTGATAGTTTACAAGAATAGAAGTAAACCTAGCTGAAGAATTTAAAGAAACAGAGGATAGAAAATCAACGTTTAAGAATTATATGTTAGCCTGGGAAAACTTCTCTTGAGCATTAAAGATGTCAACAACATTTACTATAACGAAAACAGGGAAAAAACCAGTGGTAAATACTACAACAGTGGCGGCATCACCACTACAACAAAAAACACTAGATAGTATGGTAGGAAAAGAAAAGGAGGAAGAAAAAACGGAAATGACTTTAAATGCTATGCAAAGTATGTTTTCGATGATACAGGAAACGTTATTAAAAACACAAGAAAAGATGGCAGAGAACCAGGAAGAAATGAGATCACTCCACACAGAAATTAAAAATGAAATTGGAGAAGTTAGGAGGGATATTAAAAATATGAATGATAGAATTGGAGATATACAACCATCAATAACCGAAAATGAACAAAGAATTAGGAAAGCAGAAGCTAAAATAGATTCAGTAGAGATGAAAGTAGAGGCAATGGAACAGAAAACTGCTCAAATAAATAAAGAACTGTCCGACTCCTTAGCAATTCTCGAGATGGAAAAAGCTTCATATTTTCTGCGGTTCAAAATATATCAGAAGAGAAAGATGAAGACCTTGGTGGAAAAATGGCAGAGATAATAGCAGAAATAACAGAAAAAGATAAGCTGGTAATAAAGGGACAAATAGACAAAACCTATCGTGTCCATACAAATTACATAAGAAGGCACCGTCTGGCAAGAGAGGTACACGTTAAATTCTCAAAAAGATCAATTAGGGATGAGATATATATGAAATCCAGAGAAGGGACGTTGACATATAAAGGCAAAGAAATTATAGTTCTAAAACAAATACCCCGAAGAATTAGGAATCAGAGACAACAATACCAGTTCCTAACAAACCAGTTGAATAGACACAAATTAGCCTTTAGATGGCTAACACCGGAAGGGATCCTGGCTACCTTGGAAGATAAAAAAATACAAAATAGATACACCAGAGAAAGCAAGAGAGTTTTATGATTCACACTTCAATCAGGAAGATGACCAAGAAAGTAAAGAAGAAATAGAAAGCAGAAGTCAAGAAGAAGCTCAAATAGAGGCAATACAAGAGAAGGAAGTAAGGACAAGCCAAGAAAAAGAAAGAGAGGAGAGAGAAGGTGCGAGGACGAAAATGCGGATGGAAACAAGACATAAAAAACCCAGCTACAGTAGACAATGAAAGAGGCTTGAATGCACCAAAAAAAAGATCCCAAATTTTTACAAAACTACCAAAAATAGGAGCGGATGTGACCTGTCTCCAGGAAGTACATATAAAAAAAAGACACCAAAAAATCTTAGAAAATTCCAAACTAGGGAAATTATATACATCTTTGACTTCAAAAAAGAATAGGAGAGTGGCAGTTTATGTTAAAGACTGGATCCTGTCAAAATTAATATATGCAGACGAAGATGGTAGAACAATCATGACTGAATTAATATTGGAAAAATAGGAAAATACTGCTAGTAGTAATATATGCACCGAACCAAAATCAACATGAATTTTTTAAGGGCATACATAATAAAATAGTTGAGCTGGAATATGAAGATATCTGCTTAATTGGTGAACAAGAGAAAAAAAGAGACTCTTTCTAAAGAATTTTTCGACATGGCCATGGAACTAAATTTGAGAGATGTTTGGAGGAAAACTCATGAAGATCAGAACCAATTTACTTTCTATTCTCACCCCCACCAATCCTGGTCCAGGATTGACATGGCTTGGATGACCACGAATATCAGAAATATTTTACCACCTATGGTGGACATGCCCGGTGGCAAAGAAATTTTGTCCAATATTAAGAAATGTCTAGAACAAATCACTAAACTACAAATAGATAAGAAACCCGAAACCTTTCTGTTAGGAATTTTCACAAAATTTTACTCCAAAGAAATAAAATACTTGTTAATACATATTTTAACGGCAGCAAGGATAATATATGCCAAAAATTGGAAATTGGAAAAAACCCCAACGGAAGAAGAAATAATAGATAAAATCACACAATGTGCCGAAATGGACAGGCTGACAAAAGTGCTAAAGGAAAAAGAAGACACTGAATTTTATAAAGTCTGGAATAAATGGTATCAATGGCATAGGGCTACTAAGGAAGAAATATAACTAGAAGTCAGATAGAATAGAAGTACAAGTGTGCATATAATTACTTCCTTATGGGCGAATAAACCTACAGAGAGAAACTCAGAAAGCGAAGGTATAATCTAAATATATAATATACAGATTGTTAAAGCAGAAGTCTTAGAGAGCAGAGGAGAGGAGAGGGAAAAAAGGCAATAAGAAACTATTACGTTAAGATTTAAGGGAATAAGTATAACTGTATTACTTGAAAGACCATTACGAAACAAACGCTTCAAATGATTATTTATAAATGTTTATTGTATAATGTATTTTTATGTTTTTGTCATATGTGTTTTATGTGTTTTATATCTGTTTTAATAAAGTTTATAATTTTTTTTTTAAAAAAGAAAGACATGGTATGACTTGTGAGAAAGGAAAAGTTGCATTTTAAGATTACTAAATCTCATGTACACACAGATCTCATGTGGTTAGGAGCAGCTCTGGATGCTTGTCTTATTCCTTCTGAGACCTACTAACCATCGCTATCTTCTGCCAAACTCTTGCAGTGTTCTGCCCTAGATTGGAAGCTCCAGTGAATGGCAAAAAATTTGGCACGAAGAATGTGGTGGATCATGAAGTCCATTTTACCTGTGATCCTGGATTTCAGCTTGTTGGTTCCAATTCTCGAGTATGTCAGCCAAATGGCAGCTGGACTGGAGAAGTTCCACACTGCAAAGGTACTGCCTTACTATTTCTTGGCTGGGGCACAAAAACCGCCCATCTATCTGTCAGAACAAATTTCTACATGTGTAGCTAGAAGAATGCCATCATAGCAATCGTGCCTATATACAAAGTTGACCTAGAGCAGCGATGGCAAACCTTGCCCAAACTGAGTGCCCAAACTGCAACCCAAAACCCACTTATTTATCACAAAGTGCCAGCATGGCAGTTTGATCTGAATACTGAGGTTTTAGTTTAGAAAAAACAACTCATATGTGATTTAACATCTTTTGTCTTTAAAAAAAAAAAGCCACAAAAACAGAGCTTTCAATGATACAAACAACTTTTTATTGAAAGGTAAAAGTTTGCATTTGGCATGCTTTTGATTAATGTGATTTTTGTTGTTGTATGCATGCTGATAATTTGTCTAATCTTGGCTCATACATTGTTAACTTTGAAAGCAACACATACAGCAATCAGGTCATTTGTTAATCTGTTTCTGGTGTCAGATTTGATATAATTCAAGGCTGAAAACAGCTGCTCATAAGCATAAGATGATCCAAACAAAGTAAGGAAAACATTCCCAAGTGCTTTCATTGACTTAAAATTATTTGGCAGAGAATTCCACAGTTTAAGGATTTCATTTTCAGAACTAACTGTGCTGTCCTTTGTCATCCCTTCTATCTTCTCAAGTGTTTTACACAGATCATAGAATTTATTTTTACGGATTGAATTATTGGAATTTCAAGAAAGCTCTATTTCCAGATTTCCTAAATCTAACCAGTGTAAACAGGAATGATCAAGTTCTTTAAATTTGGCTTTATCTGGAGAAGTAAGAAAATACAGGGTTGTCTCCCATCTTGTAGAACTGTAAAAATCTATTACTAAAATTCACCTTTGCAGCTGCTACAATGCTAGAAAATTCCTTGTAGATTTCCTGATGGCTTGTAGGATTGTCTGCAAATGTTGTAGTATTTTCTAAATGCATTTTAAGAACTGTATGAAACCAGATGTTGCCCCCACCATAGAAGGTGCCCCATCACTAGTAATTGAAACCACTTTTTCTGGTCTTATGTCTTGTGACAAAAAAGCCTCCATCACAGCATTGTAGATATCTATCCCTTGTGTTCTTTCAGGCAAAGACACCAGTTTCACCAGCTCTTCTCTCATGATGTCACCAACAGCATAACGCAAAATTACTGCTAGCCTTGCATGATTATTTATATCTGTGCTTTCATCCAAGCACATGGAGTAACAGGTTGCCTTTTGTAAGTCAGTGGTGAGCTGCTGACTAACATCACTTGCCATGCGCTGGACTCAATCATTAATAGTATTTCTGCTAAGTTGCATCTCAGAGATGCGTTGAATAATTTTGTCCTTGTTTGGGAAATCATGAAAAAGGGAATTACTCCCAGACAACATGGCCATTTTGATAATATCCCCATCAGAAAGGGGCTTTTGCCTCAATCTTAGTGGGGAGAATGAAAAATGAGGGACAATGTGAGGATGATAATAGATGCAATGGAGTACTATGAGATGTTTACAGGTAAGGAAGTAGCATTTATTTTTATCAATGCTCAGAAGGCCTTCGACAGGGTTAATTGGAAATTTATGTTTGCCTTGTTAGAAAGGATGGAATTTGGAGACAATTACTTGTGGGCGGTAAGATCTATTTACTCAACATAAATAGCTAGAGCTTTAATCAATGGGGAAGAAATGGGCAAGATTGAAATCGGAAAAGGCACGAGACAAGGATGCCCACTGTCCCCACTCTTATTCATATTTACACTAGAACCTCTCCTAAAGGAAATTAGGAGGAATCAGGGAATAAAAGGACTGAAGGTGAGATCTGAAGAATATAAAATTCAGGCTTATGCGGATGATCTGGTTTTTATTGTAGAGGACCTCCTAGATTCCGGTAAAAACTTACTTCAGGAGATAGAGAGCTACGGTAGAGTTGCAGGTTTCCGAATTAACAAAGATAAGATGAAGATTATAACAAAGAATATGGCACGGAATCGCTGGAGTGAATTGGAGAGAGAATTGGGCCTTCAAGTGACTAAAAGAATAAAATATTTGGGTATTTGGATGTCTTCTAAAAATACGTCCATTATGGCAGATAATTATACAAAGCTGTTAGCCCAAATAAAGACAGATTTAGAGAAGTGGGAACACCTGCAACTCTCCTTACTCGGTAGGATAGCAACGATTAAAACTCATGTGCTCCCGAAATGGAACTATTTATTCCAGACTGCCCCCGCGAGATTGGATAGCGGTTTTTTTAAATGGTTAGATAGTTATGTGAGGAAATTTGTTTGGCAGAAGAAGAAACCCCAGATTAAACTTAAAATGCTTCAAGAGGCACCATGTAGAGGGGGATTTGGTTTACCAAAATGGGAGTTCTACTACCAAGTGGCTAATTTAACTTGGATTAGAGATTGGATACTTTTAAATAGGAAGAGGATTCTTACATTGGAGGGTTATGATTTGTGTCAAGGTTGGCACCATTTTCTATGGAGAGAGAGGGGTAAGAAATGTGGATATTTTAAGAGACACTACCTTCGGAGAATCTTATTAGAATCCTGGGAAAGGGTTAGGAATAGGTATTATTCAATGTTCCCGATTTGGTTTGACCCACTGGAGGCAGTAACACACTCCGCACTATATAATAAGGAAATATCATTGACTTATCAGGACCTGCTTGATCCCCAAGGGGAGCTGAAGACCTGTGAGGAGCTTATGAACCAGGGCAAGAAGGTAGACTGGTGGGCTTCTGCCCAAATACAGTCAAGAGTCAGAAGGGACAAAGGAAAGGAGGGAATCTATAGGTCATTACAGGAGTTAGATAACATTTTACTGAGAATCGAAAAAAAATTACTTTCAAGGTGCTACCAATTATTGGTATCACGATGGATTGGTGAGGATGATTTAAAGACATCATGATTGCCTGGGGGAAGAACCTTGGATCTTCTCCAGATCTGGACAAATGGGAGGCGATATGGAACAGGAATATGAAACTCACTTTGGCAACTCCCTACAAGGAAAATATTTATAAAATGGTCTATTGTTGGCACATCCCCCTGACAAGAATTGCAAAAATGTTCCCGGGAGCTTCTCCAGCTTGTTGGAAGTGTGGGAACAGTAATGGGACATACTACCACCAATGGTGGACCTGCCCTAAAGCAGGCAAATATTGGTCCAAGGTCCGGAATTGGATAGTGGAAATTACAAGTTATAATATAGAGCTGAAACCAGAAGTTTTCTTATTGGGAATGAAACCAGATAAAATAAATAAGGAAAAATGGTACTTGATCCTCCACATTACTACTGCAGCTAGGATATTATACGCACAAGAGTGGAAAAATGAATTAATACCCACAGAGAATAAACTGATTTGGAAAATTTCAGAATGCGCAGAGGCCGATCAGTTAACGAAATTACTTAGGAACCAAAAAGACACTGATTATTACGAATGTTGGAACCTATGGTATATTTGGGTGAAAGAAAAGAGAGGGAAATGAAATAGATCTTATCAGTGATTTAAATTGTATAGGCGCATATTTGTGTACGTTCATTGCAATAACTTTGTATGTATATATATAAAGAATTGGTTTTTAAAAAAGAAAGGGGCTTACCATGATTTGCTATGCAGAGTGAAATTTGAAAACTGGCAGCTGTCAGATAATTTGTTCTAGAAAGATAGTTGCAAAAACTAAGATACTGGGAATGATATAACAGAATTATTGTTGAAAAAAATTGTAGGAAGTAGTTGTCGCCTTCAGCTCCCTAAGAAAAACCAAGGTATAACATAATGTGAATTTCTAAGTTATAATTAAAGCCAGTTAATTTTGTTTTTAATTACTCTGTTTTCTTTCTTGTATGTGTTTTTCCATGAGAAGTGTTTTTTTTCCAGAAACCCAGCCATTGTACTGGACTTTGTAATTACAGTTAAGTCGACCTTTATATATAAAATCTGACTACTATGGCTTGTTTAACAAATCATATTAAAAGTTATCTGAAATATTCCATAAGGCACACTGATTACACAATAAAAGGCTTGTCTGGAAAACTGGCCTTAGTAGTTAAGGTATTTTATGATAATATGAACCCTTCCTCTAGTAGTGTCCTGAAGAAACCAACACTGTTTTCTAATTTCTGACTATACACGCTCTGCTCAAAATATTTGAAATGAAAACTGATGAAAATGCCAATGCATTCAGCAGAAAAAAATTCCCCTCCTGGGTATGGCTACCAGATATGGAGGGGAAAACTCCAAATGACCATTAAATGACAGCATAGATATGGAAAAGTGTAAACTTTTGTCAGAGTGTTCTAGTTCTTTGAAGTGTTACCTGGAACCCTAGTAAAGACATCGTACTGCATTCAATTTGTATACCTTTTAAAAGTCTCCTTTCCCATGTATTTTCAAAATTGCCACATTTAAGGGGCTTGATGTTACATAATTTTATGCACCTATTCACCCATCACTAGCCTGTTTTTCTAAGATGCAAATGCATATTAGCAAGATTGAATAATGTCTCCTTTATGAAACCAAACACATTTACAGGACAAGGCAGTAAGCGCCAAAATTGGTCTCCGGGTGCAATTCAAGGTGTTGGTCATTACCTTTAAAGCCCTATATGGCTCAGGGCCAAGCTATCTTCGAGACTGCCTTCTACCACATAGCTCCCAGCGACCAGTAAGATCCCACAGAGTCGGTCTCCTCCGGGTCCCGTCAGCTAAACGTCAGCTGGCGGACCCGCTGGGGAAGACCTTCTCTGTGGCTGCCCCGGCTCTCTGAAACCAATTACCTCCTGAGGTCCGGACCACCCCCACCCTATTGGCCTTCCGCAAAGCGGTGAAGACCTGGCTCTTCCGGCAGGCCTGAGGCCATTGATCTCGTTACAATGATCTTGTGAGACCCGGCTATGAATTGGAGTGCATCTGTTTTAACGTTTTTAAAGTTTTAATGTTTTTCTTTTTAACATTTATATGGGATTGTTTGCATTGTTTTATTCTTTGTTGTAAGCCGCCCAGAGTCCCTTGGGAGTTGGGCAGCATAGAAATGCGACAAAAGAAATAAATAATAAATAAATAAAATAAAGACAGAGTAAGTTGAATTTAAGCATTATATTTCTGTCTGGTTTTCCTTTGTAAACTATAAACTTCCACTTTAACTCTTGATTGGCAAACTGATCTTCTTACTCCTCTCTACCCCAGTATATAAGTAAAAAATAAAATAAAATAAAATGGTTAAAACTAAAACCATTTCCATCTTCTCTTCCACTCGGATTTTGACAACAAGCAGCACAGACCTTTTTATCTGTTTAAAACAAACCCTATCACCCTACGGCGCACATTTAACTGGAGTGGGGTGGGATGGGATGATTTTCATGGGGACAGAAGAGGGACTTGGCCCCGAAGGCTCCATTCCCTACCTATAGCCTTAGGCGTTGAAAGCCTGGCTTTCTCGCAGCAAGAGATGCAAATAGAGACACAACACTTCAGCCCTCCTGGACGCTGCCATCTTGTAAACATGCTGCAGGACTTCCTGGCAAGCCCCCTCACCTTTGCTGCCTCAGTCGGAGCCTGATTCCGGAAGCAGTCCAGTAAAGCGCGGAGGTTGGCGAAGCGGGCATTGCATGGAATGCGTAAAGCAAGGCAGCTTGCCACTCGGTCTGCGCTGGCTGCCCCATCTTCAGACGTCCCAGTCTGTGTTGGGGCAACGTGTGTGCCCACAGAGAAAGCTCTGTGTGCCACCTCTGGCACGCGTGCCATAGGTTTGCCACCAGAGATCTAGAAGAATATGCTAAATGGAGATCAACCAAGATAGTATTCAAGACACATAGACACAACCAATGCAAGTTGTTCTCTTTATGTTAATAGTAGCCTGGCTGGGGGGCGGGGGGAGGGAACCTGATCACTCTGAAGCTTTAGTAGGACATTCGAGAACAGGAGGGGGAAATTAAACTTATCTTAATTTCAGAATAAGGAATAGTTTAGTGGCATCATTGGAAGCATCCTGAGAAAGGTGATCCTACAATATAATTGGAATGAACTATTCCATATATTCCCCTGGGTAGTTCTATTAGTTTATTCTTTCATTCTGGCAACATTGTTCACCTTTAACCATTGTTTCTTCCCAGATCCTATAGCTGATCAGCTAGGAGAACATCCATATACTATTTCATCCTAACTTGTATAAATTACACTCTGTCATGTCTGAATTACACAAGTATTAGGCTTGAACACAATCTGGTTCATCCCAAAACATGGCTTGAAATGGCAAGTGATTATGAGTGAAAAAAGACACTTGCTAATAAGGCTATTACAACTGCTAATAGGTGCTTTTGCCAATCTAACCTAATACCAGACATAAGTGCATTGCTAATTACATCTTGGGATACTACTTATTTAAATAAATTAGCATTACATAAACTCTAGAGCCATAATTATGAAACTCCCGATCAGCAATTTCTCATTAATTTAATGTATGTTTATACTTAAAGCCTACAATTCTGCTCCTGGTCTTTCCCTTATGTAGTTAAGGGGAATAAAATGCAATAAGCTTTGGTTTCTAGATGCTTTCTTCTTTCTTTCCTTGCTCCTTAGCTTTTGACAAACAGCTATTACCCAGATGAAGTTTCTCTCTCTCTTTTGTCTCCAAGCCAGAAAAAAATCATAACTTCTTAAATTACTGTCTCTCAGACTGCCATTAAAATGCAGTTGTTAAAAAAGGGAAACTGAATTTTCAGAATGGTATTAAAATGTTATTTGAAACTCCTGGAATCTGGTGAGTTGGTTTTTTTTATCAAATCTTTCAATATGTGCACAAAAATCGAATAAAGTTTCACAACAAAAATGAAGCATTCAAGCTAAATCAAGTGAAACCATTAAAAAAAAGGAAAGAGTAGCAGGGGCATTTTTTGCAGGTACATAATAGGAAGAAAGATGGAGCAAGTCTTATTTTGGGTTGAAGCTACAAAATCTCGAGCCTCTTTGCATAATTTTCTTCCAATGTTCCATTGGATAGTTAGACTAATATGGATAGAAAGAGTTTGCTATTATTGGATTTTTTCCCTTCCTGTCAGCTTAGGAAAGCTTTTGCTCCTCTATCTTAAAATGACAACCCCTCTGGACAAAACGGAGGAATTTGGAGAATTCTGAGATTTTGGGAAAGTACCAACATTCTTAGAAAAAATCCAGAAGGGAATGTACAGGTTTGTTTGGTTGCCTGCTTTATTTCTGTGAAACAACTTTACTCTTTCAGATTAAAAGACTTTTTAAGTGCAAATTGTACATGATCAGAAAAATAGGCTCTATCTACCACCTCAAAGAATAAAGCTAAAAAAAAGAGGGGAAGGAGGGGGAAAAACCATTGCACAGGCATCCATTTTTTAAAGTTCATTTTTTTAAAATGATGACCATGGGTACTGAAATTGTTTTCAGACAAGAAAGAAGGAAGAGCCAGATGCAGCCAGCATTTTTGTTTAGATGACAGAATGATCCTGCTTAGGGTCCCCAACTCCCCATCCAAAGTTAATCCACACATCTTTCTCAACACTTCCAGTTGTCACAGCTATTGGACATTTTCCCCCTAATGCTGGAAAAGAATGACTGGAATCACAAATAGGATAGAAAGACATTCCTCAATGCAGCATTTTGAGTAAAGTCCCTCTTCTGTCCTTTGAAATGCAGCCTTTCCTTCCTTTCGTCTCAAGCACTGTCCTAGTGTAAAGGGCGTGTCAAGTTAAGGATGGATGAGATGAACTTGCATATACATCCATACATGTGCCCAATATGATGGAAGAGGAGGAGGAATTAGCTTGCCCTTTTTGTTGTTGTTTTGCATTATTTTGTTTAAATTTTCACACGCTCCTTCTTAGCGAGATTAAATTTTTCAGGCCCCTGCACACAGTCTGCGTAGCCCAGGGTGTTTGTTTAAAGGAATTCCTTTCTCATTGTGCAAAATGCTAATGCACCATTGAACCTGTGCCTAAGCTACTGTGAGAAGGCTGCTTGCATAGCCCTCCATTGTGGCTGAAGATATAGAAATGTTGCCTTTAAACAGATGTGATTCACAATGTTAGCCCCTTATTTCTATTCAGAAGCGAGGCACGAATGAAGACAGCACTTCGTATAATCTACATAGAAATTTTTTTTCACATTGATTCTTGGGTTTTGCAAAAAGGAGTTGGTGGCTGGTTTGTGGGCAAGAAATCTTGCTTTTGAAACCACCTTAATGCGTATTTTATACTACAGCCCTCAGTACCTGCTTCCCCAGGGGGCCAGATGAGAATTTCAGCTCACTGGAAGTTTCAACAATATGTGTGAAACAAGAGGGGATTAGTTAAACCCCTTAGAGTGATTATTCAATAACTTCATGGTTTGAGGACCTCTGATTATTTAGAATATTCTAATAATAGTAGTTTGGCAGATAAAAAAAGCTACTGCCAGCCTACAAAGGCCTATTTCCTCAAGCAATTCCACACCACACTTATTATTTCAATGTATAACAAACTCCGGAGGAAAGGTAAAAGGCAGATCAATAGGAATGGCGGAGCCATCTGGCTTGATTCTTCAGAGAGAGAATTATGTGGGTCTTTGCTCCTTCTTGTAAGATAGTGCCTTCAAAAACCAAATGCGGGCTTTTCAGTCCCCATCTCTTTCCTGCAATTACAGAAGAAAATGAGGGATCACATCTGCAGTTGTGTTATGGTTCTGAAGATCTTTCAGCCTTTTAGAAAAATGCTGCTATTGTGAGATGGTCCTTTTAATTCCACTTCCAATATCAAGAGGCAGGTTGAAGTTTCCACTTTGACTGATGCCAGCAGGACATGGTTTTGGGTTAGAAGCCGAGAGCGAGGGCCTGTTTTAGCAGAATGAGCTGGAGATTCCCTCCCTTCCACGTAACAGAATTAGCCTTGATAATTTTGGGGTAAAGTCATAAATATTGCCATTTAAAGCACAGAAACCTCTGTGAGTCTTTGAAATTCAAGATCCAGAAAGATCCCCACAGTGAAGAGAAAGGATATAATTTCTCACCTTTGCTAGAGTTGGTGGAACACTCACTCTGCTGAAGATGGTAAGAAGTACCTAAAACTACAACTCACTCTTCATACTTTTTATGAATTTGTTCAAATGCACGTGTGCAAAAGCCAATACAGAGACTACATTATCCCTTCATATCAAGTGATTTTGCTTGTCATTCAAGGACAAGTAATTGTTTTCTGTAGGCAACATTTTATATGCTTATACAATGCAGCTTGTGAGCTGAAAGAAGCAAACTTTCTAAGCATGTAATTTCCTTCTTTAATCAGATGTTAGTCTGTGCTCAAATCAGTGCCGGAATGGAGGAACATGTACAGAGACAGGTGACCAGACTCAATGCATTTGTTCACAGGGATGGACCGGCCCCAATTGCCAGTATCAAACCCAGACAGGTTTGTATTTTGCTGGGGGGTGGGAGGGCTAAGGATGGTGGAATTGAAATGTTTCACTCCTCCTTTCTTTTATGCACCAAGGGAAGATGCATAGTATGTGGCAAACAATGGTTAGCTCAAGTCAAAATTAGCTGTTTAAATTAGGATTTGCTGTAAAGTGTATAATTGCAATTTCCTCCATTTTTGCAAAAGGCAGAAGAAAATCTGAATGTATTTTAGAAGGGGGAAAAACCACTCTTTGCATAAATATGAAAATGATTTTAAGGAAAAGGAAAGAAATAGTATAAAGAAAGTTTATGTCAAGAGGAGGAACAATTTTTATTTGTTACAATTATATCCCGTATTTCCTCAAGAGCCGGATATAGCGTTTTCTTCTTCAGTTTAACTCTACAAGGTAGAGAATGGCTGAACCAATTTTCCCCAGCAAACTTTCACCCTGGTCTCCCCAGTATTAGTCAACACCTTAACTATTATACCACACTGGATCTGATTCTTAGGTTTTCCTTTTATTAAATTAATTTTTATTGAAGAATTTTACACAGTAAGAAAAACGGCATAGTTTTAAGAAAGAGAGAATATAGTGAATAAAGGGAAAAGAAAAATGTTTTCACAAAAATGTATATAAAATTAGAGCAAACCCCACTTCCTAATAACACTGCTGATGTTTCTTAGTTTAATAATAAAACATCTTCAAGAAAACCACCAAGTTCAGAGATCACCAAGGACCCCACAGGTCAATCCTGAGCTACAAGTATTTTCTTCTATCAGTAATTTCTTCCCACTTCTTTTTTCAGTACCTCCAGCATGGAGCATAACAAATGACCCGGCTTTTAGTCGCAAGCCGCGCTGTGCCCAATTAGATCGAATGCAACACTGCAGCTGTGAAGCGGGCTTCCATATGAGTGGCACTACAGAAAACAGTATTTGCCAGGGTAAGAGATCATTTGAACGATACACCTGAACAGAAAAAGTGATGAGCTGTTCCTGCTTCCAGATCAGTTTAACCCCAGTTCCAACATCAAAATCTATTATTGGTAGCACTAGTATTTCATCTCTATATTTCACACCTTGGGGTAGTCCTGACTAGAAAACCAACATCATTACAGACACATGATGTCTTTTGGACTGTTAACATCAGGACCTGGTTTCTTTTACAATTTCCATCTACTCAGTTTTGCTCCAATTTTTAAAAGCAATAGCTAATGGCTAAATCATGGTTACACTTATTTCCCCTCCCCCTCTAACAATATAAATTGTATTATCTTTGATATCAGTAGCAGTTATATTGCAGGAACACTTCTCACTCTCCTTGCTACCCCACCCACATAGTGATGCATTTTGTTCCTGCAGGATTGTCATGTCAGTTTCTTTTCTGGCAGATGTGAATGAATGTGAAATTTACAAGCTGGAGGGAGTCCCTCGTCTGTGTATGCATGCTTGCATCAACACTCCTGGCTCATACCACTGCTCCTGCCCCCCTGGATACAAGCTCTTCAATGATGGGAAAAACTGTGAAGGTGACATAGAGCTTTCCTTTTACTAAACAGATGGAACAGATGGCATTTTATAGAAGCTACATAACTTTCCTCCCCAAACGTAGGCCTCGAGCAGCATGTCATGCCGCAAACATGAAACATGTGTGCTAGAATTTGCGCACATAGCTCATCATCATTGCTTTCTACTGTAAGGTCTCCAGATTTATTAGCAACACTCTTCAAACAGAGGCTAAAAACCGCTTTAGTATGCCTACTATTAATTAAATTCATGATCAAATGAATATACGGGCCATATATGTTCCTTTCTTGAATACGTCCCTTACCTACTGCAATGGAGAATGAGGGGGGGGGCGGTTTGTAAACTATGTTTAGCAGGATACCCTCAAAGAATACACAATCATTACCCTTCCAAAAACACCACACAGTCTCACAAAATAAGAGGACAGCAATTACTCTACTATTTACAGTAAGAATGGTTTCAGAAGCTGTGGATGGAACTGAGCCCATTTTATATTTTGTGGCTGGTAGGAATTGTGTATTCTTCCTTAAGTGTAGTTTGGCTGGAGAGATCAGTGGTTGGGTGGGGGGGAAGGCTGAGTAATTATGCCCTAGTCCTTATTTAAATATAGGTTCTGTCAATATATTATAATATTTTGTTGTGGGTTCTTTTATGCATAATCAAGTCAGTGAGCTCCCGTTGAGAACTGGTAATAAAGGTAAGTAGAACCTACCCCTGATATAGATATTTCCATGAGACGGTTGCAATATTGCAGCCCAAACTTCAGCCAAACAATTCTGGATGCCTTTTGTTTAGCGCCAGCAAAGCCATCTCAGATTCAGCTCTTTTGTGCCATTTCCTGAGGAGGTTGTGGCATGGTAGATTTTCTTTTTCTTGTCTTCCAATTCTATTTCATAATTTAGTGGCCCTGTTCTCTTCTTTTACTATGTAGGCACTCTGCCACTTAGCCTATAATTTGCTTTCTTTAACAGGATTTGGTCTCCTACGTTAAATCACTAAACCTTTATCATGATGTCTTTTTTGGCTTTCTTTGGCTGTTTTCTAAATGTTCCTGGGCAATGTGTTCTTTAACTTATTCCTCTGCATTAGGATATATTCAATTAGATTTTCACACCAACCTTCCTTAATGATATCTAGAAAACATCTAGAAATATAAGCCTTATCCTTTACAGTAACTGTTCTTGGAATCTAGGGGTTGTTTCCTTGCTTTCCTCCTCTTCTGCTGTTAACCAACAATGTTTTAATGTTGTAACTATCTTTTGTAAGAGTCCAAAATGATTTTCCCATTTAGGAGTCTCTCTATCCCTATGGGTTCACCCTTGTTTTCTCAGCTTTTTGTAAAGCTTTCTCTTTCCTAGGAAATCTCACTTCTATTAAATTACTATGGCTAGGAAGAATCCTAGGTTCCTTCCCTTCTTGCTTCTACTCCATTCTCATGGAGTTGTTTTCTCAGTAGTTGGCAAACCACGCTGAGGAATGCAAACGTCAGCACAGTGATCCTTAAAGACCCTTCCTCAGGACATGAGGTCTGTCACGTAAGCAAGGTCACATTGTTTGCAGCAGGAAAACCACTAGCCTTGGACTGGGCCCTTGTAGTTACTCCCAATATCTTAGCCTCCTTCTTGAATCCTTTTCTCCGAGTTCAACCTTAAGTGGAAAATCAGTTCCAATCACTAGGTTGCGTAGCAAATTAGGGATAACTCCTACCACCATTACATGGTCCTTTCCCTGTGGCCTGTACTTTGGCTTTAACCAATGTGATCATCTCAGTTTGTTCAAACTCAGTTGTAAGAAGCTCTTTCCCCATAGATGCTGCCTTCTTTACTCAATGAATTAGCAGTGTTCATCTACTCCACAGTATCTACTAAGCCTCTCACAGTAAATCCATTAACTTTTGCTGGGATCATATTTTTCTTCCCAGTGACGCTTGCACTTCTGCAGCCATTCCTTTTTTCCTCTGGCTTTCTTTTATAGTCTTTGGACAAATAACCACTTTCCCCACAGTTGTAACAATTATTTGATTCCCTGACCTCCCAAGGCCTTCCTGTAAGTTGCATAGAAGCTAAAGGCTTCTTTACTCCTCCTACCTTTCTCTCTACCAGCTCCTTAAAGTTCTTAAATTCTAGAACAGGCTTTCTTATTCTCTTCTCTCCTTCTGCATCTTCCCTTCCAATATCCTCTTGACTTTTGTGCTGCTTGTAGTCCTAAGCTAGTTCAATTGCTCTTTGATTGACTCTGGGTTGTGTTCTTGCACCCAAGACATTAACTTGATATGAAGTACTTGAAGAAAGAGTTCTAAACTTAATCCTCTACCACTCTTTCCTTGCTTACTTTGTCTGGCCTCAGCCATTTCCTGCCTAGGGCTTCCAACCTTGCCCACAATTCATGAGCCCCTTCATGTTTGTTTTAGGTGTAATTTCTAAGCTCCACCTATAGGGAGGGACATCATATCTGTAGAGGATTATCCCTTTGACATGGGAGTAATCCACTATTTCTCTTGCTGGAAAACTACTATAAGGCTGTCAAAGCCTTTCCTGTTAAACACGGGGCTGGTCACCCATTCACTTTCAGACCACTTACAAGAGGCAACTACTCTTTTGAACATGGATAAATAGGCTTCTATGTCTTCTTCCTCTGCCAACTTGGGGGTTTTAATGTACTTGAGACCACCTCCATTCTCTATAGACTTTACTCTCTTTAGAACAGAGTTTGCCTCTTCTAGTGACTGTATCCCTTTAAGCAGGTCTATCAACCTCCTAATCTCTCTTTTCTTGCCTCTCTTTCACTCCTTTCCCATTCCAGTCTATCTTTCTTTTCTTTCTCCCTCTAAAGCATTTCCTTTAAATGAACCCCAGCCTTTCCTCTCCTGCTGGCTTATCAGTTCTATGATATCGGCCCTAGTATCTCTGCCTAGTCCCATTTCAGGCTGGTCTACCATTTGCTTTGGCCTTACAACAGGTCTAGGGCGGACACCTGTCTCTGCCAAAATAGTAGCCTCTAAGGGAGAATCTGTCCCTTCTGCCTTTTCCATGCCTATTTATTTGGTAAGAGTCTTGGTTTCTGCAGTCACGATGCTGGTTAATTTTTGCAAACTTTGAGCAGAGCAATGGCACTTTTACCTTTGCAGCCTCCTTTTTTTAGCCAAAGTTTATTTTTCATGGAAGTGTTTAGAACTCTTTGAGTCTAAGCCACCTCCACTTGTGGGCTTACCACCTTGTGTTAATATCCCACTTTTTAAGAACCTCCTACCTTTTGGATATCCCACCTTTCTTATGGATATGCCATTGCTACAATCACTTTATCACAGTTCTTTTATCTATACCAGGTCACTGGGCTCCAAAATCCAAGAGACAATACAACCACACAGGTACCTGGCAACACACACACACACACACACAAGTATTCAAAGTCTAATTCTCAATGCTCACCACTCCACTCCTTCCCCTTATACTACACCTCCTTCTACCATTCAAGTTACTACTCCAAGTCCCATTGCTTGAGAGAATTAGCCTTTTCTATCTGTGTTAAGTTGCTTCACAAACAAACATCTCCTTCCCTCTCTCCCAAATACCGGGAACTGCCTCTCTGCTCAGCTTTTATAACCAACAGCTGCTCAACTGGCTAGGAAGAGGATTTAAAGAGACAGGGCTACAGCAGAACAGCTTCTGGCCATTTTGTAGGCAGCCTGTTGTCTCACAATGTTGATGCCCAAGTGGGATATAAGCCATATCAAGAATGAGAGGAGGGTTGCAACCCCTATACAAACTTTTGCCATCTTGATTTTCCATTATCATAGTTTGCAGACATCCATGCATTCCTGCATTTTGATGTGGATTTGATGCCTAGTTAAAATACAACAGTCTGGGCATCAGATTTCCCACAGATAAGACCATTTGTGATGCACCATAATATGAAATGCTAGCTGTGAATGCTGACAGAAGAATTCCTCCAAACAAAATATTTGTTGTACTGCAGTTAAGGTATGTGGAAAGGTATGGTGGTAAAGTGCCAAGAGCTGTCTCAGGCTGAAAAGGGACATTGTACCATGAAGTATGTGCTCTGTATTACTGGGCTGCTGTAGAAAATTGACTTCAAATGATGATTGAAATTAGTTAATTTTAGTGTTGATTCAGTTTCTTCCTTTAAATGAGTCTTAGGAGAATGGCCTGAATTTAACCAGCTTTAAAGTTCTTAATAATCACTTGAGAAAACCATTTTAATCCATACGCCTTTCCTTGGTAAAGCATTTTTACAGAGGAAACAAAAAGTGTTGAGAGGAAACACAAATGGACACAGATTGCTAAAAACTGAATTGTGGTATGATATGAGTTCCAGCAGAGTAGTACCTTCATCTTACACTAAAACAGAGTTAGCTTGAGAGATCAGTAAAATGACCCACTGGGTAGAAAAAGTGAAGAAGGAAAATTTCTTCCCCTTTTATCATAATATTGTACAAGAGCTTGAGATCATCTCCTAGAATTATGCCATAAAAGATTTGGGATGGATAAAAGAAATACATATATTACATACAAAACAGTTAAACAAAGACATTCTCTGCCATAAATTGGTGGTTTAATCAGTTACTTGAGTAACTATATACATCTGTTCCTCTGCTTATGTTCTCGAAGAGACATCAGACAGACTGCCTATTGGCTGAACAAAACGCCAGCCAGGTTTTTCTTATATTCATTCTCTCATGCATAGAAAATCATCCCACGGTGTCATCATTTTGCATACATAAGATCCAACTGTCTCAATCTGCTTTTTCCTGTGTACATGTATTCCTACATCAGGTATAATAAGATTGTACATGCTTTGAAAATTTATTGAAAAGTGCTTTGGATTTCATACTACAGGAGACTGTGGGAGGTTTAAAAAGTCAAGATGCCATCTGTGACCACACAAAGACCCACTCTTTTTTTTTTTTAAACATACTTCATGTATATGACATATATAAAAAGGAACTGGGCTACCATCCTGATTTATTTTTTTTAAATGCTCCTGCTCCAAGTCTGAATGTAGCCTCTTTCTTTTTATTGAGAAAGCATTTTTATTCCTAACAATACCTTGAATTCCCAGCCATTCTCAAAAAAAACAAAATGGTGGATGGTCACAGTATGATGAGATGGAGCAATATTCATCTTCTCAAAAAAAACCAAACCACTATACATGATTGCTGACATGTGAAAGGATGGTTACAGGATCCATGTTTCTTCTGCATATCCAAGTGCTTTGTGGTTGGCCACATCCATCCTGGCAGCCACTTCTGAACATGCAAGCCTTCCAAGAGAATCCACCGAGGGGAGATGGGGAAGTATAGAATAGAATAGAATAACAGAATAGAATAGAATAACAGAGTTGGAAGGGACCCTGGAGGTCTTCTAGTCCAACCCCTTGCTTAGGCAGGAAACCCTACACCACTTCAGACAAATGGTTATCCAACATCTTCTTAAAAGCTTCCAGTTTTGAAGCATTCACAACTTCTGGAGGCATGTTGTTCCACTGATTAATTGTTCTATCCGTCAGGAAATTTCTCCTTAGTTCTAAGTTGCTTCTCTCCTTGATTAGTTTCCACCCATTGTTTCTTGTCCTACCCTCAGGTGCTTTGGAGTAAAAATTGCTAATTTGGCAGCAGTGGCTGTGCAATCAAAGCTCCACCTACTTTTTGTATGTGTGCAACACATTAAAAAAGTAGAAATTTAATCACATTACTGTTGTCATCTTGATGCTTTTCACCTCTCTGAAGATGTCCCTAAACCACTACCCACGTACCATAATCTGCACAATTTCAGAAGATTCTCTACAATAAGCTCTTAAAAGGCCAAATGTTTTTGCCAGCCTTAAAATTTGGGACTCTCTGGTATAAATAGGATAATAAGGAAGTAATGTTATGTAAACTTACCCTGCTGCCTCTTGCTGCATTTTTTCCATTACTTAAAGTTATTACTATTCTTAGAAAACTATGTATTTCTTATGTAATGCTAAAATGTTTTAGCCTTGATATAAAACTAAAGTGCACATCTTAATGCAACTTATGGCTCTTAAAATCTTAGATGTGGTCCCACAGACATCCAAAGGTTGTCTAAATCAGAGAGGACAAAATTAAATGAATAATTGGTGAAGAGTCCTATTAGTTATACTGAATTTAGTTTTAATTTTGCTCACACTGACTCTTCTATGGATTGCAACCCCTAGCACTTTACCCGCAGGCCAATTACAGCCTTGATGTGGAAAAAGTGATGCTACAGATAGAATAGATTTCAAGGAGTTTTCGGCAATGCTCAGATAAAATCCATAGAAGTCAAATAAAATTAGGCAACAAGTACAGTTGAAAGCAATAGTATCTCAAAAAAATAATAATAGAAAAATGCCATGAGATCTATCCAAGGTGCTTTTCCAGATAGTAGAAGTCTGGTGATTTTGAATTCTCTGAATTGCAGTTAATGGTGATGTGATGAACAATTAGGTCACTTAACTGTAATAAAACTTTACTTGAGCATTAGTCTTGTTCTTGAAAGGGGATGTATGAAAGTGGAATGAGCTGCCTCAGGAAGTAGTAAGATCATCTTCACTGGATGTTGTGGGGATGTCTAATACTCTGTACTGAAGAGGGGAGAGGAGAGGCTTGTCCATTCACACAGAACATGCTCTTGTTTAGGTCTGGCAATGGAAATTCTGGCAGCAAATTCTCAGCCATGGTCCAGTAGTAGGTCATATATTTGACTTCTATGGATTTACATCAAAAAGCTCTCAGGCTTAGTTTTTGGCAGCTCCATATAGGACAGTGCAAGAATTGTGCCTGGAATCTAGCCCGTCAATATGGACTCTACAAAAATTGATGGACCATTAATCTGACTCCGTATAAGGCAGCTTCTGTGTTTCTGTTTGAATTGACTGTCTGCCAACCTCAAAAGAGTTAAATCTATTCCTCTATCACTCACTCTTCTGTTTACCTTGCAGATATAGATGAATGTGCACTCTCATTGCACAGCTGCATTAGGGGAACAACATGCATTAACATCGGAGGAAGCTTTCAATGTGTCAGGCCAGAGTGTCCCCAGACTGGTGGAAATGTCAGCTATGTGAAAACATCACCCTTGTAAGTAACATCACCCTCTCACCAAAAAGCCCTGGTGGCGCAATGGTTAGAATGCAGTATTGCAGGCAAACTCTGCCCACAACCAGCAGTTTGGTCCTGACCAGCTCAAGGTTGACTCAGACTTCCATCCTTTTGAGGTCAGTAAAATGAGGACCTAGATTGCTGGGGGCAATATGCTGATTCTGTAAAATGCTTAGAGAATGCTGTAAAGCACTATGGAACAATACATAAGTCTCAGTGCTATTGCTATTGCTATAATGAGAAATGAGTTTTCCCCAACATGGTGCCTTTCAGATGAGTTAGATTACAACTCCAGTTATTCTCAACCACTGAAGCAAAAATGTGGGAAAAGTGCTTCCACAGCAGAAATCTGCATTAAGCCATTTTTTAAAAAGTGTATATTTTCTGTTAACAACTGGCTACCATTATAAAAATACGACTATCATATGACTTCCTCCTGTTAATTAATTCAAAACACCATTATTATGCAGTGGCTTTTAAATGGTGACTAAACACTTAAGAGCTTCTCCATTGGTTGACTTCTGACTGAAGGTTTAGCATGAAACTGGCATCATTTATAATTTCCAATGTGATTTCACTACCTCATAGGTGTGTGATCTTGAGGTCTGTGGATTCATTTGGCATTTTTGAAGTATAATGTAGTTCTCATGCATAAGCGGCTAATAAGAAAAGGCTGCTATTTATCCCACTTTTTAAAGATATTATTTGATTTCACTTTCAGCAGCTCTTCTGAGATTTGTCAGGGCTACAGTTCCTTGAATTGGAAGCTTCCTCCTAATTCATTTCTTTTGAAGTAGCTCATTAGGGGTGCTTTCGTTGCTCATTATTCTCGGTTCATGCTCCTAGGGAAAAATCAATTAGTGATTATGAATTAAAAATAAATAATGAAGTAAAATTATGTATGGATTTTGGGTTGGGGTATTAAATAAGAGAGAAATAATTAAAGCAGGCACTTTCCCAGTAATCACCCAAACATATAAAACACATTCAGCATTGACCAATTAATCAAAATTCAGAAATATGGTAGTGATAACTAATAATTACTGTATTTTCCGGCTTATAAGACGACTTTTTAACACATGAAAATCTTCTCAAAAGTCGGGGGTAGTCTTATACGCCGGGTGTCGTTCTCCTGTAACCAGGCAGACCAGCCCGAAAGGCTCTGACGAGCCTTAAATGGATCTGGCAATCCCAGCTCTGGCGATCCCAGCTCGGACGATCCCAGCTGAGTTCCCTGCAACTCAGCTGGGATCGCCAGAAACCATGTAAAAGGAAAAAAGTTTTTTCCCTTTTACTCTGACGATCCCAGCTCTGACGATCCCAGCTGAGTTCCCTGCAACTCAGCTGGGATGGCCAGAGCCATGTAAAAGATAAAAAGTTTTCCCCCTCCAGCTTGCTTACCTCAGCTGCTAGTCCCAACGCTTGCCTTGCTTCGCTTGCCTGAATCTATTCCATCAGCAATCAGCAATCAAGCAAGCAGGGAGTTGTGGACTTCAACTCCCAGAATTCTTCAGCCAGCAAAGCAAAGCTGGCTGAGGAATTCTGGGAGTTGAAGTCTACAAGTCTTAAAGTTGCCAAGGTTGGAGACCCCTGTTCTATTGGGTAAGTTTTTTCCCCCTTTGGGAGCTTTAAAAAAAATAGTCAATTGGGTTTTTTTTAGTTGTTCTTTTTTAGACCTAGCCATTTAAAGTTTAGGAAGTTTTAAATTTAGCTTTCATATAAAAATAAAAATAAAATAAAATAAAATAATATTTGTGCAGCTTTCTGAGATTTAGTGTGTTTCTGTAGTGTTTCACTCTAACTACACAAACACACAAAATCTCACAAAGCTGTATGTGGAATTTTGTGTGTGTAAAGTGTGAAAGTTGGTTTTTTGGACTTTTTGTGGCTGTGTGAGGTTCCTGCTTGTTGCAGGGGCCATTTTGGGTCTAGCACAGCTGCTTTTACATTGTGGGTGAGCCTGTTGTGTTGTGTTGTGTGTGTTTAGAGTGTGAAAGTTTTTTGGGGGGGCTTTTTGTGGCTGTGTGAGGTTCCTGCTTGTTGCAGGGGCCATTTTGGGACTAGCACAGCTGCTTTTACATTGTGGGTGAGCCAGTTGTGTTGTGTTGTGTGTGTTAGAGTGTGAAAGTTTTTTTGGGGGGCTTTTTGTGGCTGTGTGAGGTTCCTGCTTGTTGCAGGGGACATTTTGGGTCTAGCACTGCTGCTTTTACATTGTGGGTGAGCCAGTTGATGTTTTTTAATTTTTATTTGGTGTGCATTGGAAGAGGGGTAGTCTTATATGGCGAGTATAGCCCAAACCCTATATTTTAACAGGAAAAGTTGGGGGTCGTCTTATACGCCCAGTTGTCTTATATGCCGGAAAATACGGTACTCTGTCACTTTAAAAGAAAGAAGAAAAAATGTGTGGCTGAATCTCCATGCACTGCTTCACCACATGGACAATCATTACCTGCTCTACCATGATGACCTCTGGTTGTCAGTTGGGTTCTTCAATAACAGAAAAAATACATTAAAGAGGAAATCATTACTGGTCAGGAAATCCATAGTGATTATGGATTCTGAAATGCCTTGTAAAACTGAGATCAAAATCAATAACTTGATGATGAAGCTATTTTTGCTTGTTTGATCATAGACCAGAAAAATTTACAATTTGTATCTTGGATTATTCAGTATAAATATTTTCCCTCTGGTCAGTAAGATTTGTTATGTGCTCTTTGATATGTGGCCAAAATATACAGTATCATGCCTTAATGAGTCATCCTAGCCAAGTGGAGAACATGCAGCTTTCTTTAAGTTTTGACAGCATCTTTGCTACAAACCAGCTAATGTGAAATATCTTTAAGCTTCGTTGATGTTGGTGAGAGAGCTATTCTTATGATTCAACTTCTTGCTTTGGCATCAGCTGGGTTTAAAATAACTTCATTTTCTTCTTTTACTTTAATACATCTGGATAAATCATTGCTATCTTAGAAAATCTGTGTTATTAGGCCAGATATAAAATTGTTCGTGTAACAAGAATTCAAATTTAATGTAATATTGTGGAAGTTGAATTCAATTATTTTAGACCATTTTATTCTGTTCTACTGAAAGAAATCTATGTTTTAGATGGAGCCAGAGAAGAAAGCAAATGTTAGGGAGATGTGCAGCATCCCAGCAATCATACTTCATGAAAGATCCTCCAAATTTAGAACTACTGCACAAAAGAGGTTATTAGAGAGAATTTTTCTGCCTCCATTGTTGTATTCTTAGTGAAATTGGACAATTTCCTAATTCTAAATAGAAAATATTTGGAGTGGGGAGGATGTTGTGTTCCTTTCAGATAAATAAAAATGTTTATCTAGTCACTGGTACCCATGGATCCTTAAAGGAAGGGCACAATCATATGTTGAAATTTCTACCCGAATATATCTTTTTTATTCCTATCTCAATATTTTAATCTGGTATTGCTGCCATTCCACAGATGGAAATAGTTTTGCACACATAAATTCCTTCGCTAGATCGGAAATCTTGTAAACAAAGCCTGCTTTTATGTCTGTTAATCTAAAAATATAACATCTGGCATGAATATATTCCCTATTTACAAAGATCCACATAAAGAGGGCTGTGTTTCTGTTTTGATAATAAGGAGAAACATTATCCCCATTTATTTCTAATGACTAGCTAAATGCTGTGCCCGGTTATAATAAGACCTTTGACACATCCATCTATTATAAAACTTTCTGTTCCCCAAATGTACTTCTAAAGCAGAGGTGGGATTCACATACTGTAGCAACCGATTCGCCCAGCACCGGAAATGTGAGTACATATGTGCGCACACTCACTTCACTCACATGCTGTCCGCGCATGCGTGCGGCATCACAAAACATTGCAATTCGCTTGCATGTGCCATTCACACATGCATGCAATGTCAAACAACGTGACAATTCGCTCACACACGCCATCCATACATGTGTGCAGCATCAAAAACACAGCGATATAGGACAGGATTGCGCCCAGGCGGGTGGGCTGGCCCACCCGCAGGTCACCACTACCGGTTCACCCATACCAATCCGAAACGGCTGAATACCACCTCTGCTCTAAAGGAATATGAAAGCTCTCAAGTGCAACAGAACTCACCATCAAAGTTATATGAAAAGGAAGGGATAAGGAAGCAGAAAAAGTTAAAATTGTAATTCTTGAACTTTCCTGCCTCTTTTTTTATTTCTCACTGTTATGTCCATTTGGGTGGTCCTAATAAAGGCATAAGAGAACCAGTTTTGATAGTGGTTAAGGCACTGGATTAGAAACCAGGAAACCATGAGTTGTAGTCCTGCCTTTGATATAAAGCCAATTGGATGACCTTGGACTAGTCACTCTTTCTCCACCCTAGGAAGAAGGCAGTGGCAAACTACTTCTGAAAGCTTGCTAAAATAACTGCAGAGACTAGTCCAGGCAGAGCCCAGGAGTGAACAATGATTTGAAGGTATCCTCCACTAAAAAAATTGAGTGTCAGTTTGGTATGGTGGTTAAGGCATCAAGCCAGAAACCAAGAGACCGTGAGTTCTAATCCTGATTTAGGCATGAAAACACTTGAGTGACCTTGGACTGGTCATTCTCTCTTAGCCCTAAAAAAAAGAGGCAACAGCAAATCACTTCCCAAATGTCTACGGATACTTGGAAAGTGAAAAGGCTTCTTGGATAACTTTAGAATGTAAACAGATAGGCACCTGCCATATAAGATCCCAGATTTAACAATTGTCAACAAGAAAGACAAAATAGTCTGGATAGTGGATATTGCAGTAACTAGAGGCAGCAGAATAGAAAAAAAAAGAACTGGAGAAGATATCAAAATACAAAGACCTACAAGTAGAAATGCCTGCGGCAAAAGTAAGCAAAGGTAAGTACCAATGGTGATAGGCCCCTTAGGTGCAATCCCAAAACAACTGGAGCACCACTTGAACACCATCGGCATTGACAAATTCACTATCAGTTGATTACAAAAGGCAGCTTTACTCAGAATGGCTTACATCCTGTGGCAATATCTGTAACTTCATCAAACATCCACATCTGCCTATCCCAGGTCCTTGAACAGGACAGGTAGACAAAAGTGCCAAATCCAGTCTGAACATCTGGCAGACTGTGTGACAAACCATGATAATGGTTATGATTGATAATGATAATGGCATTATCAAATTATACATTTTGAATACTACTTCTTAACCAGATCCTATTGTTGTTTGCATTTCTTTTCTTCATAGTCAATGTGAACGGAATCCGTGTCCCATGGACAGCAGATCATGCCATCAAGCCCCCAAGACGATCTCCTTCCATTATCTCCCTCTGCCATCCAATCTTGCCACTCCCACTCCTCTCTTCCGCATGGCAACTGCTTCAGCCCCTGGACGACCAGGTCCTGACAGCTTGCGGTTTGGGATTATAGGAGGAAACAGCCGAGGACATTTTGTGATGCAACGTTCGGACAGACAGACTGGAGAACTCATGCTGGTACAAAGGCTACAAGGGCCTCAGACCATAACAGTGGAGGTTGAGATGTCCGAGTATCTGGATCGCACCTTCCAAGCTAAACATGTTTCCAAAATTACCATCTTTGTATCAGTTTATGAGTTTTAAAGAAACTCATTGGTTCAGCATCGGAGGAAAAACCATTTTTCATCAGGAACTTTTGTTTGGTTTCACCATTGGCTCCCATGTCAAAGACTCCAGAATTAAGAATGGCATCAAGCATGGCTTGGCTTTCTCACCTGAATTAACTTCATCCATTTCTTTTCAGCATTGCTGGCATGTAGCCTTTCTGCTTCTATCCTAACACACCTTTAGATGACCCCAAGCCCTTGAAAGAAGGGGAGAATAGCAGTGTAACCTATCTATCAATTGTTGTTGCTCCAGCCACACTAGCTTCATCCTGCCCTTTGTGAGCCAATGCAGCATATTGTACATATAGATAGCCAGTCTTTAACAAGACTACCTGCATTCCAGAAGACTCTAAGAAAAGAGAATATAGGATCCCTCTGTGGACAATGTACCTAAACAACTATATTATAACTATACAACAGTAAAAGAGGTCATTCCTATTTGTAACATTGCTATATAATATTAAATGTTGATTTGCTTGGAAAACAGATGCCTATCAATGGATAAATCATGGAAGTAAATCTGATTTTTATCAGACTTCTTTTCTAATAAATGCATGTTGGACTAGAGCAGCATTTCTCAACCTTGGCAACTCCAAGATGTCTGGACTTCAATGTCCAAAATTGTCCAGCCAATATCTTAAAATTGTCCAGATTGTGAAATAGTGGACTAGGTTGCACATTTCCCTAACAGAAGTGTTGTACTTCAGGATCATAAAGCTTGGAAGAAATTAATATCTGCCACAAATTCAATGCTGTACTCCAGAACTCAAATTGGTAGTTTCTGTTTCTATCTTTGAAAGAACAACTTTCAGAAAAGTTGGGGAAAAACAATTTTTCTGCCTGGATTATGTACTTCAGTTAATGCCATTTAATATTACAGCATTACAAAAAGTAGTATTTTACACTATTTTTTGTAATCTCGTAACATTGATATAGCATGAGTTTTACTTTTGTTTGTTAGCCAAGAAATTTAGCAGTATAAGAACATGTTTGTGACTCCACCACAAATACGATTTGGTCTACTGGAACGAAAATATTATTTCCTTTCAAATATTTTCTTTGGGCAAAGAAATGTAGGGCAAAAGGCACTTATTAAATACATTTTTTTTGTATTTTTCGGTGAATGTTTTAGATTTTCTTTTTATCTTTAGATATACCTCTTGGAACTGGATCACAGAAACTTATCTATTTAGTCAAACTTGTCTTGTGTATTTAGTCTCCAGGCTGTCTTTTTTGTGCATGAATAAAAAAAAGATTCTCCATATCTACCAATAACAACTTCAGTAAACTTTAGAAGTCTGTAAATATATAAAGTCATATAAATATATAATCAGCTTTCAAGTTACAATTGAAATAGCAGGCTGATGAAAATAAAATCACAACAGAGCTACCACTGAGAATTAGATAGGAAAGCAAATCTGGGCAAAAATGTTTTTTTAAAGTGATCAATGTTAGTTTTAGCTGTTTTATCTCCTTCCACTTCCTTTATGGAAAGTTATCTCAAGATATTTACATCACTGAAGCCTGAACTGGAAGCCCACAAAACCAAGGAAAAATGAATGCTCCCATAGATAGACCTGCCTATATAAGCTTCCACAGAACAGTCGTTCCCATCACAGTGCAAGCCAAATCTTACAAAGGGGCCACCATTTCTTTCAAAGGGAATGGCTTAAGATAGTGAAGCTAACCGGTTTCCTACTACAAGTCAAATTCTGATACCATGTTCATGTGTATGATACAAAAGGGCAAAGTGAGTTGCCTCTACATGTGTATGGCCATGAAATGAGGATTCAGCAGAAAACCGGTACATAAATCCTTGAACACAAAGATTCTGCTCCTCACTACAATTGAAAGGCAGATGTCCCAAGCCCCCTCTGTTCAAAACCCTTTGGATCTTCAAATCCTAATCCTACTGGTTGCTTTGTTAGTTGTTACTGCCATCACTTGTCTTCCAGAAGTATCTCACTTGGTATTCATCTTGCAGGTCTCTCATTTCTGGTAATTAAAAATATCGACATGAGAAAGTTGAAATAATTTATATGGTATTACTTCCTGGCCTTATAGCATAGAGTAATTGAATATTCAGCCTCTTTCCCCAATACCCAATAACTTTGGGAGATATGCCAATCCCACAGGAAACCAACAAAACAAAACAAAATGAAGCTATGAAAAACGTATATTCTAATTTTTAATGTGAAAATGCAAATATTAAGTATGGAAGAAGATAAATTACAGATCTGAACAGATCACCATCATATATCAACTTACAAATTAGTTTAAAAAGTTAATGAGGAAATTACAAAATGCAATAACTCACTATGAGCAGACCAGGGATGGGTTCTACTTACCTTTACTAACGGTTTGCAACGGGATTGCTTCGCTCGCGCGCCTTGCTTCTGCGCATGCACAAAAGCTTATGCGCATGTGCAGATCACTTCTGGTGATGTCAAGGTCAGTGGGCGGAGCCTCCCGCCAGTTTTACTACCAGTTCTATAGAACCGGTCCGAACCGAGGGCAACCCACCACTGGAGCAGACCACTAGGCACAGTCTGCCACAAATACTGCCTTTTCTTCAGGAATCTCTGAGAAATTTCTAGAGAGGTTTTAAGTTATTGTTACATTAGTACAAGAAAGAGAAATATAACTTCATGAACATAGCCTGAGATTTGATGGAGAACTGCAATTAAACACACAGTTCTATAATTGATTCAGAATGGCAAAGCACCACAGTAAACAGATTTATAGAGGAAGGGATTAGAGCAGCAGTGAAATCTGGCTGGTTCTATACGGCTCATGCGAACTGGTAGCGCTGGCGGCGGAAGGCTCCGCCCACCTGCCAGGACATCATTACGTCCCATTTTTTACCCTCTGCACATGTGCAGAAGAGGCGAGCGTGCATAGCGCGCTCCTGTTCCTGAATCAGTAGTAAAGGTAAGTGGATTTCACCGCTGGACTAGAATAGTTCAAGTCTGCACATGATAAAAAACCATATCTCATTTGTGGAAATGTGCATTGTCAGTCTATCATATAAAGTACATTCACAACACAGGTTTTCTATTAAGGATTTCAATAGCCCTTAAAAGCCTTCTCTAAAGCAATAGCCCTTTCTCAGCTTCTCTCTTTCTCTCTGCCTCCTCACGTTTCTCATAGGGAAAGAAGTAATCGCCTTTCTGGGCTACTAGTGTCCCCTAATGCACACTCACTCCAAAGGTAGAATGGATCCAGTTTTCATTTAGTTGCATATTCATGTTTGCATGGTAGCAATTATACTCTAAGGATATTAGTCACGTTAAAATCAAATCCACTCTACACTAGATATCAGCAAATAGACTTGGCTCACACATTGTTCTTGGTCTTCATATGGTTTGTTGGTTTGGATCAAGCATGTTGTGTAAATCCAACTAATTGAGGTTTATGCAATATACCTTACTTAAGCAAAACATGATATTTAAGTGAGCTCAAGCGCATTTTGCAGATGCCAAAGGCACAAAATACCAGTAAAATTCAGGGACAGTTTATAATTTTCAGTCACATGGTTTTGCAAGTATCATTTTGAAACAAGCCCTAAATAAGTGTTTTAATCCCTTTGATGGTTTATACTGCACATAAAGATCTCCAACATTTTTTTAAAAAAGCAGAAAATTGCCATGTTATAATGCCAAACCCTTGGAAAGTACTATACTTAAAAGTAGTTTAAAAATGCTGTTTCCTATGGCAGAAAGTAGGCTCGGTTTAGATTAAACTGTGAACCTAGTAACTATGTTGTGAATAGGTTCATTCATTCAAATACATTTTAATCTTTTTTAATTCCTCAATTATTGTCAAGCAATTGTACAACTATTTTGTGAAATAAAAATGAAGAATTGAGCAACTATTATGCTTATTACACATTCATTCTCAGAAATAAAGTGTGAAAGAACATGGTATCCTTGGAATTTCAGGTCCTAAATGTTTGACGTTCTTTAAATTAGTAAGTTTGTTCCAGTATATTTAATTTTTTAAAAAAAATATGTAGTTCATATCATATACTTATCAAATATTTTATCTCCTATCCGGTTCTGTGATGAGCTTCCATGTTAAAATGGAAGCAAACAGTGTAAAGGTAGCCTTTGAACAGTGCTCCATTTATGGAACCATATGTTTTCAAGGAAATTCCATAAGCTATGGTGCTGGTTGCCAGTTTGACTGGCTTCAAAAAAAGAGTTGGACCAATTCATGGAAGTCAAGGGAATCAATAGCTATTTGATCATAAAGGATCATAAAGCTTGGAAGAAATTAATATCTGCCACAAATTCAAGGCTGTACTCCAGAACTCAAATTGATAGTTTCTGTTTCTATCTCTGAAAGAACAACTTTCAGCAAAGTTGGGGAAAAACAATTTTTCTGCCTGGATTATGTACTTCAGTTAATGCCATTTAATATTACAGCATTACAAAAAGTAGTATTTTACACTATTTTTTGTAATCTCGTAACATTGATATAGCATGAGTTTTACTTTTGTTTGTTAGCCAAGAAATTTAGCAGTATAAGAACGTGTTTGTGACTCCACCACAAATACGATTTGGTCTACTGGAACGAAAATATTATTTCCTTTCAAATATTTTCTTTGGGCAAAGAAATGTAGGGCAAAAGGCACTTATTAAATACATTTTTTTTGTATTTTTCGGTGAATGTTTTAGATTTTATCTAAATTTTATCTAAATTTTATCTTTAGATATACCTCTTGGAATTGGATCACAGAAACCTATCTATTTAGTCAAATTTGACTTGTGTATTTAATCTCCAGGCTGGCTTTTTTGTGCATGAATTAAAAAAAAGATTCTCCATATCTACCAATAACAACTTCAGTAAATTTTAGAAGACTGTAAATATATAAAGTCATATAAATATATAATCAGCTTTCAAGTTACAATTGAAATAGCAGGCTGATGAAAATAAAATCACAACAGAGCTACCACTGAGAATTAGATAGGAAAGCAAATCTGAGCAAAAATGTTTTTTTAAAGTGATCAATGTTAGTTTTAGCTGTTTTATCTCCCTTCACTTCCTTTATGGAAAGTTATCTCAAGATATTTACATCACTGAAGCCTGAACTGGAAGCCCACAAAACCTTCCAGGGAATCAATAGCTATTTGATGGCAGTGGGACTACTTCTGAAGAACATCTGCCAGGAGACTAGCAGTTGGTTGGCCACTGCCAGGAGACTAGCAATTGGTTGGCCATGTGCAGTTTGTTGGCCACTGTGTAAACAGACTATTGGACTAGATGGGCCAGGACTTTGTTCCAGCAAGGGACTTCTTATTGCCTTATTATAATTGCAAAATAATTCACTTTTCTAGAGATCGTGGATCAAAAATCATATCTTATGATTCACAGATGAGGAGAATAGGCAGAAAAAAAATGTCTCCTTATGTTGGTCTATGACCATAATAAAGATTTGATTTGATATGTTCTCCAACCATAAGCATCAGTTTTCCTTAGTTTTTCTTTGTCATTTACCATCTTAAGCCTTTCCAAGATTATCTTTCTAAGAAGAAAAGTTAAAACTACATAATGATGCTCAGGGTTGGGAAGTCAGGTCTTATGAAGAACAATTGAACAATATGTATCTGTTTACTCTGAAGAAGAAAATATTAAATTGTCTTCAAATATCTAAAGTCTCACCCAGAAAAGGGAGCAAATTTGTTTTCTATCATTCCAGAGAATAGAAAATGAGCCAATAATCCTTATTTATAAAAAATAAACAATAAAACTGTCAGGCAAAATTCCATTCCATCTGGAAGGACAAAATATTTACATTTATTATTTGGTTATTTTATTTTACTATCTGTTAGATTTTATTTGTGTGTCCCTTTGAGAGGAATTCAAAAGAATAATAACTTAATTATGTTTAGGCTTTATGTCTTTAAAAAGTCTAAATAAACCATTTATTCATTCTTCTGGAATGCTTGCTTAATATTTAGTTGCGGAATGTAATTTCAAAATTCACCAGCTTATAGCAAAAGGCTACCACAGCAATCTATTTATCATGATCCAACAGGGCCAGATTATGCATGGAAAAAAATTTCCATGCCAAATTATTTCATTGCAGGAATGGACTCTAGTAATACATATCCATTGCTAAACAATCATCCTTGAGCGAGTTAAGGATTCAGAAAACTTGAATCTAAGTAGTTGTATCTGTTTTTCCCCATCTACTCTGTGCATAGGTTGCAAGTATTAGGGCTAGTATGTAGCACTGTGGATGCAGTTCCAAAGAGGTGCTTTTAATGCATAAAACATAACGGTAGCATCTATCTGCAGTCTTAAGCGACGGTGTCTTTTCCTGAAATTACACGCTGCCCCTTTTGCTACCTAAATGGTTGAAAATATGTATTTGAGTTATATGAATTCAATGAATTTTTCTGGATGTTTGAGCCTCTGAAATACTATTAAACGCCTACATCCGATTCAGTATTGTTGATTAAGAATAAGTTTCTTACATCAAGCACCTACCCCGCAATTTTCTCCTGTGCAGAAGGATCAAGGATTTCCTTTATGGAGAAATAAAATTTAAGATTACAGGCATATCGTTCACTCTCTTCTGGCTTCAGTGTAGTGGATCTCTTAAAGGAAGACTCTATATTGTAGTTTAGTTTCTACAACATAAGTTGTCTTTTTGCTATCCTTGGTCCTGAAAAATTGCATAATGTACATCACTTACAGTTGCTGACTCAGGCAACCCACTTATAAGATTAGCCGTATATCTATCTATATAGACCCATATCTGATTTTGACATTCAATTGGCTTTTTCTTTCAAAGCATTTTTCACTCAGATTGCCTTTGCCTTTAGTGAGAAAATGATTAAAAGGTGGTACTGATATGCAGATTTTAGAAAACTTGCTCTCTGCCTTCCTTACACTAAACTTATGTGCTCCTTTTTCTAGCACTTGTTCATTGTTTCAATTATAAATTGCTGGATTTGGTTAATTTAGGATGCTATCATATATTACATTATACTTCTTGTCACAGTACAGGTAGTTCTCAACTTCTGACCACAATTGAGCTCAAAATTTCTGACAGTTGTTTTGCCCCATTTTATGACCTTTCCTGCCACACCTGTTAAATTAGTAACATGGCTGTAAAGTGAATCTGGCTTCCCTATTGGCTTTGCTTGTTGGAAAGTCACAAAAACATCACATGGCCCCAGAATACTGCAACCATCATAAATACATATCAGTTGCCAATAGAAACATCAGTTGGGCTATGATTTGGTTAGTTTTGCTTATCAAAGTACAAATATTTATCTGGATGTAATGGGAATTGCTTTAATGTCATGGTGATATACAGACATAGTGGGGACAGTTTTGATTCATAATCTTGCTAAGAAATAAAGCCCTTTCGACCTTTCTGATGGCTGGAATAATAGAATCTTGCGATGAGAGGAGAATCTTTTGTGCCATTAGGTCCATGAGACAGACCCAAAAGTATGTTAACTAAAAAAGCTACAGAATAGCCTGCAGTAAAAGCTTCAACTGTCTCTTAACAAAATATATTTCTATCTCCAATGCAAAATGCTACATCTAGCATTCCTTGAGTGATCTGTTTCTTCATTCCTGATTATTAATGTGACACAACCTGATATAACAATAATCTGTGAGGCTGATGTGTCACCAGATTTTACAGTTTGCTAATCCTGAATTACTGTATCTCTCCATAGCAATTTGCAGGAAAGATTGTTCAATGAATGTTTATATTTTGACTGAGCTCATATGGAAACATGGTCTGCTAAATGAATTTTAAATGATTAGGTTCATAAAAACATACTAACTCCCAAATTGTCATTTACAAATCACAATGGAGGTTCATACAAAACCAGACAAATCACATTATGTAACACACTACACATTATATATAGTGTGAATCAGATTCATGCAACTAACAGGGAAAGAATAATCTCTGTTAGTTTTCTGTTTGTGAAATGTGGGAACCATAGAAGTTTTTTCAACATTTCTTAATACTCTGAATAGAAATCTGGCCTCTTACAGTCTACCCAAGATAAGAAGTACATCTCCAGAAGAGTAGGCTACAGAAAGTAAGAATAATGTTTAAATACACTAATTTTGTAGAGATGGACACACATTTAGAAACAATGATCCTGAGTTAAATAAAAATTCACTGCATCTCACTGTAATATTGAGAGATTCTAAAACCAATCTGCATATTCAAGTATGCTGCTCAGATGCAAAATGTTCATATTCTGCCTTAATTCCTCTCTGTGTAATTTCTTCTGCTTTTTCCTTTTCTATTAATGGGCAGCATATAAAGTTCTCTGCACCTCCTCACATTGTATTGTCCTTTGTTTTGCCTCTTTATTTTCCTCTGGACCATCCAGTCTCTGTAGAGGAAAATGGCTTTCTTTTGTTTGACTGTTTTCTCTGCTGCTGGCTGCAGAATTTTCAACATGCACATGGTTTCTCTGTTTTCCTCCCACATTTGTTTTAAGACTGTGGCTTTATCACAAATTCTGGGGGAAGGCTCAAATAAGAGTTGAAGAAGACAGCACAGCTACCTGCAATTTTTCTAAGCACTCTGCTCTTCCACAATAAATCAAATTCATTTGTACTATTAGAGACCTGGAACAAACAGAATGTACAGAAATATACAGAAATGCAGCCAAACCAAACTTATTTTTAAAAAGGCCAGCATGAGTCAACCACACAATTCTCTGGAAATGTAATTAACAGGAACAATAAATTACAGCATGCAGTTGAAGACTTGATTTTGGCGGCATAGTAGCTCCCCTTGAATCCTGCAGGTTGGAAATACATTCCGGTGTTCATGTGCCTCTTAAATGCTAATAACATCCTCCTTCCTATTATCATTGCTCCT